AATTAATAAGAGTTCTTTGTTAAAATCTAGTAACAACATTTTCATTCATACTTTGATTGGATGTATCCCACTGAACTTGAAATAAATAACACTAATATATTTGCTTTATAAAAGAAATTTTATTTTTAAAAAAACATAAACACTAACTCAAGATTGCCCATCTGAGATTTTTATACACAAGATGCATATGAGGTAAGTATATATATATATATATATATATATATATATATATATATATATATATATATATATATATATATATATATATATATATATATATATATATATATATATTTGGCAGATAGGCAAGCTTGTGCTTTAAATTTTCTGAAACAACATGTAGTAGGAATCAATGTGACTTTGAGACTTGAAGAATACCAATACATAAATTGCTGTCGATTAGAAAATGCACAAAATATGAAATATATGGAGATAATGAGCAGTATTCAAGCTCAAAAGTCCATTAAACAGTCGAAAAGTAGGAGCAGAGCAAACTCGGACTTCCAAAAAATCAGAGGTGGGATCAGGCGCCATGGAGGTTTGAGCATCCAATGCCAACCGGTCACACCTGCCGTGTGCTCTTGTCATGATCGCGAAATAACGGGAAAATCCGTCGACAATTCAGTGTATAAATAATGGCCTAAGAATTGGAATCAAAACGTCATTCAGCATTTGATTCAATGATAAATTGTATTTGCTGACAAGGTCATTGTATCGATCATAGAACTTACGAAATGATGACTTAATTAAAACAAGACTGCTGATATTCTTGTTTCATCAATTTGTCAATAGTTTACCTCGTTTTAGAAATTATACATAGCACAGGTACCCGATATTTCTTATTTTTCCAATACAATAAAAACATACCTAATTTTTTGGTATGGGGTTATTAATTTAATATAAAAAAATAAGTAATTTCAGGTGCCTGTGTTACATAAGTAGAGCATGTTATTGCGTATCAAATTAAATGAGAGGTATAGCCCAATGTGTAGGTGATGAAGGTATATTGCTGTCATCATGTTTATCATAGAGCTTGGTTGTATTAGACTCTACGGTATCTTTTATCTGAAGTTCACTGGGATATATCGTATTGACATGAGAATGGAAATGACCATTGTTAATTGACACTACCTCATCGATATATCTAAATGTCGAGTTGAAGGCCACGGCAAATGTTTTATTCTTTTCACGTAAAAGATTTGGGACATAGTCTGTTTCATATGAATTTAAAATAAGTCTACTAATAATAAGGCGGAATTGGTACCCATGGAAATCCAATAGATTGTTAGAAATGCTTTGCTTTATCAATGAGTACAGTATATTAGTAAACCCTACACTAAAATCCACAGAAAAAGAAATAGAATGTATTGTATCTAATGTACTTTTGATAAATTATTTCGTTGTCATCTTTTTGATCTATTTACATGATTATTATTCAAACAAAACTAATAGATGTCACGTAATAATATAAATGTTGCGAACAATCAGTGTTCAATTTGAGAAGGTTATCGATGGAATATTGCTTTCATAATGAGATTTTTCTCCGTTGTCTTTGCACAAAAATTTGATCGCCTTTGGTCAAAGAGTACGTCATCCCACTGTTTAAGCCAATAACATGGTCATGTCCGCTAATTCATGTTTCCTTTCATCTGACGGATCATGTTTGTATACTACTTATGAGATATATCAATAAAATTAATATTTGAACAAGAGTATAGTAATCCGATACACTACAACAAGTCATGAATTGGAACCTATCGCTTAAAGTTGTAGATAGATAAAATCCATCTCTTTGCATTGTCTTTCTGTTCAAAAGATCCATATTTTGCAACTTTTTGTCACACTTTAAGAGTTCTTCCTGTAGTTTTATCTGGCTTTTTTTTTTGGTTCCATACCAAAATGAATATGTTAAGAGCAAGGGCTTAAGACATTGTGTTTTCAAATATAGATAAAAAGTATATAGTGTTATTAAACCAGAATGCCAGATATTGATTTTATTCCTCTACTTAATGAAGTTTTTTTCTCTTTTACTACGATCACCTCAAGTTTGGAATTCCTTTACTTTTAGGTGCTGGAAATTTCTGTCATAGATACATTGTATTTGTGTACAATTTATAAATTCATGTTTGTTGTATTGCGTTATTTGAATCAAATCCCTGATTTTAGAGTTTTTATGTAATATTCTTCAAAAAATAATCGCTTGTTTATTATATTGTCAGAAAAATTTTTGAAAGATTATTATTTTCAAATTCCGTACAGAGTACTAGTGTGTACAATCACAGTTTTTTTTATACAAAATAATGACTTGTTTATTATATTGTCAGAAAAAATTTTGAAAGATTATTATTTTCAAATTCCGTACAGAGTACTAGTGTGTACAATCACAGTTTTTTTTTAATACAAAATAATGACTTATGACTGGGTAAGTTAACTAACAAGTTCAATTTTTCATTTAAATTTTATTAAATAAAAAAAAAAGCTGCCAAAGATGCCAAAGAACCTTATCTTCATCATAGAGAATGGTTGTACATGAATATTAGTTGTATAATTTTTGAAAAGTCGAACATTTTGATGTTGTCGATTGCAGGGGGGAGGGTGTTAAAGTTAAGGTTAACAAAGGTGACTAACTTTCAGAAATTCAACTTTTGACATATATTAAAAATCTAAATATCTGTGTAGAGTTTTAAATGGTTACTTTTAATGTATTTTGAACAGATTGAAAGGAAAATTACAAGTTGACTGATATTCACTAAAATTTGTTTTAAAAGGACAATTTCCTCTCTGTCATGCTTATGGCTAGAGCAAGGTTTTTGTGGTATTTTTCGTTTTCACTATCTTTCAAAGGGCGACATAACTTTATTTCTACTATGAGACAATTATAAATTCTGTCGAGAGATTCTACATGAAGGGTTAATTTGAAAGGAGAGACATTCTGTCTGTATAAATTTGATATTAAAAAAAATACCAATTTAATGCGACTGTAAAAAAAAGTAGGAAAGATATAGCTTAAAATTGTTATAAATCTTGCAAATCCTACATTAGGGTTTTACAAGGCTTCAAGTTAATGTAATGCTGACAGGGCCGATTTTGGTAATTCATGGCTGTTCGATTGTACACTTTTGTGTTCTCTTCCCATAGAAGGTACTGGACCAAGGTTAATAAGATACAGTAAAGCAAGTTTACTCAGAATAAAATCACAACAATCTCACCACAATGTATCAGTTTGAAGTTTTTAGGGGTTTAAGTGCTCTCATTGTCATTGTCATGTTGCATTGTTAAGTGCTCTATTGTGTGTAAAGAAGCAAGCTAACACAATGTGTTTGAGGACTTCAATAGACAAATATTTTATTGTTCAGCATAACAAACACTCTTCATTTAATCAAATAAATATCACAAGTGGTTTTTAATAAATTGGCTGAACGATTTATCCTTCTGGTTTGTACACATTTTACCTATTGTTAAATATTTAGGCCAAACATTTGGCTCGTTGTATAGATAAATCACAGCCTGTTACCTCAAAGAACAAGAGTTAATTACAAACTAAGACCATCACTAGAGTACAAAAAGCATAGACAATAACAAACTAAGAACATCACGGGCACTGAACACGGATTCAAGTTAGTACAAACTAACAACATCACTGTAGCAGTGACCCCAGGCTCAAGAAGCTTAAATGATAACAAACTTAAAACATTGCTGAGTTCAAGAAACACCGCTCATCACCGAGCGAGGAGAACATTACTAGCATAAGATGTGATTTTAGAGCTTAGATTACAAGGTGGAACAATAATAGCTTTAGAGACAACTTCAAGGAGCTTAGATCATTAGCTATTAGCAACATTACTAGCATTAAAGACGACATAATAAAAGAGCTTAGGTAGTTTCAAATAGGAACATGACTAGCATTAGATACGACTCAAAGGAGCTAAGGTCATTACAACAGGATCATCAGTAGGTTCTGCGTTTGTTCTATAGGTTCGCAGAGTTCGATTTGTTTCTACGGTGTGTAAACAAAAAATATTGATATTTTTCAAAGCAATCAGCTATTATTATATCATTTCTGAATGTAATCTTTAATGGGTCTTTATAACAGTCACTGAAGAGTAGAGAAAAACAGAGGCTAATATAAATTTATACTAGATTTACATTAGCTTCATTTTACATTCATTAAATTTGATGATAACAAGCAGTTATCAAGCTTTCATGTCCATTGTAACAATACACATTTGGAGCAGAGCAAGCTCGGACACTAGAACCATAAGAGATGTCTTTAAATGTCTCCATTTCCTCTAGCATACTTTCTTCTGAAATGTTTGCTTCAAAATGCAAATTTTCCATAAATTTTAAATGTTCGTGTGGTGTTAATCTTTGTCTTTTTTGCCTGTCATGTTCTTGTAAGCTTATTCTGGGGCTCTGGTAAACATAAAATCAGATGTTCCGCAAAATGAGTGTTTTTATTCTGAATCAACCTCTTTTGGAGTTGCTTACGACAGAGGTGTTCCACTTTTTGTCGTTGGCTGATTTTTATTTGAAAATTAATGTGAGTATATATGACCATATCTTTCAAATAAAAATGAGTTCACTGCCACTGCCCTCCGTTGTTTACCTTATGGGCATTCTTATTAAGTGCAAAGAAAACAACGAAATCAAATTAAATTGTAATCCTTTTTTATCGTCTTGCTGCCTTCTTTTGTCGACTAGTTTTTTCTTAAAATCATTTGTGTCTAGACTTTTTTGTCGATTAAAATTATTTAATTACGGGATTGTACAACTACATCTACTGTAAGACTTAAATCAGTGATCAAAAATTTGCAACATCATTTTTCTTACAACCTTTACATGGTAGAACAACTAGTGCTCAACTTTTTAATCAAATAAATCAAATTCAATTCCACGTTAATAAAAAACACAGGGAATGCGGTAGATTGAATGATCAAACATTCATTTCAATAAATTATTAGTTGTGTACATTAACACATTTCAAACAAATCTTGCATGTGTATGTTAAGTAGGTTTTAAAGAACAATGCACAAAGCGACACAAACAATAGAAATTCTAGATATGAAACTCATTTTAATACCCCCAGTGTGGAATATACATTTCAATGTAGTTTTAAAGGAAACAGAAAAAGATAAGTTAATCACGAAATCATAAATAAACAAATTGCTGTATAAGGTCAACTGACTGTCATACGAACATTCTTGAATTCCACAGAAACACGGATTAGCATTGATGCATTTTCTGTACGTCCTCCTTCTGTATTTCAGCAAATTTTCTAATACCTTAGGTTTTCGGTTTGCTTTCTAAAATCAGAGCTCTGCATTTCCATTTTTATTGAAAATACAATGTATTTTGAAGAATTTAAAACTGCGATTTATCGACAAACTCTGGGTTTTATGTACATAGGGGTTTTACTTCAGTACAATCACTCGGTAATAAGGAAATGTCCATTTGGAAAAAAAAGCACAGGGTATTTCTTTCTTCTTCTCACATTTGTTTGCAAAATTGACATTGGAGAATGGCTTTTATCCAACTGAATCCAATCTCTCGATAGTTTTTCATAAAATTGGATTATGCAATTGTTTTATATGAAAGTGGCGCCTACCGCCGTTTTCTGATTGATATTGCCAGATCTATCCTGGCTTTATCCGTCTCCATTTTTACACACCCGGGTATCGGATGTTGTTTGTTAAATTTATCCTGACTTCTACAGAATGTTGTTACTCTTTCTTTTAACCTAATCATCTCCAGTGGGTATGATTGCGGTCTGATCCTGGACGTGTCCGCTGGGTTTTGTTGGAGGTAGAATTTAGAATCCTGGATCAGTTGTGTAACATCCGGCATTTCACTGCAGTATTCCGTCTCTAGAGAGTGGATAAACGTTTTCATTTGTCTGTCATTAAACAGACATACAGTTTGAGGAACCCGGCATTCGTCTTTTTCAGAATTTTTTCTGAAGTCACTATTATTTGTCCTTTCCTTTTCGTAGGCTCTTATGACTCCTTGAATTTGTCCACAAGTCACACAGTGTCTAGGAGTTAACACGTCTCGGTTCTGAGACTTCCTACGCTGTAACAACTTGTCCTTCGGAAATGATTCCAGGGTCGGGGATCTTTGGAGTCCACTGATTGGAGGATGTCCAGAATTACGGAACACTCGGGCAGAATGGGCCCGGAATTGGCGCACACTTTGACTATACTGTCTCTCGTAACTCAGACTTTCTTTCCAGACTTGAGATTTCACGGTGTTTAGTTCGGTCTCTTCAGTCCTGTTTAGTTTACTTGCCTTTGCTTCGTTCTCTGTTTGGTTATCCAACATCAACATTGCTTTGAGTCTCAGTAATTTCTGATCGTACTCGGCATGGAAGATGTCGGATTTGGTCTGCTTCTTCTTGTTAAGGTATTCCATGGAGGACTTCCACGTCTTTGTTTTGGAGGACCCCAGAGACCCGTATTCCGAGAGCTGCGTTGTGGTGGGACGCGACACGATATTGGACCTCATGATCTCACTAGAAGATTTTTAATCAAACTTTTTCACAATCTAGGTTTTGTAACAATGTTTAAACACCCAATATTTTTTCTCTGGTTTATTAAAAACACAAACATGTGTTCTTTATGAAAAGAAGCAATGTTCCCTTGTCTTACAAGTCTTTTCGCAGTCAATGGAGAAAATCTTGACTTTCAGTTATCTATCCCGAGGGATTGCAATGTCATGTGTTATTTGGCGCTCTAATCCGTCATATCATTGATTGTGGATTTTATTCCTATAGGGATATTATCATTTAACAAACTTATTGCATGAAACATTCCAGATTGGTCAGAATTCATACTGCCTATTTGTTCCCCGGTTCTATAGCTGTTCTACAAACAGTCCTTTCTGACCGAAGACTCCAGGACTTGCTGTGTATTCAAAAGTCCATTGACGGAAAATAACACTAAATAAACATTTTAATAAACCTTCAAGTATCCTTTGCCGATCGGTCAGGGCTTCTCACGCAGATACTTTGATTTATTAAAAAATCAGATTTCATAAACATTTATAAGTCTCAATGTCCACCGCCGTTCATGTACTAATCCCTTAAATATTTACTTTTCCAAGAGGTTAAAACGACAGTCCGTAGAGTTAAGGAATCACTTGGTACAAATCTCTGTCCTCACTTTGGTTTCTATGCAAGAAAGTTCATAAAGAAATTAATGTTTGTCTTAAAACAACAAAGTCTAAATCGTTAATGTGTTTTAAACTCTGTTTCACCCGACTTTGTGATCCAATGCCGAGATTTCAAGATTTATTGTCTGTATACGTAATATCGGAAATATTAAAGTTAATATGTATTTTTTTACTTCTTATATATACCTGCGTGTGACAATACATCATTAAAAATGCACCGTCTTTATTAAACTTTTAAAACACACGAAGATATCTATGGCCTCGAGCAGAACAAAATACATCAGCACAATTAAACAGACAGGCACATCTTTTCAGGGGATCTTTTGATTTCTTCAAGGATAGAACTCTGGCTCCAGAAGGACATGAAATCTGTTTAAGAAATGGGATTCTGTATTTGAAAAAAGCTTTTTATATAATTCTTTGTTTTTATCAATACGTGTACTCGCAAATGATTTTAGTTAATCCCTTTTTTGAGTATTTATTTAAATTAAAGAATCTTTAAATAACATTTGTTTACAACATTTTTTTAAATTATTTTTTAAATTATAAATTCTAAAAAAAAATTGCTTTAAACAATAAATTTCAATAAAATTTCAGTGAAAATCATATTTATTTTGCATATACTTACTTTGTTTTTTTTCCTGCCATCAAATAGCTATACCTGCAAATTCACAAACTACGTTCGTATTTCTACAGAAATAACCTCCGAAGCATTTAATCATTTCCTCCATAGAAAATGGGGGACCAATGTCACGATTTAATACATCTTTATTGTGTCCTTGTATTGTCAAAGCATCAAAGAACACGCCGTGCTTTTTATGCAATTTTCCCACCGTTGTATCCGGTAGTTCTATGGACAGAATTACATTGGCTGGGGGAAAACTCACCACTATTACAATAGAGACAGATATATCAAATATTGTATATCCTCGCCGCACGTATTCCAATGTTTTCTTTCTAAATAAAATCAATTGTTTACGCCGTGTATATCCCATCAATCTTGCTAAAAACCTTGTACTGAGAAGAGGTACATTCATTTGTGTTTCAATAAATATAAGTATAGTCTGAAAATCGTTTTATCGACAAAAATAATTCATGCTTTATTTAATCAAATATCTTTATTGTTGCCTCCAGGGAAATGATGAAATTGAATGTTTGAAATTAAAGTGGTTTTCTCTTGCGCTTACTATTAAGAAGTGCAGCAATAATTTTGTTACTTTTAACTTTAAAGCTTCAAAAATCATTTTATAGAATTTAAAACACTACGGGTATAACAGTTGATTGTTATAGTTAGTCTAAATTTTCTAAATTCTTATATTTTAATGTACTGTAAATCACTTTTTATACAAGAGAACTTTATTTTCGCGTAATTACGCGAGACAGTGTACTCGCGAAAATATAATTCTCGCGTATAATAGTATTCCTTAGTATTATTTAGAGCAATAACCACAATTCGTGAAAATTTTGTCTCGCTTATCACGAATCAAATCCTTTCTCGCGAAAATAAGGTGTCGCGAAAATTTAGTGATTTACAGTAACACTTTCATTTCATAATTGCTTAAAACGTCTCTCAAAAGGCGAAATATTTTTAAGGACAGATGATACAAACAAAATATGGATGCCTGGATTGGTTTATATTTTTTGACCCAATTTCATTGCAAATGATTAAAAAAAATTTTAGAATATAAAGAAATTGTAATTTAACCTTCTGTGATGTTCAAAATTCTACCCTTCTGAAACCATTCTTATTATTCTCTACAAATATTTTTCACTTCAAATTCCATTTTTGTGCAACTTTACATAAAAAATTTAAACTACGCAGTGAAACGTATTCATTTTATCCATTAAAACATGACCCACATTGTTATTTTTCAAATATTACTCTACTTGAAAATTAATGAAATGACATTCAATTATTGTTTGATAAACGGTCTTTTTAAGAAAGACTATAGGTACAATTGTTTTTTAAATGAAAGAAAAGAATTTTTAAGAAAGACTATAGGTACAATTATTTTTTGAATGAAAGAAAATAATTCTAGAAACATATACTTTACTCATGAGACATTGCTGTTCCTGTCTGGTTTGTAGGCAGTGTTGTAAATTATGCTTCTGATGTTTGGAAACTACCATTGAGAACATTTTTCGCAAATGTTAGAAATATTGCAAACTAATTTTGAAAAAAAAAACACTTCTTGATAAAGTACAAAAAAGTCTGTATAAACCAATTAGTATCCTTAACCTTTATTCTCTCCATGCTGGAAGGCACATATGGCCTAGTTGAACATCTCTCTTCCACTGGTGCCGTGTTAGAAGAGTTCCTGTCTGAATTATTCCGCTTCACCTCCACCATCCACCGCCATAGTGTCTTGAGAAGTCTCGCTTTCTTCTAACTTTAGGCGTCCACCGAAGGCCACAATACAGTCATCCGAATATGACCGATCCAAATCCATATCCTCCATCTCATCTCATTACTGATGTTTTCTACTTCTGTCTTCTCCAGAACTTTTTTGCGATATTCTGCTGCTATCTGACCTTAAGAATTCTGCTGAGGCACTTCTTCTGAAAGATGTTTATCTTCTTTTTCTCTGTCTTGGTAAGCTTCCAAGTCTCACATCAGTATAACAATACGGAAAGAACCAGACTCTTGAATACTTTGATCTTTCTCCTGATGTCTTTGGTGTTCCAGAAGAATGTGCCAGCCAATTATATCCTCTTTCTGCTGTCAACAGTGCCTCTTCCGTTCTTGCTGACATTGGCGCTAAGTGAAGTTGTCTATACCTTTTCGGCTTCCCTATTTTCGTCTGTCTTATTGGCTTCACTCTTGCTGATTATCTTCATCCCTTTGCACTTTTTGGCATATAGCTTCACTTCCAGTTTTTGGTGAGTTTTCTTCCGGTGTTGTTGTCTTGGACTTAAGGCGGTTCATTGTCGATGACAGTAAAGCAATGTCGTCTGCAACGTCAAGGTCTTCAAGCATAGTGGTGAAGTTCTATCTAATTCTTGTTCTCTTTTCTCGGACAGTCTGTTGCATCACACAGTCTATCCCTACATGGAACAAGAAACCTAGCATACAGCATCCTTGTTTGGCATCAGGGTCTGTTGTCTCGTTGTCAACAATCACAGTTGGAACACTGAACACTGAAAATCGTGCAGGGCTTTGACCATCTTAATTAGTTTTTAGGAGGAATTCCTTATTTCTTCGTGACCAAAAGACTGTCTCTGTGCACAATTTCAAAAGCTTTCTCAAAGCCCACAAAAATGTACAAGGTAGCATTCTATTCATTGACTTGGTTCAGGATGTTCCAGATGATGAAGATCTGATTGGTAGTCCCTCTCTCTCCAGAATCCTGTGTCATCTTTTCTGTGGATATTGTCAATTCCAGTCTGTATTCTGTTGATGAGGATTCTGCTAAGTGCTTTTGTGGCTAGGGGCAGGAGAGTGACATCCATCCAGTTGCTGCAGTCCTGTAAGTTACCTTTCTTTGGAATTTTGCAGATCAGTCCTTCGGTCCATTCTTTAGACTCTTCCTCCTTCTATATTTGATTAAAGTATACTTCAGTCCCTGGCTGGTCTGATCCAGGTCTGTCTTTAACATTTCTGCAGTTATTTGGTATGTTCCAGGGGTCTTCCTAATCCAAAGCTTTTTTTCAGTGCAGCCCTTATTTCCTGTGTTGTGGGTGGCTCGATTGATATATCTACCTCCTCTCCCTCTTCATGTAATTTTTGTGGCGATGACTCTGGGGTGTCCCTGTTTAGCATTTTCTCAAAGTATTCCATGGCAAGCTTTGCTTCTGCATTCTTCAGCAGCTCCCCATAAACATCATAAAACTTGGATGTTCGATTACCATTAACGTCTTTTTCAAGTAAAATATCCAGAAATGAAACAGATGTGTCATACACTGTGGTACTAGTATCTTTAATGCCAAGGTCACTGAGATATAATGTATCAAAATAAGAATGGAAATATTCATAGTTAATTCACAATACGTCGTCAATATATCTTAATGCCCAGTTGAAGGCCAAAGCAATGTTTTCTTCTTTTCACGTATAAGATTTTGAACAAATTCTGCTTCATATGAATACAAAAATAGGTCTGCCAGTGGCGGAGTGCAATTGGTACCCATGGAATTCCAATCGATTGTTTGAAGACCTAGTCTCCAAAAACCACTCAGATATTGGATTGTCAATAAAAATGTTATCAACACCTGGGAAAAACTGAATGTATTTTATTTGGATCAAGAAAGAAACTCAGTAACTCGAGCATCTTTTTAATACCAACTTAGCAGATGTCGATGATGTTAAAAAAAGCAATGGATTTTAATTTATCGTGAAGAATTGTTGTATATTAGGTTGATTTTTTGTCAAGTACCATACAGTCTTTGAACAATCTTGATTTCAGTTTGATCTTATTCTTGTGTGTGCTGAGGCATAGGCATAGTCTTCACCATGTAGTAGTTGCTCTTGGCATCCGCTTACCTCTATACCTTGGTGCCAAGAACTAAAGATTTCCACTGCCCACTAATAAGAAGGTGGCCAATCTAATTCTTTGCTGTTTCAGTAGCAGACACTCGTGTTTTTATGGGGGAACAATGTTCATGTGATTAAAAGTCCATTGGTCTGACAAAATTCACACAGTCTTTAATTCTCCATTCTCGTTTTACATTTCTAGTCCGTGGATACCGATAGTTCTTTCATACTCGCTGTTATCAGTTCCTAGCTTGGCATTGAGGTCCCCTGTGATAATAATGATGTCTTTCTTATTGCATCGATCCCCGTAAATCCTGATATAATTGGTTCTTCTCCATCTCTTCCTTTTCATTATGTGGGGCATATGTTTGGATCATCGACACTCACATGTATCTGGTATAGAAATGTGCTGTTATGATTCTCTCGCTGTTGGGTGTCCATTCAATGAGTGATTAAAGTGCCTGCTAACTGGTCATTATGGCAACTTTTCCCTCGTGCAATTCTTCATCCCGCTGTATATGGTGGTCTGATTTTAGGCCATTCTCATCCTCCCAGCTCCCAACTATCTGCACTCACTGAATCCCAAAATGCCTGCTGAAATCCTTCCATTTCTCTCGCAATCTTTGCTGATGTCCTTCCTCTGTATACCGGTATTATTCGCACATTCCAGTATCCGATGGTGAATGTTTGGGTGTCACAAGGGATCTAGTGGGACGCTGGGCTTTCTTTATGCTTTCACCCCTCGTCTTTCTACTGTCTCTGTTGGCGGTTCGATCGCGCTTCATCCGATCCTCTTTGCTCTTTGATGTTCATCGCATATTTCTGTAACTGTCGTTTTATCCGGGATGAAGACTTTGGCCTCCTTCCCAACTCCCCAATCTTGAAGGACCAGTGGTTTTCTGTCAGGGTGTTTTTCACTTTTACTGCGTTAGGCTTCCTCAGTCCATCCTGTGCACCACTTAATAAGTGAGGGATCCCATCTGGGAGGACGTTCCACCCCAGTCAATTGAAACTAATTGTTGGTAATTAGTATAAACTTTTAATATTTTTTCTTCAAATATATTTAATTCATTTTCTCAAAACCATGTAAATTGAATGAGGTTAAAAAAAAACATAAAAGCACAATTTTATACATATGCTAGTACATGTATTCCGTAAAATCGCTTTTTTTCGTTAGAGTCAAATTTTTGTGGCTTGACGAAAATTTACTGGTTCGTGTGAAATTATAATTGATTTCGTGGGTGCATGGTGAACTGTTGCGTAATGAAAAAAGTACTTAAATAGCATTGAAATATAATCTAAGGTAAATATAATCGTGAAACAAATAAAGTAGACATTTATTCCCAAACCTACTCGGACATATTAAAAAATATTTTGGCAATTTTACGGCAATATTTTTTTTCTTTTTTCTTAATTGTTATACACAAACATTTACAAAACTTGGAGAATGGAAGCCTACTTAATAAAAGAGTCGATCCTTACATCACGGGTTAGAATCCACTGTATGTTAGCTGTTATCTGTTTATCCGCAAAAACTTTAATCTTGTCCATAACTTTTGACTGGGTGGTACTATGGCTTTCATATTTCACAGATGTATTCCGTGTGACAACACTTTTCTTTGGGTACCACCAACTGACCTCTTGATCTTAGAGTTTGGCCCACTTAAAAAACTTTTGCCGCAACTTTTGAACAGTTGATGCTGCGGCTTTCATACTTCAAATGTATATTTATTGTAAAAAGACCTTTCATTTTGTTTACATGTAGGTATACTTGACCTTGACCCTTGATTTTGACCCACTTTGTAAGAACTTTAGCCGTGGCCATAACTTATGAACAGTTAGTACTAGGGCTTTCACATTTCACTTTTGTATTCCTTGTGAAAAAGACCTCCTCTTGATACCAACAATTCTGACCTTGGAGATAACTAGCATTTAAGAAACTTCAACATTTGCCATAAGCTGCCATGTGGGGGCATCAGTATTTCACAAGTGCATCTTATTCTCACAAATTATAACACTATGCAAATCACTGATTTAATTTATGCAGAATATTTTAAGCAAAATGAGAAAATCTTATATAAAAATTGTAGGATTTATCCAGACAAATGGGGTATTCTATACTCAATATTTTGTGAAAGATGATTTAAAAGCTGGCACTTTCCTTAACAAAATCTTATATCCAAATACTATGCACATCTCGGATATAAGCACAATGGATCTCCAATAAATACTTCCTACCCTGAAAACTGTAGGAGGATTTATCCTGGCAAATAATGTACTGTACCCTTCTGGCAGCTGCAGGCACTTACAACACCATTACAGTGACCAAATTTTACCTTATAAATACTGAAAACCAAGTTAAAAATAATGAGAACTACATATGAATTTCTTTGTGTTTTATTTATCTTTTGTAGTGACAAGACACATTAGCTCTGCATTTAACTGATGTCAGGAAAAAGCAAAGCTAGATCATTCATGTACAATAGCCATATTACAGACAAAAGTTACAGTAAGTACAAAGAACATAAGATCCGCCATAGAACCGGGGCTTCTGTATGAATGGTCAGATGTAAAGTTGTACGAAACAAGCCTAGTTAATGAGGTTATCTTAATTAACCGTTCTGTAAAATATAGTTACCACAGTTCAAGAGAGTCAATAATTACTTGTTCAATGTAATCATTTCAGTTATAAACTTGTTCAAACAATTCCAGCATTCTATTTCACCAAAACCACACAAAATAAAAAGAAATGAGTTAAGGCCCTTGTTAGTTTCTGTCGAAATGTGAACCACCACAAGGGACCTAGAGGTGTGCTCTGATTGGCCCATCACCCCTGACTGGTCTACTTATAATGTGTCAAAGCAATCCTGGCAGAGTTATCTCTCTTTACTTGCAGTCATTATTATCAAATCATGTTTATGAGAATTGGGATTAAAAATTTTCATTAGGACAAGATTATAGATAGGCTGAGGAAAGGGATTATTTCCTGTGGAAAATGGGATATAGAATAAAGTCTGTCTAGAGTATAATCTTCTGAAATCTGTAACTACTGTCAGATAAGACCACTCTGCTTAGCTGAGACACATTATAAACCCCAATAAGCTTATTACAAATAATGGGATAATGAAATTAAATAAATCATAACGAAATAAGGGATCCTAATAACTAAGCTGATGTCGGGTGAACATGAGATAAAGCCTTAAGAGGAGACCTAGGTAGCCTAGATCTGCCTCTTGTTACTTGTTCATCTCTCACTGGTACATCTCACTAGCGATAGGTAAAATGAACTGAAAGGACAAAATGCTGGAATTGCTTTATGGAAAAATTTTGACAATTTTTTTCATTGAATTTATGATGACTTTTTCCCCAGAATTACAAGAATTGGTCGGGGAAAAATTTGAATTTAGTTAACACATATGAACTTACAAGAATCGACAGCTGAACTTTTACGTAAGACATTACACATAGTGTCATTTTCCAAGTATGGAAGGTAATATTTCATTAAATTTGACAAAAAATCTATGTCCTGAGGTTTATAACTGGCAGGCTCCCAAGGTACATAGGGAGGTCATTACAAGTTTTTGTAACAGTAATTTGTATACTGTATTGAATACAAGACTAGATACGGATATTTCTTATAATAAATACTGTCAGTATAGTTTAAAATATCTCTACATGTATTAAGATACATATATTACCAATATAATGAGATGATATCACAATTTCACCCCTACTACATACATTTGCTTTCTCTGTTCTTATATACCACCTATGACAGTTTGTTATACAGATGAGCACTTGGTAAGATACAGAAAGAGGTCAACAAATGTACACCAGTTTTACCATTGTTCCTTATGTTCAACACAGGAAAAATAAATCAATATAAATTAAAAAAATTATAGTAAAAAAGGTCATAAAAAGTAACTGATGCACTTAGTAACAGTAACATTAAAAATACTATAAATATGCACTATTCAAATGCAAGCAAATACTCAATGAATGTGGGGAGAAAAAAATCACAAAATCTGTAAACCCATACCGCACCTATTGTCATCCATATATCACATGACAGTCATGTGACTATGAATGATCTATAAATAAATACAGTGAATCTATACATATGGATGGCTGGGGATCACAATGGGGATCAATGGGAATCCTCAAATCTTGTTACTATTTTTATCAATTTCTCTGCCTTTTTAGCATTATTAACAAATGGAAACTTTTAATGAGATTCCAACCTCAAAATTAATTACATATCATTTGTTACATTATTGGTATCTCAAAATTTCATTATCATCATACATCATATGCTCAAGAACTGATATCCTAATTCATGTAATACTCTTTCAATGTTGAGACTAAAATGAAACAATCGTAATTGTACACACATCCTTCTACCCTAGCATGAGATGGATCAGACAAATTCTATGGTGTACGGGGAATCCCCCTGCACCATTCTCCAGATGTTCCCCTCCTCAGACTCACTGTCCTCATCCCCCTCGCCTATCCCATGATCCTCCAGTGTCGACCGGACCCGATCAATACTGGACACCATGGCCTTCTCCAGCTGCTGCCAGAGCACGTCCCTCTGAGTGGGGGGCGGTGATTTCTGAGGGTTACCCCCTGATGACGTCACATGATGACTTAAGATGACTGAGGATGAGCTGCTCCCCATGGGGGGCCTCTCCTCTATCCCATTATGATGATTGGTGGAATCATCTGTCCCCATGGTCACCCCATTTGTTAACACTGCAGGCTCAGGACAAGTAGTCTGCAAGGCAATGCCGAACAAATACAGTTATAATTCATCATATTCAATGTTTTCTTTTCAGTGCTTTAATTCATCATTGCTAAGGTATCAAAAAGTTTCTTTTTACTGATCATAATTGCAAAACCAATCAGATTTTTTTGACACATTCTAGGTTGATATTGAAAGTCAACTAATTATTAACTTTAATAATCTCCTTCACTGTTTTGATTAATTCTAATTAGATTGATTAATCTTCCCTGTCATTTACCTGTGACTTCTTGTCGTCTGGTTGCATTGTCTTGGAAGGCGATGATTGGTTTTGGTATGATGTCGTCTCCAGCGTCCCGGTTATCTAAGCCCTCTACAGTATTCAAATTCAGCAAGTCCTCCGTATTAGCTAAGGCTTTGTTCCTATTGTTTAAGTCTATAACCTCCTCAAACTCTGAGTCTGGTTGCACCTGCTGACTCTGAGAGGCACTGAGAGAACTGTCAACTGTCACTGGAGTTCCCAAAGAGTCATCTCTTGTCATGCTAATACTGAAAAGGAAATGGAGCTAATAGAATTCAAACAATCAGAAAGATCCCTAGCTTTATTGTGTAAACATCAATTGTTTGAAATTAGAAATAATAAATCCTGACTTATTTCAGAGATCCATCAGAAATCAATCCTATGAAAAAAATTTATATATCAGCATTCAAAAGCTCTTCATTGAAAAAATATGAATTAGTTCATAATTGTCCTTTTTACACATCAACCTCCACATGAAATATCTTCCATCTGCTTATCAGTATCAGTCTTATGAAATCTGCCTAACTGACATGAGAGAGACCTACAACTCTCCACCATAAACAAACAAAGTGATTTTAAACTCCATACCTGTCTACATTGTAAACACCGTCACTCTCACCTGTGTACAACAGGTTAACGAGAAATCCACTGACAATACAGATAAATCAATACAGATCCACATGTATAAACCTGTTCCTTGAAATTAATATCACGTGTCATTTCAAATTTCAGTCCAGTGAATAAAAAAAAATAAAATTCAATCTTGCCCCTTGAGGAAATATGACATAATATTAGCCATGCATTACCTGTTTGTCCCTGCGCCATTTTTAATATGATCCAGAATGTTATAACAAGAGATAATGGGGGCCTTTTCAAAGTGTGTGTTTGCTTTAAATGGTATGATGACTTTATTGACAAACACGGATTATCGGTCTGCTAGGCGTGAAGGACTCGGCAATCACTGAACGGTCAATCCATGATTGTTGTTTATCATAACCAGCGGTCAAGTGGGCAGTGGCGGTCAGGTGTGAAATCTTAAGATACACACTGTCACAAGATAGCACAAATCTCTTACTGGAATGTGTATTACGGAACTATAGGAAGTGTATATGCATGTTAACAAAAGAAGACTGAGAAAACTGGTTTAATATTCAGATATATAAACATCAGACTGATCAAAGTAATAAATTTTTGTGTAGACATCTACATGTATTAATGCATATCCCTTTGTCCTTAACAGTTAAAATATTGCCCATGAAATGTATACTTTTATTCCATTTTAGAAAATGAATATACAAATCACTATTATGTGCATTTTTGGGTGCTTATACATGTAATAATAACAATTCTTAACTTTCTTTCTTTTATTTAACAGGTCTAGAGTTAAAAGAGAATGACCAAGCCCTATGTCAAAGAGAATGCATTAACTGGCCAGTTCTGACAAATAACGAGTGATTTATCTTCCAAATATCCAAAAATATACATCAAGTATATAAAATAACAATAAAGGGAAAATGAAAGTCAATTGTTTTGTTTTACATTCCAAGTTCTGTCTCTATGAACTGATGACTTTTTTACTTAATCAGTGTTTCTTTTTTTTACATACGGAACATTTAAATAATTTGACCATTTTAAAATCTTTGTGATCCAGTTTGGAGACACTCCCTATATAATCTATTTCACTGACACTGCCCAATTAGTATCATCCAAGTGTAAACATCTACCTGTGTACATATATATACAATGACTTTAGAGGGCGATCCCCACAAGCTGAGAGGTGAATTTCAAGGTCCATCTACAATCTAGGGCGGTCTGACACAACTCTTTGTATTATAACAATACCGTATAACAGGAACTCCACAATATGAAATAGAGATCTCATTTAAATACATTCCTCAAATACCTACACAGCACACCTATCTTATGTAGATTTGGTCTTGATGGCTTTCCTGAACAATTACTGTGTAGAATACCATTAGCTGACATAGAATCACCAGCTCAAAAAATCAGCGGCCCTAAATCATGTATCAAGCTTTCCAATCTGCATTTTCCACATCAATGCTAAAAGTATTAGTTGCCTTTGTCAAAGAAAACTTTCCTTTAAATCTGGAAGGTTACTGTTGATTGACATGATTATATGTTATGTTTCTTACGTTCAGAAAAAATAGAGTAAATTCAGGATGAAATCCTACACCAGATAAAGCTTTTCAAGTGTTCATATTGCATGAAATTTTACAGCCTGGGTAATGTCTTCTTGAATTTGTCAAGGATTCTTATTCTAATTTTTTTTTATTTTGACAAATGCCTCACATTCCTATCAAAAAATTAACAGGTTTACAAGTACAGATGAATTCTGTATCTGGAAAACTGATACCTTGAATATCATGGATATGTCAAAGTGATTTTGAAGTCCAAACTACTTATTCTTTTAGTATGCTACCCTGATATTTGAAATCTAAACACAATTTAAGTTTTTTTTAGAACTAGGTCCCATCAAGGTTTGACTGTATTTTTTTCCCCAAATTTTGGTTTAAACAAGCATTCTGAAAGAATAGAAAAGCCTAACCTACCGATAGTCAACACAGTCTGCGATTTACAGGCCTAAATTGGAGCCTTTGAGGTTATACAGTATGATCTTCTAGGAGGCTATGAGTCCAAGTTGAAAAAAGGCCTTACATGGAGTCTATAAGGTTTTGGTTTATAGTGAACTTTACCTGGTCTATGATCCAGAATCTCTTTTAGTTAACAAGGTCTGGGTTTACAGGAGTCTTACCTGCAGTCTATATGGTTTTATTAACATTAAATGTTACCTGGAATCTAAATTTTGACTTTACGGTAAACTTCAACTGGAGTGTATGATCTGGTATTTACAGCAAACAGTATACAACAAGGTCTGGGTTTACAATAAGCCTTACCTTGGAGTCTCTGAGATCTGCTTTTTCCTTACCTTTTATAGGCAATGAGGGTTTAAGTTTACAGCAAGTTTTACATAGAGTCTTTTGGTTCCTGGCTAGGTTTACATCAAGTCTAACCTTAGGTCTATTTGGTCAAAGTTTACAACTTATCATAATCCTTACCTAGAGTCTATTAGTTCTTGATGTCCGTTCTGTACACTGCTATCCTCACTTCCTGGTATCACAGTCTCCACTTTACTGTCACTGGAGCTACTATTTTCCTCACTTTCTATACTATCACTTTTTTCAAGAGTTACATCCCCTTGTGAGGAACTCTTCACTGCCAGTTCACTATCACTTGTCTCCTCCGGAGTAGAATCTCCGTTTTCAGGTTTGGAGTCATTTCTCTCATGATCTGATCCATCAGATTTTTCACTATCTAATTTATCTAAATTTAACCTTCCTTTTTTCCCTAGCAAATTTTGTAAGAGTGGTGATTTGAATTTGGGTGTTTCACTGCCCCCATTTTGAGATTTGTTTTCCACTAGTTTCTGTAGAAGTGGAGATTTGAACTTGGATCCCGCGTTTTCCTGGGGTTTTCCCTCTCCGTTTGTGTCCTCTAAGTTGAACGACACTCCGTTTTCACTGGTCCTCTGATCGTCCAGTCGGTCAGAAGAAGCGGTCAGAGTTCCGAGGCGAGAGGCAGATAGAGAAGACGACATTACATCACTCTGAAGTCCGACAATAATAAACAGTTATATCATAGTGTATGACAAAAATACTGAACAGGGAATACAATGTTGTTAACACATATAATTATTAGGGATGTGCGATTTTATCGGTATACTGGTATATCACGATTTTTTGTTGCGTGATACGTATCGTGGTACGGAGACCTAAATACCGGTATTTAGGTACATATTATAAAGTCCAGAAATGATTCATTTATTTGTTCAATACCGGTATTTAGGTACATATTATAAAGTCATAAAAATTTCAAAAAGAAAATTTGTATCCAAAAATTGATTGTAAAAATATCATGATATTATCACAATATTTTGGGGAAAAATCGTTATATATTGCGATACGAAATTTTTAGCGATATCCATCCCTTATAATTATCTTGTTTTTAAATGGCATGCCAATGATCAGGTAAAAATGTAAAGGACCTACATTAATCAAATGCCAAAAAAATTGCTTCAATCTTTTTGGCCAGGGGAAGAAATTCTTTTGTTAATAGTTAATTGACTGTGGATTTTCCCAGTGAGAATAACTGAAGAAATACGGCCATCTTTTAGCAAAATATTTGCTTGTCCTCTCTCCTCACTCAGAATGATAAAATTTGGTAGTTAAGGGGAGATATTCCAAAATCACTAGTGGATATGATGTTAAAATAGTAATTGATGGGACAAGAAAACTTCTGAACAAATAAAAAAAATTGTTTCACAGAGGTTGAAAAAAGTTTTGAGTTTGGGTGTTTTTTATTCAGCTGATCGGAAGAGCACAAACAATTTTTTTTACAGAAGGCCTTGCATAACTAATCTTAAATAATGAACTCCATTGAATGATTAAATATTGCCTTTAGAAAGACCAAGCGTTTCAGCATGCATAATTTCAGAATTAGAATCCCTAATTAAATGGCAACATGACCTTATTGGAATATAAATTACCCTGAGATTTTCTGTGGATGCTGAAATGCCAGCAGAAGCGTTCAGTGGAGAATCCGATTTCACCCTCTTCATGATCATCTCCAGTCTCTGTAACAGTATAATCATACACAATTATCTGATGACACACTGTTATCCTGAACAATTTACATTCTGTAAGGATATTAAAGTGACTTATCAATGACATCTTACACCAGTAACCCAGAAATATCATCAGGTGCATGTAAACCAGAAATCTATTTTTTTCAAATGTTATCATGCAATTTCTCCATAGAGAGTATTTTCTGTCCCATTTTAATGGTTGCTGCTACCAATTAATCCATTTGTTTCTCGAATTTTCCCTAAAGAAATAACATTTTTGAGCCGGTTTTTGTTTGGACCTTGTTGATCTCTCCTAATTAATAAATTGATGTACGTCATCATCTACACTATTTTTCTAAGTTTTTTTATGTTTATGTGTCATTATCATATTTTTCTACCTTTTTCCTCTCCTGACGTTCCATCTCATCCCGTTTGGCTTTCTCCTGTCTCTCACGTTCCGCTTTCTCTGCCTCCTCTCGGGCTCGCTGGTCTGCTTCTTCTCTCTGTAATACAAATCATCACCATACAGTCACCCAACAATTTTATAACTTCTTGCTTTTTCTAAAACTCCTCTTGTGAGAAATATTACACAAAAGCAACTTGAGAAATCATGAGAATGCAATACAACAATTTTTATTTTTGACAGGCTAGGGTATTGACAGTACCTAAATATTTTAAAGAATACATTTTCATTCTTTTGTATGAAGATAAATCTGTATTGTATTAATTAACACCCCATTCCTACTCATCAGGTCTTCATAAGGGGACAAATCTGAGTAAACAACATACTGCTTTCTTTTCCTGCTCCAGTCTCTCTTGTTCCTCCTTCTTTCGGAGCTCCTCGGCCTCTATTGCCTTTCGGAGCCTCTCTTCCTCGGCCTGCCTGGCCTGGGCAGCCAGCTGTTGGGCCTCTTCCTCCATCTTCCTCTGTTCCTCTTCCTCACGTCTCTGTCTCTCCTCCTCCTCACGCCTGATAAAACACAGATTCAAAGGTTAATTACAACACTGTAAATCATGTTTCACAAAAATTTGTTTTAAACATATTTGCGTGAGACCATCTACTAGCAAAAATTTAGTTCTTATCTTTATTTGCATTAGTAAAGACAATACATACATATATATGTTTAAATAATAACAAAATTTTGAATAATTATAACTGTCTTATTAATACTGGCAAATGATAATCTTGCAAAAATAAGGGTCAGATTGCAAATATTTGATGATCGACTGTAACATGAAAAATACTTTCAGTTCCAGGGACATTTATCAAAGCAAAATGCAGATTTCAATCTTCAGAGCAGCAAGTCATAACATTTTATATTATTCCTTTTTTTTTGAAACATTTTGGGGACCTTTTTTTTAATTAATAAAACTTTTTTCCTCTTTGGAAAATGACTACAGGGTTCTTAATTCTATCAAGATGCAAACATAGACAAAACAAGGTTATTGGTAACAAGGCCTGTGATTGGTCAAACTATCAGCTGACAACTATATGACCTAACATCAAAGAGAATTCAATCAGCTACCCATCCAACCTGAGGCAGATTTTATATCTTTATCCACAGATTGAACTACAGTGACCTTGGTAGAAGGCTGGTGAACTTTTAACTGCTTATAAATGCATGAAATTATTTTCCACCTCATAAATTTGATTGGTCCAATTTCATTATTAATAAAACTGAGGACAGACACATGTGTTGGACACTAAAACTTGTTTTCCTATTTCAAATCTACATCTCTGGTTCATCTGATGTCAAGTATTGACCAACTCAAACCTATTAGTCAAAATCTGGATATATTAATAATAAATAACAAAATCCTGTGGCGGTCCAATCAAGGTTTCAATGCGAGAAATGAAATGCTCAATAAAAAAGATACTTCCATAAAATAAAGCACCATAAGGCTTCTCTACAAAGACCATGCTGGAAAAAAAAACTTTTTCTGTAGTTTACCTAAAGTTGACTACAATATTCTCTGTGGATAATTAAGATGAGTCAGGCAATATGCTTTAAGGAATATCTACTCAAATTGTCATTTCTTTTATCAGTAAAATTGAAAGAGGTTACCAGGGTATTAATTTACCCATATTTGTCTGTCAGTTTGATGGGTGATTATAAGATATTTTTATATTTTTTTTCATAACATTTTATATACATGAATCTTTTAGTCCTTAGACAAAGTAAAAAAATTATTTTTGGGACAAATCTACTTGTATCGGTAATATAATTATACATCAAAACTTCAAAAGAAATTCATCACAAAACAATATTAAACCTGACCTCAGCATTACCTTTAACCTCAAATGTTCCTTCATTTCCCCCATCGATTACTGTGAAATCACTAATTTTCATGGGGGTTTAATTTTCATTGTTTTTCAAAACATGGAGAAACCCCTGAATTTCTGACCACCATGAAATTTAAAATTTCAACTAACTATGACCACCACAAAATTTAGAATGTCATATACATGACTACTAAACATTCTCCAACAATAAAATTAAATCCCCACACACCAATATTTTTTCCTCCAAACCTTGAAAATTTGACCCCACGAAAAATATGTGATTTAGTGTATTATACTAGTACCCACCTTATCTCCTCCTGTCGCTGTCTCTCTAGCTCTGCCTCTCTCTCTGCCTTCTCTCTCGCCTGGCGTCGTTTCTCTGCCAGTTTGTTTTTGTACTCCTCTAGTTCCAGTTCCTTCTTACTTTTGGTGGCAGATGAGGGGGTCCCTGGTTTGGGGGATGCGGCTCTGGCAGACGGTGGTGGGGTTCCTGGCTTGGGAGATACAGTCCTGGTGGCCACCTTCTCTGGAGTGCCTGGAGCAGACGATGGTGTCCTGACCCCTGTAGGTTCTGGTGTACCTGGTTTGGATTCCGGTGTTCTGGCTCCAGCAGGTTCAGGTGTTCCCGGTTTAGGTTCTGGTGTTTTAGCAACAGAAGGTTCTGGTGTCTCTGGTTTGGGTTCAGTCGTCTCTGGTGTTTCCTCTGGCTCTGGAGTGGACACTTTTTCTGTGACTACTGATGAAGCTTCGACAGACTCTGAGGAAACAAGATCTTCAGTAATTTTGATGTCTTTCACATCTGCCTCTTGTTCTACCACATCTGGTTTCTCTATTTTTTCAGGAACATTTTCAGCAACTTCTACAAAAAATAAACAAAAACATGTGCTTATAATAATGACAGAATCTGCTTGGTCAAATCCCATTATATATTTCTATTTCTTATCTTTCTTTATGAAAACTTGATCTGGATCACTTGCTATCTGTCAGTGAGTTACTGCTTTATTCTCTCACAAAGAACAAAGCTGTTTTCATACCAGTAATACCTTTCTCCTCTTTGCTCTTGGATTCTGGTTTCTGATCCAGGAGGGCTTTCTCCTTCTCTGGGGTTGTTGCTACTGCTTTCTTGACCTTGACCTCTTTCTTGATTTCCTTTGACATAGATTTGGTAGGTGTCTTTGTTTCGGGCTGTTTTACTGGTGTCTGTTATAAACAAGTCAAGAATTCTCAGATTTTAACATGACTTTCCTTAACACTTACAGAATTCTACAGAAAATAAACATTTATCATTTTTAAAAAAGTCAAGAAAACTTAAGAAAATTAAGTGATATATGTACTATTAAAGAAAGCTGTGGGTTCACTTAAAAAATAGCGTTGCAGATAAAAACATAGGTAATCAGAGATTACAGAGCTCACCTCAACGAATGTTGTCTTTAAGTAAGGCAAAGTCACACAATTAACCAACAAAAAGTATACATTCCAAAAATGAAAAATTTAAGCAATTTTGATCTGATACTTTGAAATAGACCTACATAAAAAATTTAAACTAGTTCTTCTTCATGAAAATATAATGAAAATCCAGCATCTGAAGCAAATTTGAGAGTTTTCATCTCTTGATGCAGCATTTGTGCAAGTTTGGTTTATACAATGTTATATAAGCCTTATAGTTTCTGGAAATAGACCTGTCTATTATCTGAAAAATGTATGTCGAATTCAGCATCCGAAGCAAGTCCATTAGTGTGCATCCTTAGATGTATCATCCATACAAGTTTGCTCATTATAGGGCTCATAGTTTATTGGAAATGAAACATGCATCAAAAACTAACATTTTCACTCATCCACAAAAAGTAGGTCAGATTCAGAATCCGAAGCAAGCCTGGTAGTATGCATCCTTAGATGTATCATCTATGCAAGATTGGTCATTTAAGAACTCATACTTCCTTGGAAATGAAACCTGCACCAAAAACTTTTACCTGTTCACTCAACCGCAAAATGTAGGTCAGATTCAGCATCCGAAGCAAGCCTGGCAGTGTGCATCCTTAGATGTATCATCCATGCAAGTTTGGTCAACATAGGGCTTAAAGTTACTTGGAAATGAAACCTGCACCAAAAACATTAACCTGTTAGCTCAACTGGAAAATGTAGGTCAGATTCAGCATCCGTAGCAAGCCCGGTAGTATGCATCCTTAGATGTATCATCCATGCAAGTTTGGTCAACATAGGGCTTATAGTTACTTGGAAATGAAACCTGCACCAAAAACTTTAACCTGTTCACTCAACCGGAAAATGTAGGTCAGATTCAGCAACCGAAGCAAGCCCGGTAGTATGCATCCTTAGTTGTACCATCCATGCAAGTTTGGTCAACATAGGGCTTATAGTTAAAATAAACATTTAACCTGTTCATCAACTGGAAAATGTAAAAAAAAGCCCGGTAGTATGCATCCTTAGATGTATCATCCATGAAGTTTGGTCAACATAGGGCTTATAGTTACTTGGAAATGAAACCTACACCAAAAACTGCACCAAAAATGTTATAAAAACATTAACCTGGTCATTCCTTTGCTGAAATTGCAGCATCTGAAACTCTTTCTGGTACAATGAAACACACTAGAACCATATTCCATGCATGTCTAATCAATATAGGACTCAGAAGTAATTAAAAAGAAAACTGCTCCAAAAAACTTAACCTTAACCTGGGACGCCGACGCCGACACCGACACCGACGCCGAGGGTATCACATAAGCTCCCCCAACTTCGTTGAGGTGAGCTAAAAAACCACTTGTAAAAATGACAAATTAGGCAGAACTGTTTAACAAAATACAAAGGCAATTCTACATAATAATCATAAAGAATTCTAACTTTAAATATTCTGTTTATACATCTATCCTCCATATGAAAATATTAAATAATCATTTACATGTACTATTTATCATGAAAAAATTAAGCTTATGATTTCTTGAATAACGAGTGTACATGTATAAATAATAATATACATACAAGGGTTATCCCAGAAAATTGTAGTCTAATAGATATCATTACTTAATTTATTTGATTTGCATTAATAATTTACTATATCAACAATTTTTGTGAAACTTTTTGATGTTTTCTTGGACAACCCTCATATATACAAGTAATTTTTTTTCCAGGATACATTTCATCTGGCAGCTTTAAAAAGAAACAGTTTTGTTATATTATACATGTATAGCCTTTCTTGCTTAAATCATTACTTAACATTTAAATAAGGTATATCATGGTCATCTGAATAATAGGTGATAGTGTCTGAATAAAGATGGAGAATTGATAGCAATGTTCTACACCTGTCCAAAGAACCAAAAGTTAGCAAGAAACTCAGTCACAAAGAAAAATAACACTATTAAGTCATAAAACAATTCAATTGCAGAAAGTCATCTCCCATTATCACTGAATGCCATGCAGTAGTTAGGGAAGCATGCAACTCAAGGTTACCTTTCTGACCCTGGGGGGCGGGGCAGTTCTGACCCTAGGGGCAGGGGCAGTTGGCATTAGAGACCGCCTTACAACCTGTAATAGCATACTCAATAAAACGAGGTACTTAAAAGCTTTATATTTAGCAGAAGCATTGCCTTTTAATACCCTTTATGTTTCCAGAAATGCGCACACACAATTTGTTGCAAAACTTAAAGAATTTTACTGAATTATGGTAAAGACTGCAAATCATTGCAAAGTATTTATTTTCAGTTTTATTTGCTTTTTAGGGATATTCTGATATCTATAAATTTTATATTTAATGTTTATCTATTCCTATTATCTAGCAATCTGTTATATGGAATGGCCTGGAGTAGATCCACATCAAAGAGAATTTATAATTTTAATGTAAAGTAGACTTCTATAAAACATCCTTCAGGGAAGCATTACCAACATCTGCAATTTGATGATTTCAACATATGTGAGTTAATAGCGATTGATAAAAATCAATAAAATTTCCATGCAGCAACCCTTCATACTTAGGCAAAACAATCTTGTCTTGATCAGTTGATCTTTAGGACATGTACAGGGGTAAGACAAGGAGCACCGTGCACACACTAAGTCCCCCTCTATTTTACCTTCTTGTCCGAGGCCTTCTCCTGCTTGTTCTGTTCATCCTTCTCGTGTTTTGGAGTCTCTTTTTTCGCTGGTGTTTTCTCTTTCTTGCTGATGTCTTTAGACAGGTCCCTCCTGTGGATTTCTTTGGGGGTCTCCTTCTTGGGCGTGTCTTTGATGTTTTTCTGTGTGTCCACATCTTTCTTTGGGAACAGTCTAGGAGTGGGAGGTTTGGATCTCTCTGTAGGGAACAAAGGAAGTGTTCTCATTAATGCCATTGTATGAATGAAAGAGAAAGTGCACATAAGGAAATGCCTGCATACATGTTAAACCACAGACTCTAAAAAAAAAAAATTAATCAAAGCACTTTACAGAAGTGATTTTTGTGGTTTATATGATTAATCAGTTTATAAGTGGCAGCCCCTCTGGAGGAAGAGCTGTGATAGACAGAGTTAGGTTTATATTTGACCTTACAGGTACAGATGTCAGCTTTGTGCTGTCTGGGATGATTCACCGTAAAACATCAATCACTTTCTATTAACATCATAAACTTAAAACAGATCAAATGAAGAAACATGGAAGATTTTCATCTACTTTAAAATGAAATTCAAAAGAAATTCTATCAAAAGTATTGTTTATTATCCCCCCCCCCCTTTTTTGGATGAAAACCTGCTTCTGATTATTTCACATCAATAAAGTTGGAAATCTGTACACATCAACAACAAATCTAATATATAATACAAATTATATATATAGCTACATGTACTTCAATGCACAGTAGAGACCTAGCTGACATTATTTTGGTCTCTGCAAAACTTTAATAAAACCCCTTACCTCTCGGTCTTGAGATTCGATCTGTACTTTTGCTACGTGAGTCTGCCGTCTTCTTCACGTTAGGAGAGAAGTTAGGGGAGGATCCCGCGATACTGGCCGGGCGGGGCTTCCTGGGGGTGGTCTTCTCCCGTAACTTGACTGGTTCCCTGTGAAACAGGTTCATTGTGCTCCTGGGCCTCGTTGGAGGGGGTCCACTGGGTGCTAGAAAAGATCGTCCTTTCTCTGGGATTGTGTTGAGGGCTGTGTGTTTTCAATACCAAATGTGCCCAGATTTGGGGGTGGTCAAATTTTGATGTGTTAATATTTTTGATTGAGGACAAGTTTTGGGTGGATTGAGAAAGGTTTTGGAAAAAGAAAAAAAATAACACCATATTAGTCAAAATGCACACAAATTCAAATAAATTATTGTTAGTTGGATAATTTGAGCATTATTTTATCCGGCTAGCAGTTAGCATAGCCCACCACCACCTCTGGGTAAAATAAGCCAAAGAGCACAGAAGTTACAGTCCAGGCATCAGCTAATTTATACCTATCCTTATCCTAAAACAAGATTTTGCTGGCATAATTCAATACAATGTGATAAATTATAATGAATGAATCAGTTAATAGTGTTAGTTGATTTGCATGTTAACCTTCTATTGAATTAATAATGCTTAAAATTGAAATAGCGGATGCTAGTAACATTATCTATAATTAAGTACATGTATACATAAATTTTCCGAGTTGGTCACCAATAAGCAATGGTAAAATGAATACACTTTACAGCATCCAGTCTTTGAATATTTCTTTTCAAGAAACCCTATAAATAATGACTGCATCATTTAGTCTGCTTCTTTATTTATTATATTGTATTATTTTATATAAGTAAAAGAAACCATTAATACTGAACATTCCTGACATTGTTTTTGGTAGCAAGGTCACCACATTTGTGGCATTTGTGGTTCAATCAATGACCAACATTGGTAATGTAAATGGATCACTTTTTGTACACACGTAGAAATTACTTAACTCTACTGTTTCAGTTAACTAATGGGCATCAGCTTTTTTTAAACTTGTTTCATTAGCAGAGTAAATATTAGGGTTTTAAGGTAAACTGAAAATAGGACTCAACTGCTTTAATTTACACACCACAAACTTAAGTATCAAGGCAATTCAAATGTTGAGATGAATAAGAAAATGTCATTATCTACTTAGTGGAAAGTAGCAATAAATAGCTGATGCCTGGTGGCCTATGGTGGTTTATATAGATAGTTCATCTGAATCGAAAATTCTAATGGTGAAGGCCCTCTCCCAACATAAAAGCTGTGGAAATGAACAGATCACTTCCAAAGCCTTTAATTAATTAGAAAAGCTCAAGGGACAAAAGAAATATACAGCTCTCAACAATACATTAATCAACACATGCAACTAAGAGTTGGATTACACAAAAGATAACGAGGTTGCTTCTTTGCAAAAAAGCAAAGAACCCAGCTGGTTGTGAAGCCTAAACAGAATATCAAAAACTGAACTGATCTCTATAGAAACTGTTAGTTTGCATGCTTCATGCCATTCTCTGAGTACAAAAAATACAGACTGCAGCTTATTGACATAACATGCAGGCCGATCAGTGAATTAATCCAATTACTTTGTTGCTGCATAGATGGCAACACGTGTTTGCCTACCAATATACCTCTCTACAAATCAATAGTCCAAATCATAAGCCATGTGACTGCTACATTTGTCATTTTGTATGATTTGAAGGTAGATATTTTATATATGTGTATAATAAAACTGTAAGTTTGTGTTAACTCATAGCTGTAGAATATGATATTGTATGGAATCATGCAATATGATAGACCAAGCACCATGCATATGATGTTTCATGCAATACAAGTGATTAAACAGTACAAAAAAAATTTCACATTGAATTTACTAAACAAATTCTACAATAATATCAAAATAAAGAACTGAATGAAAGATAAGGATGAGACAAAAAAAGGATGATGTACAAAACACATGCAGGGTTCATGCCAGAAAGTCTACTTCCTAAGGGTCAAATAGTTCTGAAGTCTTTAAGAGAGACAGGTAATGCCCACTCTACCCTCATCAAGACCTTGAAGGATGACCATTTACTGTTACTGTTTCACATGATTAACATGTCATTAGGACAGCTTTAATTCAGTGATCTAGAATAAGTGTCTGAGACCATTCCACACTCCATGGCCCTTTATGAATAAGAAGTTTGCTAAGTGCATATTTTGAATCAATGCTCCAAATTGGCATAGTCTAACATAACAGCAGCACTTCCTGCCAGTACTCCTTCCATCAGCTAATATTATTTCAGCTATCAGCTATATATATCAGTGCATTCAATTGTGCACTTAGTAAAATAACCTTACTTGGCATGACCTTGACCTCTGACCTTATATAATTACAACACCTCTGCATGCTTTGTAACCCTGTGTGTTATGTACACTAGTGGAGAGACATGAGAATGACACAGACACACCCTTACCCATCATGGACTCGGCTGGTCTATCGCGGGAGCTGAGATTACCACTGGATGTAGAGAGGTCACCCGAGCGTTTGTTATATAGGGCACTTGTTGACACAGAGAGATGTTTTGAGGGTGGGGTGCTTCCAAAAGTTCCTACTGTAAGAGTCAAGCAATGCAAGCACAATGCAACAAGATGCAACAAAAAATGCAAAAACAATCTTTGAATTCATAATGAAAAAGCCTTGCCCAAATAAATGCTTAGAACTATTAAAGATAAGACAATTCAACATGATCCATTTAAGAAATATGACTTTAAAATATCATGCCTACAGATATAATCAATTATACAGACAATATTTACTTGATAGACTTTATAGATTATAGTAATTCCTTTCCATAATACAAATCAATAGGAAATTCATGGCAAATTGTTAGATTACAGAAAATGTATGTAGTTCTTGAGAAGAACATAGAAGATGGTTCAAGTTCTTGAGATTTTAAACTGCACAATTTTAATTTGCAGCAAGGCAATTCTTTACAAAGTGCTTGACATTTTTTGTTGCAATAGGCTGACAATTTTTTTGTTGTTGCAAAAGGCTCTCATTTTACCCCACAATTCTTCACACACTTAAATAGTTTTCTGAACATATCTTTTCTGTATTTTCAAAATTCTTCAGCGAGTGACCTTGACCTTCAGTTTGTCCTTTATAAAGGAAATGCCTTCTTGACAAAAGTTGCCATGCTGATTTGTATTAAAGAAAGGAATCCAAGTTCTTATTTTTTCTCATCTTTATTTATATACTTCATTCATAACTATGAATCATAACATTATCATCCTTAATATATTGTATAAACTATTGCAAATATTGTGCATAAATCTTGTGTTAGTATAGCTTAATGTGTGTAAATTATAAGTTATAATGTGATTTAAGTTTTAATTTCAAACAAAAAGTAATCACTGATTGGTAATTTTTCTTTCATTGATTTGGAATGTCTATTTTTTTTTAATAAAAGAAAAAACTAAATAAATTCATTTTTTGCGTAAATTATAAAATGAATTGAATAAATGAACTTAAAAAGCTATGAGAAAACTAATGAAAAAGAAATATAAAAGTGATTTTTTGTGAAAAAATATACCCATTGCCTCTTTCACCGCACCGCCATGATAAAATGATTTGAAGAGTTTTTCGAAAAATTTTGATTTTTAAAAATGAAAATAGACCAAGATGAGACTCGATGAAAATATGCAGCTATGAGTTAAGTAAAAGCTGTGTTTAACACATGATATATAGTAAAGATTTGAGTTACTGGGTTAGTAGATTTCACATCACTAGCAGCTAGTACTAACAGGCTTACAGGTCAGTCTAAACACACACATACATTGAATCTCCAACCAGACTACCTATCTTTAACATATTAACACTACACAAAGACCAATCAATTCATAACATTAAACCATTACACATAAAGCAAAAAGGATTATCAATCATTCAGCTTTCTCAGGACAAAAAAATATTTCTGTTATTACTTGGAGATTCAAACCACCCAAAATTATGATTATATATGGATGAAAAAATGGCAAAATGGAAATAAATAAATCATAAGAGATAGCTTTACCTCCAAGCTGGTAGAAAACACTAAACAGCCAGTTCTTAATCCCATGTTTATAAAGCACATATATCATTTCATAAATCCCAGGTATATTACTGGGAATGTCTATTATATCAGTTCATTTCCAAAATCTTGAATCACCAGTGCCACATTTTAATATTTATCTATAAGTTATGAAATTAAAAACTGACTGTTGGAAATAGAAGTAGATTATATTACAAATGATAAACAACATGTCACAATTTTTTCCCAACAAAAAAATTACGGAGAATTCAAAGAATCCCCCAGGCCCCATGCTTTCAACAAAAATCACACTAGTCTATTGTAGGAGATGGGGAAAGTAGGAGAGAAAATGCACAAAATAAATCAAATGTGGGAATATCGTAGTAACATACACATAAATAGATCAAGAATTATCAAAAAATAAGCACCAAAGTATTGAAACATTATCACAAACATTAAGATTCCTCTTTGATAGATTTCATAGTAGCCATCAGGTGTAGCTTAGAGAACAGAGCCCGCCTAGCTTTGGGAGGCTTGCTCACTTTGTTAACTTTGGACAATAATGGTTTCTCCTTCACGGGGGAACCATACAAAGCTAGACTTCTCTGTTCCTGTCGGCTAGTCTGAGCTCTGGATTTCTTAAACCCCTGTAACTTCAGTTTCCTATGAGCAAACTTTACATTTAAATGCTGAGGGGAAGAACCAGCTTTTTCAGGGCTTATATTAACAGAATGACAAATTTCACAGAAATCTTTGAACTTTAACTTGACATGTTGTTGATTAGTTGACGTACCCTGCCCCGTGAGTTTGTTAATATCTATACAGCAGTGTCTCCGCACGCTACAGGCCGAGTAAGCCCGTCTGTGAGGAATATAAGAGTCGGCATCAGAGCCCTGCGGTGAGCGGCGATAGATAGTGCTATGAGAGGATGATCGGCGGCGCTCTAGAGGCTGACACACTGAGCGTGGTGCTCGACTTCCAAAGCCGATCACGTAGCTTATCCCACCTTTACGACTGCTCATCTGGGCCTTCCACTGCTCGTATCGCGTCTGTCGCTCGTTGGATTTCTGGATAATGGCCTCCTTTCTAGCCTAAAATCAGAGAGAAAAAAGTCTGAGTAAAACAGAGTTTCATGCAATCAAGCTTTCATTTGAGATGATTTGTCATTCATAGATCTACATATGTACGTTGTGTAGATAGTTATCTTTAAATGAAAATCTTAATTTAAAATGAGACATAATTAAAATTTTCAAAAACAGTTTGTAGAGTATTGATCACTTTCATATTTTTAACATTTATAAATTTTTAAGAGACACCTTTAATACCTGATGAACTCGATAACACTTTTGATTGCTTTGTTACATTAGGTGACAGTTATTATAATACAGATGGGAAAAAGTGGCAGATGTTTTTTTTGTGAGAGACAATGTGACATAAAATCATCCATATCCTCGACCCTGACAACTCCTTACAGAGTCTCACTGTGTCGTTAAACCTTTTATTGTAGCATTTTTCATTTTTCCTATCTTAATCAATGTCTTTCAAAACCTATGCAGGTCTTTTAAGGCATGGAAAAGGAAGCTGATTATGAATCAATATAAATGGTAACACGGACTGCTGCCTGCGACAAGATCAATGATGTGTCACCTGCAGCAGCCTTAAGGTAGACACCCCCAGCCTTAAGGTGGCTCCACATCACCACTTCCTCACCTACTGTTTGATCCCCTTTAATGTGGACCAGTATTATGGCCATACTGCATGTACAAAGGCTTAGAGCTAATTTTAAGTTCCTGTGTGGAACATTTCAGAGAGATTTTTGTGTTTCATGTTGCTCTAAAAAGATTTGTGCTTTGGGAATTGGACAACATGTTTTCAAAGACATTAGCTTCCTTTGAAGTAGGCAGGCCATGGTTTGGGCAATGATATGTTTTAAAATGAAGTAAAAAAAAATATTCAAATTGTCATGTGCAATAAAAAAAAGACTTAATGCATTATTAAAGAGTTGTTATTCCCTATGAAACACTAAAATGTTCATAAAGCTTAACTCATAATGTTCTTCTCAATATAATGCATATCAAATACTTGTAAAAACCAATTATCTGTGATAAACTTCAAAAGAATCTACAATGAACCAGTATTTGGTAGTACATATTTATCATAAACGTACACATTTAAGAAATCAGTATGGGTGACAGATTTGACTCAGCGATATAACAGGGACTTGGTAGAAGCCTGCTACAGTCTAACAACCCTGCTATCTCTTTATGGCCAGGCTATTTCTCTCACTTTCTCTTGAACTTGATATCTTACAAAGTAAATGCTGGCATTAAATATTTCTGAAGTTCACAATTAAAGTATCATCATCAGAGTCTGCAGCTCTTTAATGAAGGAGATCAATATGTAATGGTCCTGCATGTGTTTGATGTTAGAATTCCCCATCTCATTTATACTGCATACAAAAGGACAATGAAATATCATGCTGCAACTCGGTGCATTCTCAAAGCTCTTGATGGCAGTATCACCTTAAAGCTGCTTCCCATATTTTTTCAAAAAATTCCCCTTTTATAGTCTGCCAACAGAAATATTTTATAAAACAGATTTTGAATTAGCCGACTTTGACCATAGTTCCCCTTACCTTGTCTTGAGTTTCTAGTTTTCTGCGTCGTTCCTCGACGGCCACCCTGCGTTCCTCATCGCGTCTCTTGAGTTCTTCGATCTTCATCCTCCGGAGCTCCAGCTGCCGGTCTCTCTTCTCCTGAGCCAGTCGCTGCTGTTCCTTCATCTCCTCTAACTTTTTGGCCCGTTCCTCTGCCATTTTCTCTCGCTGAAGGCGGATCTTCTCCTCTCTTTCTTTCTCTTTTTCTTTTCGTTGTGCATCTGAAGTGTCAGTTTCATCAGTTATAATGATCTCAATAATCATTGTTATTTATCTATAAATCATCTGATTTATTGCAACCACTAAATTCCTAACATTTCACTTCATGACTGTAATATTATGCAAATGTTCAAAGATTAACTAAAGACATGTGCATGTCCTCCAATATCAGCAACCATTGTAGAAATTAAATCCAATGGAGTGAAAAAAATAAAAACAGGTTTGTAAATTTTCTGTTGATAAAATCCTCATCAAAACAGCACGTGTTGTATGAGGGTTGATGCACCAACTTCCATCTTTGGTAACATTAAAGCGCCTCCGTTATGGTTTATCAGCCTCTGAGCCAGTACGACAGATGTTACCTGCCCCTTCTACAAGGCCCTATCACAACAACAGCTCACGAGGAAAGTTAATCAAATACAGAAAACTTATTTTTATGATGAATTTTCAATCAAGGTAAAATCAGTGAAATTACAGCTTTATTTGGCCGATACCTTTATCTTTAAGAGATCTCCTACTGGTATTAAGATCAAAAGAAAAACACTTTCCTTTTCTGATAGTGGATAAAATTTTAGATTGAAGAGATCAATAAATTGTTCATTTATAATTCATCAAAAAATGATTAAATCAAAACATATTTTAAAATAAAATAGTTCATGCAGTGTTTGTAGTAGTAGACTATCACTTGTATATGTGCATCTAGATGTCTACTTTAACATGTTCAAGGTGCACTTTACACAGGTGTCACCTTGTGTGATATGGAGTACCTGTAATTGTACCGGAATACTTCCTTTTTTAAAATTTCATTTCTATGTATTAGTATACACATTTATGTATAACAAAGAATTATCAACATACATATGTGACTTAATTTCATTATAATAATAATATATGTACATATATATGCAGTTAATGGACCAGAAAGTCTTACGACACTCAAGTGACCCGAACATGGTCCTAGTGTTACGTAACAGTGCATATTACATACACGTAATACTGGAGTAGATATATACTGTGTAAAAGGTTAGTGTACTGGCACTGATAAATCACTGGGGTAATATAGATGTAATTATTCTCTTGATTAGGTATGTTGTAATAGTGATTTATAATAAATCATCATTTGAACTCTCTAAGGTCATGTGTATAGACACTGTGTGTAAGAATCATTCATATTTAATGCAAGGACATACTTCATATTGTGTGGTTTTAATTCACTCATGTAGTATCTGATTTATAAATATCCCGTTCCTATAAATAAATTTGTACAATGCCCTGATAAATCTTGCCTTTCTCTATCAAACTTTGTTCCTTGTTTGTTCCAGTGTTTGCCAAATTATTGAAGTCTACAAGCTTTGTTCACAAAGCCAACACTCTGATTTCTAGATATATAGGAATCCGATTTAGTGCCAAATCTCTGTATGATCAACAACCCCTCCTTTACTGTTTTACATGTTATCCCACTCAAAATCTAACAGGCCATTCCATTATTCTCAGTTTTGATTTCTATCAATAAGAAACAATTGTTCTACAATGCATAAAAAAATTACTTTTAAATAAATATCAAATTTCTAAAATATCATTATCTATAGAAACAAAACTATAACTATAAAAAAAATCAAATTCTCATAACAAAGGGTAAAAAAGGGTGCTAAAATGATCTAGCAAAAACTAAAAATAAACTGAGGGGGGGAAGAGGAAGTGTCATGACCGTCGTACACAGAATACACAGAAATAAATCACAGGTCTACGTCAGCATGCTACAGGTAGGAACTGTGTAAACAGAAGCTATATACCCTGTCATAAAAATATCATAAAGCAGCCATACACAGGAAAATCTGACTATCACATTGGCATGCAGACCTTAGGTTAAGGTCAACTGTACCAACAAAAAAGAACCACAACCCCAGTAAAGGGAGGTAATGTCAGGGAAAAATCTTATTATTTTTTTTTTTTTTAAAAAGGTGCTTTTATTTTTCAAAAAAAAAATCTAAGTATATTTTTTTAATAGAGATCTACATTTAGGTAATGTTCATTTATGCCCAGATAAAAAAAGATAATATTTCCCTTCATTTTTTATGATACATATATACAAACGTGATTAAAAAACAAAGTTATTTTCGAGAGATTGTGGTCCTTAATTGTGGTTTTTCCGCAGAAGAACATAAGAGTTGAAATTGGAACTTTACTTGCCTACCGCGCGTCCATTTATAACAACGTACGACCTTCCCGCAGTGACTAAAAGTGTCCCTAGAGAAAAGGGAGGCAATCAAGTCAACTGTAGCAAAACCTAATTATATAAAAACTGAATCTCAAAAGTTTCAATTATATTTGCCTTATTTTTCAGAACTTCAGCGAAATTAGTTTGTGAATTGTGATAACTGTTATTATTCATTTGGTGAGATTTGATGCGTACATCAATTTTCAATCACTATGTGTTATAAACATCAGTGAGACACACAAGATAAATTGTACCTTTAAGGGCATCGCTCTCCTCTGTTGGAAAATACATCACAATCATTAAATCCTACCTACATCTTATAAAATACCTTACTGATGATTTTTTATTAGTCATTTAAAATTCAGCACCCACTATAAAGCAGTAGATATGAATGTTTGTAGATATGTTATACAGACTTAAGGAGTGCTGGACTATTCTATTTTGGTTCATAACATTGCATTTCATGGGATGTATAGTAATAATATATTACAGAAGCCAAACAAATGCAATATGCAAAACTAACTTATATGTAGCAAGATCATGCTCCTAACTCAATACTCAACTTGGTTATTGGGCCTAATTAAAGCTAATTCAATAAATAAACAATTTAATAAAATACTGAAAATCAAACTTACATAAAGCTAGCAGTAACTGAACGGGGTTTAAAATAATTTCTCCTAATCTTGTTTTCACAATCATTAAACCTTTGGTCTTGTGTACTTATACAATTATCCACATTTCTGAAATAGCCAACATAAATTAGGACTAAAGAGAAATACTACAACAAAGTACCTTGAGCTTTATGATCGGGACTTTTTCTGGACTCTTCTGTAGAGGAAGCTTTTCCTGATGACACCGAGTGGTTGTCCCCTGTGTGAGGTCGAGGCGATGCCCTCGCTGACGTCCGAGGAGACTCCTTTCCGCTGTCGTCTATCCTCTGTCGCTTCTCAGCAGGAGACATACACTGTAAACTAGAGTGATCTCCCCCTGCAGTAACCGGAACCTCCTCCAAACGGAGACTGTGATCCAGGGAATCGCCGGACCATGACATGTGATCTACACCATCCACAGAGGAACCAGCCTCCGTCACTTTGTCCACCTCCATCATGTGATCAGGGTTTAAGGTCGTCGACTCAGCCGTGTTCACATTGTCTGGGTTAAAACTGTGGTGATCTACATCTGCAAGGAGAAAAGTGAATCTACAGGATAAAACAAACATCAAACAGAAAATCAAAGCAAGAATCAAATAAATAGGAATCAGGAAAAGGGTAACTTTTGAATAGGTACTAGATTGAGGGAAGCATCCACAGGTCTCAGATTGATGATTTGGTGGATGTCTGAAGTAGCACCCTAGAGGTTAATCACAACACCTGACCAGGTACACAGGTAAAAACAGAAGGTATTATACCTCCAAATGACAGACTGTCCACACATCCACACTACAGAGCCGCTGTATCACACACCATTCAATAATCAATAGGCCTGTATACAAGGATAAACACTGGTATTGTATGTACACTGTAGGTATCTGACTTTAGGCTTTTTTCACCTGAAGTGAGTTAGTAGACAATATACCTGAATAGTAATCTTTGCCCATCTTTCTCTGTTGAGAGCTTTGATAATGGAGACAATCAGAGAGCTGACAAATATAGCAGGAATGGGAGGCTTCTTGTCTGTCCTGAGATGGCACACAAGAGTGCTTGTTTTTACAGATTGTAACCCTTTATAGGAAACCCAACAGTCCCTAAAAATTGGGCCCTGGGGGTACAAAATTATAAGGGCATCATTAATTCTCAGTTGTCTCTATACACAGATCATTGGGCTGGAGATTTCATGACCCTTGGCCATTTTTCTATCACTTTAAAAAGTTAAAGGTGTAAAATTATGTGTCTAAATTACAGTCTGGAAAATAATGGATTGTTGGCTTCATGTTTTTATGATACAATCAAATAATAACACCAAATGACTGTAAAGTTTGAAAGCTATATTCAATCAATATGGAAATGTCACATGCTATAATTAATCAATCAGAATTTTAAATTTGAATTACTTATTTCATGTAAAAATGTTATTTAATAGTATACATGTTTTAGCTGTATATCAATAAATATTTGACAGCTTAATTGAATTAAGAACTTGACTTTTGATAATAGGCCCTAAATTACAAATTTCCAAAGGAAATTCAGTTAGAAATTTAAAGTAAAATAATTTTGAGAAAAACTATAATTCCACCTTTCTCTATCTTTGCTGATGAGCATATTCTTTCCATAGGAAATTTCTTTGATTTTCTTATCTTTGGTTGAATGAAATAAAAAAGAAATCCTTTGCAACATATGAAAGCCATACCCTAGTCACATTGTACATCCAGGTGTCACATAACACCTATAACTTGTCAGGTAAATTATCTACTAAGATTGTCAGTCCATAGTACCTGTAATATATCACACCTGAATTTGAAGTACTATTCAATTCTAATCAACTCAACAGAGACCTGATTAGTACCTGTAAATGGGCTCAATTTGAGGTGTCCCCCTTTACTCCAATTAAAGGTAATTATCCTTAAACATCAAAGGCAATTAATGGTCACAGCATCACACTATCACCTTCACTTGTTTGGGAAATGTCAATTAGTCATTGATTTCACTGATACTAATAGTCCTTACTTAACAAGTCTTGGTCATCAATAATTAGCTCACAGGATTAAAAATACAGTAAATGTTTGATTACAAAAGTTCTTATATACACTGGTATTGGTCAAGGCAGATCTTGGAGTAAACTGATTTTGTCATGATACACAGGCTAATGACCCTGTGTATATGTGAATTGTCATCTTGTCATCTATTGATGAGTATTACTTATAAGTAAAGGAAAAAGATAATTTATCTGTGTATTGTCATCTTGGAATGTCAACAATAAACAATTCATCATGTCAGTGTATATAAACAGCCACAAAAAATGTCTTAATGAGTTCAGTGATAAATATCAGGAATTTTTAATGTGCTGTATTGAGTTTTGAAAAACATCAAAGAGCACTTTAATGTTATGATCATTATTTTCTCTCTGAGTTGAGATAATGATACGTTTTTAAGAGGTAAACACATGAAGTGTGTTGTGTAAGATTTCTCTGTAACAACTGGCACTCAGTGCTTTACACAGCAGCTTTACATGTTTTTACTTCAATCACGGATTAATACACAAACTGTCTGCCTTTCATACATACTAAACATGCTAAAGTAATACACAATATTGTACGGAAGTCAACGGAAGTTAAGATAACATATTAACCCTGCTCATTTAAAATCATTTGATCTCAATGAATTGATGAAACATGTTGAATGCATTTTGACATTTAAAAGACCTTAAACCTTTCAAAGATTATCTTCCGACAAAGTAGTTACCTTAAGCATCAGGTATATTTACCTATAAAGAGTGACCCAAATACCTGTCTAAGGGTGTGCACTTCTTTGAAAAATATTTGGCTCATATTTCAATAGTTCATAGAAATGTTTATATATGTGTTATAATAGTGAAAGATTGAAAATTTACCATTGGCAATGGCATTGGTGAATTCTCTAACAAAATCACGAGAAATATGAAGCAGTAACAGTAACTATAGACTCTGTCCTACTATATAATGTCAACATCATACCACACCTGGAAGTAACCCATTCAGAGCAAACTGTATTACATAAACTCTGTCAGACAGAGTTAATGCCAGTCATATAGTCCTTCATCTCTGCATTATTCACACACAGTCAAAGCACTTCTCATGTAACAGTTACTATGCCAAGGTCATTCAGACATATGACTATTACCACCATTATTGTCAAAGTACTGCAGTCTTAGATCATGTAGATCAACTGTTGTCTGACATCCAATGCCAACATTTTTTTGTTTTGTTTTTGGATGACATCTACTTTGGACATAGAGTAAAAATTGTTACAAAGTCATTAATTTACCCTCTGGAGTTAAAATCATCATTGATGAACTAAAGTCCTACAAGTTGACCTAGCTAACCTGTAGTAATGACTCACACACACACTAGACAATGTGTTCCAGTCTTGCATCACCACTGCAGGTTTTACTGATTTTTTAATTTGTCAGTTTACACAGCACAAAACTTCAATAATTTCCAGGTTGTCTGCCTGTTTAACATCACGTAACACTGGAGTTACAATCCAAAGGCTTCAATTCTTCATAACTGACAGACAAATACTAATAGACAGATTCATAGTGATAAATAATATGACCGTCACTAATATACAGAACTTCTGAACTTTCTTAAGATCTAAGAGCAGCCGGCTAAATTGTCCCTAAGACCCAAGAGCATGAAAGTTTCCTGTCTGTTATGGCATACACCCCTCCCCCCTTTATTTTGATATTTTCCCTCAATTCCCTCATTAGGAGAGGACCCCAGACCCCCATTTTAAATTTGTAATGCCCCCTGCTAGTTCAAATTTAAAGGAGAGATGTAAAATGGACAGACAGTCCCAGCTGCTGCAACAAATACAAAAGACTAGGAGGGTTACAAAACCCTGTATCAATTATTTTATACAAAAATATTAGCTCTGTTCATTTATTGCCATGGGAATAAAATGTCATAAATAAGAAAAAGTGGGCAGAAAAAATGATAAAGTTTACGAAGCTAACAAGTTTGAATTTTACAAAAATAATTTTACAATCAATATATTTGATTAATATAACCACTCAACTCAAAACATTAATTAATTTCCTTCTCCATACTGCATCACCATTTTAATGTTGTGTGGGGTGAAAACCCTACACAAGGGCAACATCCAATTAAAATGTTTGTCACAAAATGTTGTAATTATTACAAAGGCTATTCATAACAGTTCAGTGCCATGTTAACAATGACAAGATTGCAATGCATTACTGAATATTTGTAACTCAATGTGTTAATGGAAAAACATCATCCATTTTTTATTAGTTTTCCCTTTGATGTGTTGTCTCTGTGGCCCTGGTGTAAAAATCAAGTTAATAAATTGTGATAAAATAATATTGTGTGTAAATTCTCCATTATCGTCCTCTTTTTGATACATAGAGTAAAAATTATGCAACAGCTGGTCTTACGAAAAACTTACCACTTATACAAAAGCTTAAAACTCTACATATACAGTGTATTGACTTTCCACTTCTAGTGTACATGGGAAATAACACACATTAGCGAGAAGTATTTGGGGAATTTTCATAAATGTACCTTAAGTTAATTTTTACATTTAATTCTTGAACTTATACATATAAAAATAAAAACTCTCAATCTCAATTACATGTGAAGAGGTCATACTTCACTTTATGAAGAGAAACAATAATATTTTAACCAACAGATTGTCAACAGAGAAAAAAGACATTGTCAAGCTATTCCTTCATATAGAGCATCTCTGGTTCACACATTCCAGACACAGAGACAAGCCTGGTATGATAATGAGGGCTTACCTGTCACCGTGATGCTGTATACCATTGTCTTATCCTAGAATCCCTGTAATGTCTTCCCCCTCACAGAATTTATCCCCCAATAACAGGGGGTCTCACAACAGATTGTCCACCTAATCCTCCCTAAATTACAGGTAAATCACAGGTGAACTGTCCCCAGCAATCACAGATATCGACAAGACAATGACAGACACAACACGCGGGTGATCACATTGATTCCGTGGCGATTCGTAGACTCTCAGATTCCTTGAAGAGGAAGTGACGCTAAAAATGATCCTCGTATTACGAGAGCCGCCCGTTAAGTTTCTATTTCCTTACACATTTCATTCACAAAAGCATGTCAAAACAGTGTTCATATCTCCACCTTGCATTAAGGGAATTATAACAACATGTGACATTACACTGAGTGTACCCGCGGTGTAAGAAGAGAAGACCCTGATTCTAATCCACCAATATTGTTACAGGGAGGATGAAGTTTCTATAGACAGTGTTAAACATAAAAACAGTCCATGTAGAAAATCTGACCCCAGGGTCACATACCAGTGACTGACAGTCCCAGAGGTGTATTTTTTACAACATGTGTATACTCATTATACCAAAATACAGGTCATATTTAGATTTACCTGTGAGATAACACCATAAAACCCTACACAAGATGACATTTGTCAAGGAAAACCATCACCCTTAGTAAGCACTGTAATGCCAATGGTACTGCATGTGCTTGCACTCATGCAACCTTTGCTGGTTTTACTATAGCTTATGATAATATATATGTTGATGATAAAGCAGATTAAAATTGAAGATAATCCTTGAAAGTCTAATATTGGAGACGCTCAGTCCTAATGATTTATAGGTCTAACACTTAATAGTAAAACCTTCTATACAATGTATAGATTTTCTAGGATTCCCCACAATTATCAATCAAGTCAAGAATACCCTACTAAGGAATAATAAACAGTCAATAAAAATATATATCTAAACTTTATCAGCAGCCAGCTAGAAATTGTGTCAAAAATCTCACTGCACCTTAACGATGCTCAATATGACATGCCGTTTGTTTACGTTTAGTGCCTACCAAAATACTGCCAGATTACAGAATTCCTGGTACCATCTGACTGTACTCAGAGAAATAAATCAGAGAGAAAATGAGGTACAAAGTAATTAAAACATCTTCACACAGAATTATAGCTACACTTTGTATTTTTATTGATACAACTGCCATATATAAGCACCTTTTCGCGGGATTAGGTATTTGATTGATTTTGGGTCAATGACAGGCTGATGCAAAATACTGTGTCTTTGATTAGCAAAAAATGAAATCAAATCATTTCAACTCTTGTATATATATATGTCAACAAGGAAATTTTACCTTTTTATCAGCATGAATTTATATTTCCAAAAGGGAAGAATTTGACAACTTGATTTCTTAATCAGGTACTTTATGTAGGAGATAAATATTAAGTACTATGTTTATTTTTTCCTCTTAAATCTTTATTAATTGCAAAAATATGTTGTCCATAAAAAAAACTCCATAGTAAAGGTATGTCTGCAGTTCTCAGACTTTCTTTTAATAAAGAGAAATGAAATCAAACACATCAGACACACTACAGGTAATGATTATCAAAGCTAAACAACAAGAAATGATTACATCATAGTGTTCATACTGATACACAATTATAACACTTGTCTGAGATGTCTGTCTTAAAATTAGTTTTTCCTGCAGCTTGCCATATAATCTGGTGAAAATTCAAAATTTTAATAGATAAAACTTTAGTTTGCTAACGGCTACATCAATAAATTGTACAGCCCGACACCGCAAATTGTAGTATCCCCTTGCAATGAGCATATCTATATACCAATCAAGACAGAATTTGATATAGATCTCAACAAAATTACATCACTTCCATTTCAAAAAGAACATAGCTAACACACAAACAAACACTCATACACAGTAGCATTTCTATATCCCCTCCAACTCCATTGCGAGGGGATATTAAAAAGACTGTTTTATTCTGGTTTCAGATTTCAACAAATTAATAAATGAGCAATCAACATGATCAAGCTTAACAAAAGGTAACTTTAAAAATTTGTGAAAAACTTGTATGTATCTTGACCTTCATTACGGAAAATTAATCCCTATATGTGCAGCACAGATGACAAGGTTTTATAAGATCCATTAATATGAGGTCCATATTTCTGAAATCTATATCCATACCAAAAATTGCATCATTTCACATCACCAAGTCAAAGGCAACAACACTGAAGCAAACCCAGTTCATTCACCGAATTAAACCAATAGCCTAGGCCTACTCTGTTATGGCTTTTACAACTCTTCAAGATTCAGTAGGAAAATAAAAGTTAAACAAGCGTACATACTGATCAATAGACACAGGAAATACCTATCAAATGAGTACATAACACAGACAGAATCATTACCATGTCTATCAGTGTTTGTTAGATGCTGAACAACAATAGTATCATCCTAACTCCTCCCATTTTCTAATGTATTTGCTGTACCTCTATGTCATAAACAAAAACATTAATTTTATCATGTTTATAGCTGCAAACTGTGTAGCATTCATTTCAATTGCTACAAGAAAATCAACCTTTTCATAATATCAGGTAGTAACAATAAATTAATACTAACACATTTGCCATTTGGTCATAAAATATCAATCACTTATCTACAATTGAAAAAAAGATGAATTTCCCAAAATCTGACATGATTTTGCATAGCAACTCATCTGTGTGCTTATAGGCAGCATGTTACGATGTATTACACAAGTTGTATATTAATTGTTTATATCAGGGTTGTCCCTAGGACCTCAGGGCCGGGGAATTCCCCCACCTAAAATGATGCTATCCTCCAGTTAATTTAATTGGCATTCCTCCTTATCTCTCCCTAGAAGGAAAGGGACCCAAGATACCCTCCTACTTTTTGAAATGCCCCTTCTATTTCAATTCTTGCATTGGGAAAACCCTATACATCACACGGGCGAAGGCTGAAATATAGAATTAAAAAATCAAGTTATCAGTCTAGTCTTCTCACTTCTATTATTCTAAATGCATCGATCAAACAACATGAACAATTTTGATAAATCCTATTGTGAATTGAATTTGGCACACACCAGTATAAGCTAAACAATATACATCCTGAGTTATGAAGTGCATATCCTTTCTAGTCGAGACTGTCAGGATTTAAGGTTTTATAAAACAGTTGAAAATCAATTGATTTTTTTCTGTATGTCTTCATATAACAATACAGTTTTACAACAAAATTTTCCATAGGAAAAAATCCCTTGACAAGTATCGAGTAACTTGGTATGCACAAGTAACTGTTGCATTCCGTGTCTTCATGAACTAGCTCTAAGCTCCTCTATAAATGACACACAAAAACTGAAACCAAAAAACACATCTCTGTGCTTGCTGAAAGTATGTCATGATGTTATGTTCATGCAATGACCCAATTATGAAGCACCATAGTATGGCAAGAAACAATGCAGAACAACGACAGAGAAAATTCGAGCGGCATCAAATAAGTCTGTTTGGGCGTTGAATCATCGTTATCAGTGGAACTTTATAAACAAATTTCCTCTTAGGCCAACATTTTATAAAGGGTCCGTAGGCATTCAGCCTACTCAAATATCAGAAATATGAAGTAATGAATGAATGAATTAGAGTATTTTAAAAAGAATTTCACCTCCAAGAATGACATAAAATAAATTGATAAAATATTCGTGTAACGATTCTTCGTTTGAATTTTTAGTCGGTTAGAATAAATACAAGAATTTCTGCTCTTCTGAATCCTTTTCATTGAGCGATTATACACCGGGTATTTGCCTGACAACTTTCTCAAAGTGATCACGAGATTTTTACCAAGTACAAACAATACAGTGTGACAGACGACGTAAAATCGGTGTTCTTGGACAAATTACCCGTTAAATAAGGGTCATATTGCAAGCTGAAATCAATAAATAAAAATATCAAAACATTCTCTAGACCTGTGACAAAGGTTTGAAGTTACGTGTACCTATTTACAGGACAGGGGGTCTTTATTTACCTGGCTGGTAGTCGCTCTCCGATTCAGCGATCTCCGCCATTTTTTCCTTTCGTGACGTCACAAGTTTTGCATTACTCATTCCATCCATTTTTTCTCTCTATCCAAAACATCTAGCATTCATATAAGACATTATAAAACATCTGATTTTTTTTTAAATTGATAAATCAATTATATTTCTATTTATTTATCACTTTTATACCAAATGCTTTGACACACATTCGTTGCCTATATAATATTACATTTCTTTTTAAAGAAAGTTTGGCAACTTTTTTGTAGTTTTTAAACTACATATGTATTTATTATATTAATCTTGTATGCAACTGCAGATAAAGTGAGATTCTAGGAAAAAAATGTGTATCCTGGTGTATTCAATTGTCATCTCCGGGGAACAGGGTTGAAACATTGCTAATATACCCCCCTCAAAAAAAAAAAAATAGGGGGGGGGGGGTTATTCCTGCACTTAAAGCCCTACAAACATGGCAAAGGCCAATAAAGCTATGTTGAATATGTATAGTGAGATTTTTTTCTTATTTTTTTCACTTCTTATTTATTATTTATATATTGAGAAAATCTTTTGAAGAGTCAGGATAAATTTAATAACACCTTGTAAGAATTCACAATTTGACGGGACCAAATCTCTATGCAGGCTGCTGTATGCCTATACTGTGTTGCCTTAGACTGTTTGAGGAGTTATAAAATTATACACAGGAACCTGATGTTACTTAATTTTCTTATAAAGAATTAAACCTCATACCTAATACACATTTTTTCCTCGCATTACATACACATTAGGTATGGCGTTAATATTTTTTTTTACATGTATGAGAAAAATCGTCTGCAGGTGCTTGTGTAAAATTATTATATGGTTATAAGTTGGAGAAAATACGCATGCATGTATATATGATTGCAAAATGACATTTTTCTTACTGTTATATGTTTTTCTTATTTTTCTTCATTCAAGCATACATAACAGAAACAGTAAGTCCCGTAAATGTCACATTTATATGTATCACATGTATTCTTTGACTTTGTTCTATATGTATTATAAGTATAACATGTACATAAGCTGCCAGCGTTTCTCCATGACAAGAATTATATATATTTATATAAACCATTGAAAGAATTAAGGTCATATACATATATGCTAATTCTGATTAACTTCCAAGCACCACACAGGAACATTTATAAAATGAAATAGTCCAGGCGCATATATAGTATTTTTATAGGGGGAGGGGCCCCAAAAAAACACAAAAAAAAAAAACACTTTTCTATTGAAAATAATCATTGAAATATATGTTGCCCCTTTTTTGTTGTAGCATACTTATATCAGGGTATTTTGTAATGTATTTTAAAAAGATATGCTTGTAAAGGAAGTCGGATCTTCCTTTCCTACATTTTTTTCAGGTAAGTTATCTTTTTTTCTGGATGCCCATGCATTTGAATAAAAGATACTACACGTACTGTATGCCAAAGCATGACATGCAGAGCTCTAGATTAGGTGCAGCACGCAATGTTGTATGACACGTACAATTATTTCTATATATGTATGTATTATCTGTAGAATATTCCTTATTATCACCTGAAAATGGATTAAATGCTGGATTTATCCACGACTTTATAATTTGATTGTAACAGCAAATGTACTGGGTACTGGGTAGGGTGCAGTGAAGCATCTGGAGCACTCAAAATGTTTTTGTTTGTTTGTTGTTTTATGTCCCTCTTGAGAAATGTTCACTGATGTGGAGACGCCACCACTTGGTGGAGAGCAAATACTCGGCACTCAGTATGGAGGGATCTTTTTCGTGCCAACACCTACTGCGGTCTCATCCGAAGGACCGGTCTCCAAAATGTAACCACACTTTGACTGGAAATCCCCTGTTAACTTTTAGATCTAAAAAGTGCCCAGAGAGCGAATTCTACTGTACATAAATTCACAATCATCAGGGATGAGTTATTGAAACAAAGTTTCTCTTATTTCCATGTATCTACTATCCAAAAGAAATGAACGAACTGAATCTGTATTTCATTGTTTTATTGATTTATTAATAGTTTATTTTTCACTCATGTTTTTCAGACATTTGAAAACAAAAAAGAAAATTAAGGCCTCATGTATGATTCGAACTCTCTCCATAGCGCAGCTTTAACCACTACGCTACGAAGCATATGAATTATGACGTCTTTCAGTGCGATTTCGATTTTCATATAGAATGGGTTCAGATTCCATTTTTTGGACAAATGAAATAGATTTCACATTAACGTTTCCATCATTTAAGCGTTCACGAAGAATGGAGACTTGGTCCATTCATGCTCAAAATTCGTTTTTATAGCTATATCAAACCCATTTTCCACTAAATATGCTTATCTGTCAGCTTTGAAATAAAGATTATCAAATAAGTCGTTCAGTAAAATAAAATAATAAAATGTCTTGAAGATGACATTATCGAGAACACGATTTTAGAAAAATATAATTTCTGCGAATTTTGAAAAACATTTTGTCTCAGAGCGTAGGGGATTGTACACGCCTTATACGCCCTCTTTCTTTTATACCAAGATGTCTTTCAAGAAATGAACACTTAAGATGAATACAATCGATTTTTTACTTCATTTTTCAGATTTACAATCCAGAGAACAGACTATTGTCACTAATTACGTACTACGAAGTTTTAGCCGAGTTCCAAAATTTTGTTCATAATACATTTCATTTCAGAGTTCAAACCTGATCATGTTTGTTTTGCATGAATTTTTCAAAAATTGACATGGTGTTCATTTTGGGGGAAAATAGAGTGATTTTGCAATTGGGAAAGGGGCCCATATTCGGGGCAGTGGAAAATCCCTGATTTGACACAATATGCCATAAATAATGGCATCTCATCTACTAAGACACTGAAAGCAGGGGACCACGATTCTTTGAATTTGCCTGTTTATATTTGAAAGATAATATTTAACAATTTGAGGACAAGGGTAGTAGATTTTGAGAGAGCTGCATAACTTTCATTTTCAATGACAGCACTTCTCTGTTTTAATATATAACATTCTCAACTCTGTTGTAAATTAGGATTCCAAAAAGCCTAAAAATGTTGTTTACTGTAGGATCATTTTGATTTGGAGAGAGGTTCTAAGCTCATACCAGTTGACATGGAAGTAATTTCATGGATAAACCCTACAGAATAAATCATTATGCTGATTAAATTATCAATGAAGAGGTTGTATATTCACTGGGTAATGGTGACCTTCAAACATCGGTTCCGAAGAAACAACAATTCAAAAGTTGTTCAAAAGTATTGCTGTGAAATAATTGGATTAATTTGAGTAAAATTACGGTATATAAAAATAAGAAGTGATACAAGTATCTTGTATGCTTTAATCATTAATTATTTTACACACTGTACAATCATATATATACAATATTACTCAAAAAATAAAGTGACTTTTTAAGTTACAATTCAATCTACAATCACAGAAGATTGCACATATTTTAAATATGCATTTGTATAAATCTCATCATTAGACATGAAATTAAAGTGTGTGAACTGATAAAAGGTGTTTGAGCAGCAGCCATCTACTTGTGAACAAAGGCCTTAGAATATTAAAGTCTTGATCATAAAGAACACATGGTGCTCAGAGACTTGACAATCACAAAGACCTGTATAATATAAACACTGTAATTAAGTAGATCCGAACTCCTCCATCCACTTCTTGTATTTCTCCAGGTCCTCGTTGGACACACTTTTGTTGACCTTCTTGATGGCGTTGTTGAAGTCCTCCATGGTGGGCGGCAGTTCCAGCTCCTCCTTAGGAATCATACGGATCTGTTCCGCACTCAGTCCACTAATTCTCCGCCGGAATGACATCATGGCAGCATCTCTACAAACAGATTCCATTGAATAAGTATAAATAAATATACACATAGTAAGAACATGAGTTGATCAAGATGTCACCACTGCTATAAAATGTTTAATAATGGAAAGTTTGAATCAAAACTTTATATACTAATATCTCAATCTATTTTGTTCAGATGTATGCCATACACTGTACTTTTGAAGTATTGAATATTCAAAACACAATGTGGGGTCTTGCCTTTCACTGCATGGCAAGAATGTGACACTTATTTTGAATCTGATGATACTTGAGTTTTACACAAAAATAAATTTTAATATAACATTTGGACATATTGAACAAAGTGCATGTAATTTTATTACTACAACTTAAAAGAGGGCAGTTTTTACCAAATTGGCAGTAATGGTTATTATAAATAGAAACATGATAAGTTAGGATCTAAAAATGAAAACTCAAGTCATAACAACATCTGTAACATTAAGTGCAGATTCCTAAAGTGTACATATTAAGAATGGTCAATGTCCCCACACAGTTACCTGCAGACGTTAGTGATGTCAGCTCCGGAGTAACCGTTCAGATTTTTGGCTACCGCGGCCAGATTAACATCCTTGGCTATCTGTACTCCTTTCAAGTTGATTTTCAGCAGCTCTTCTCTTCCTTTTTCTGTAAAACATAAATTCAGTTCACATTTCACATTCATCCCATGTAGTTATTGACATTTCTCATACAAACTATTAATTTGTAATACATGTAACTAGAGATGTTTTGTGATACATTTGTGCACTCCATCCCTTCCAAGACAGAGTCCAATGGGCATAACTCTGACAAAATTGCTTGATCCTATCCAAAACAGAGCTAAATTTAGATATTCTTATGATTAGAGTTGGGTATTGCGAGTAAAAACCATATTGCGATATATTGCAATATTTTAGGTTGAATATTGCAATATATTGCGATATATTGTAGATTAATTATCATTAATAAATTTGCGCAGAAAGTTTAAAAATGCTGTCAAGTTCAAAGTCTATTTGAATTTATCTATAAATTTAAAGGGGGTGGGGGATAAGACATTAATCGCACACATAATTATAATAACTTTCTATCAAAAACCAGGTAAAAAATAAAAAACAAAATGTACTCATTTGATGTATTTTCAAATTGAAAAAAAAAAAATTATGCATAGTATATTCTTTATATGTTTTTTTTCGGGGGGGGGGGGGGGGGGGGGTTGTTTTATTGAAAAAGCATAAAATGTAAATTAATGATTAAAACAATATATACTATATAGAAATTTTATGTGGTCACAGAATAAAATTAAAGCCAGAAAGAAATTGTGACCTATTTTCGGGCGTTTGATGTTTTAGTCTGACCCGACCTAATTTCACATAACGACATACGATCAGGAACGGCATTGGCCTAATTCTATTGTCTTAATATACATGCTCCTGGTATAGCATGAAGGTGTTTAAAATGGCATGAAACTTGTTAAAAAATAATAAAAAGCAACACTGTATCAAGTGAAAACATGGATGGCCATTTATTTGTAATATGTATCTTGAACTTAACATTCATCGTCGACCGTGTAGATTCCATGAGATTTTGAGAACCACAATACACATGGTATACACTCTGTAGAAATGTTTTATATATTTTCTTTCTTAATAATTTTATTTCAAAGTCTTTTTATTAATTTCATTTTAAAGTAAGATATTTAAAATTGCGACAGTGAATGAAAAGCTTCCCCCCTCTCTCTCTCTCTTCTCTCTATCTGCCTCTGAAAGCTGACGAAGTATTTTTTTACTAGATTGGAAAGGCCTGGGAAAGTTACAAGTATCATTTCAGCAGTTTCTACAATAAAGGAGGTTTTTATATATTTTTTATAGATATCGTGAAACACCGATATCTGATTTTCATATCGCGATATATTATCGTGGTGGATAATACCGCAATATACCGATATACCGGTAATATTGCACAGCCCTACTTATGATAATCTGTATACCAACTTTAATTTCAGTATGTGCAACCTCTGCAAAGAAAATGATTGAAACTACAGATAATTGGAATTTTTCTTAAGTCCAAGGGGCATAACTGTCAAAATTACTCGATCCTATCTAAAACAGAATTTGACATAGATACTCTTTATGATAAATCTGTATACCAAATTTCATTTCAGTATACACAACCTCTGCAAAGAAAATGAACTGAAACTGCAAATAATTGGAATTTTTCCAAGTCCAAGAGGCATAACTCTGTCAAAAATCTTGATCATACCCAAAACAAAACCTGACCTACATGATTATTCTTATGATAAATTTTCATACCAAATTTCATTTCCTTATTTGCAACCTCTGCGAAGAAAAAGAATGGAAACTGTCGGTGGACCAAAGATTGACAGAATGAAAACAGCAAAGCAATATGTCCTCCCGTTTTTGAAGGGAGGTATAAAATTGAAAAGTCATCCAAATTGTATCACCAGACCTGTAGGAAGTGGAATGTAGATTCGTTTCTCCAGTCGTCTTCTCAGGGCCTCGTCCAGGTCCCAGGGGAAGTTAGTGGCAGCCAGAACCATCACAATCTTGTTTTCTCCCTCCTCATCCGTAGACTGTGTGGCAGATACACCTAAAACAGTCGAAGTATGATATGCAACTGATCATGTATTATCTAATGATTCTCTGTAGACTGTGTGGCAGATACACCTAAAACAGTCGAAGTATGATATGCAACTGATCATGTATTATCTAATGATTCTCTGTAGACTGTGTGGCACATACACCTATAAACAGTAAAAGTATAATAACTCACATCTACAATGTATGTCTTATCTAATGATTCTCTGTACAGTGTGTGGCCCTATAGTATGTAAAAAGAATAACACAAACACATCAGTGTGGTGAAATATATATGGTCACGCCTCACTGCGCTTAATAGTCTACAAAAATGTGAACCGATGACTTATTATCTTTTTAATAATGTTGTGTCTTATTAAATAAATGTGTGGCAACTTCAAATATATATCACTGCTGTCTACAATGTATGCATTATCTAATAATGTTGATTAAATAAATTAACTTTACAACTATAATGTGACATAAACTTTTTATCATTCTGTAAAGTTCTTAAATGCAGATGATTATACTTTTGTTCACTATATACTTCAAGAAAACAAAAACAGTACCATCCATCTGTATCAGGAGTTCTGATTTAACACGGCGACTAGCTTCGTGTTCCTGCCCTCCTCCTCTCTTGGAACAAATGGAGTCAATCTCGTCAATAAATATAGTACTGGGGGCGTAAAACCGAGCCTGAAATAAAGGACAAATCAAGTCAATCTCATCAATAAATGTAGTACTGGGCCCGTAAAACCAACCCTGAAATATAGGATACATTGTTAATTGTTGTAGCTTTTGCTACTTATTGATAATGGCTTAAATGAGATATCCAATCAAATTTTTTAATTATATCATGTTAAAGAAGAATTTGGTTTATTTTTTCAAAAAGACGCTGAAAATAGCACAATTTTACTCAAAAAGCAGCAGAGGAGAATTGAAAGCAAGTGCAAATCACAAAGTTTTAAGTGCATGTAAGGCATATAAGGCCATCTTTAATGAAGGTCTTGGATGAAAGTTTAGGCACATTTACAGTATGTGCAATCAATATAGCATTCATTTTACTAATTCAAAAAAAGAGCAAATTATTCTGAAATCAAATAAATATATTTATGTTTCTTATAAGTGTAATGTTCCCTTTTCATGTACATTATTCAAAATAAGGACATTTCTGTTAACAGAAGTAATGTATTAAAATAAAATAAAACTTTTCAATCAACATAACCATTTGTTGATTTGGCTTAATGACTAAAGGAACAAATGCAAAAAGTCTCTAACTGACAAAGAAGAGTTAAAAAATACACTTTACTTTATTCAATGTGAAAAAGCTACTCCAGTTTCATTTCACACTATAAAGAGAGCAAAAAGTACACACCATAAAGAACAATATCAGAGAATAAAATGAATTTCAAATATGATTTCTAAATTACATGCATACCATAATAAAATATCCTACATTCAACCCAAATACAAAATCTTCAGTCTCATTGTCAAACAAATGCAAATACACCTACTGAATATGGTATCCCTTACAGAAATAATTTACCTTTTTCTCCTATCACTTTGAAAGGATGCTCATGAACACAGAACTTCAAGTTGCCGAACATTTAAAATCCTAACTGGATTCTCATTTCACCCAAGTAAACATTGTAAATAATGAAAATTAACAACAATCATACTTGTCTTCTTGGAGATGCACATATAAAACCAATAACTTACTTGGTCACCTGATATACAGACCTGTCACGACTAGTCTAGTTAGCATGCTGTGAGTGAAACATTCAGAGGAGGAATGTGGCTACAAACCGGGTACAATAACTTACTCTGGCAGGTTCTACATACCATCTCAAACAGAATCCGCACCAGTTTCTCGGACTCTCCGTGGTACTTAGAGGTGAGGGTGGAGGAGGTGACATTAAAGAATGTGGTCCCACACTCCGTAGCCACCGCCTTAGCTAACATGGTCTTGCCAGTTCCCGGTGGACCGACCATCAACACCCCCTAGTGGTGGAGAAAAAAAAACAAGGGCATGCAATATTGATTAATAGATCCCGGGAGTGCCTTACCATTTCAAACAGAACTCGGACAAGCTTCTCGGATTCCCCCCGCCATTTGGAGGTAAGGGTGGAGGAGGAGACATTAAAAAATGTGGTGCCGCATTCTGTTGCCACCGCTTTGGCCAGCATGGTTTTACCTGTGCCAGGTGGGCCCACCATTAACACTCCCTACAGACAAGAAGTTATATAGCACTCCCTATTTAATCACTTAATAACACCCCGTCACTGCAGTGCTATACTAAAATAATTATTTCCTCCCAGGATAATATTACACTTTTCTGAGAGAATCTCTTAAAACTGATTTGTATGAAATATTAACGTAATTATTGTATTATGACAGGTGTATTTAATTTTACATTTCAAATATTTGTATAGATTATAGAAAATTGGAAGGAGTGCTAAACATAAAATACACATAAAATATTTATTTCCACAGAAATAAAATTTAATTTGAAAAGTTTAAAGATTGGTAATTTTGAAAAAAATATGACACATTATGAAATCTTTCAAATTTTACATTGTTTAATCTGTCTCATCTTTAGTTTATTTATTAAATGAAAACAAAAAGACTAATGTTTACCCTCCAAGGTCTCCTGATTCCCTTGAAGAAGTCGGGGATGACCAGAGGTAGAACCACAGCTTCCTTCAGGAGGGCCTTAGCCTCCACCAGATCAGCTATACTGTCCCTGAAAGAACAAGGTCACAAATAAATAGTAAATGTGACAAAGTTAGTGACATTCCTTATTTTTTATTCATACATATGATATATGAATAGGAAACCAAGGAACAAAATTTATCAAGAAACATACTAACTTTTAGAGCTGACAAAATGAATTCATACAATAAAACAATTCTTAAAAGGCTATTCTTCTTGCAGAAAACTTATGCCTTAACTGCTAAGTGGGCAGAAAACCAGGTACTTGTAAGTTTTGATCCATTTTTTACTTCTTATTTTTTACCTTTACCTCAACATAATGTATCAGTTATCAGATCTTACCAGCTAACATTGGGATTTTTCTGGACAATGTCTCTTTCCAGATTCTCTACCAGATCTTTATCATATCCAGTAGGATCAAACTTCTTTTCTCCATCATCTTGCTATATCAATAAGAAATATGCCTTATTAAAAATATGTTAATTGTCAGCAAATGTATACTGTATAAAGGGTTATTTTCCTTATTAAAAATATGTTAATTGTCAGCAAATGTATATTTCATATCATAATTCTACCTTTCTGTACGTAAACTGTCATATATGCTAATCATAAACCTTACTTCAAAATGAATTTAGTGAATGATGCTATGAATGCCTAATTTTTTTTCCAGCTGTTAATTTGATATTACAGTTTCACTTTAGTACAATCATTTATATCTAACATCAATACATGTATTTTGAATACCATGACAATTTAGACGTGAGTTGGAAGTCCAAACTGCTTTTTAACTTCAACAATTTGAATCTTTTGATATTTTATATTTAAATGTTTTGTCCCAGCACTATTGCTATACACACTTTTTTCTTGTTGTCCTTTTGACCTGGTCCTCCCCTCCCCCGACCACTGGGTTGACTCGGCCCTCTCCTGTCCCCGTATCCAGGACGGCTGGGTGCTTGGCGATTTCTGCTTGGCTCTGGCTTCCTAGCTGCTCGTATATTAGGACCAGGTCTGTAAAATTAAATATAAATGCTATGAAAAAAAAAACTCTTTATATACCTATGTGCTCATTTTTTCTCCAGTTTGGTAGCATTACACCTCATATTTTTATTTCATTTTCAAATTTTGGGTTGACAGATGAAAATTGGATAATAGAAAAGGGCAACAATAAATTTTCTACAACTTGATACAGAGACTCTGCATGATAAAACTGCATCAATAATTCACTGCTCCTTTCTGCGTACCTGTGTTCTACGGGGGTTGGTGGTGGCCACACATCAGGGTCTCTTGTGGGCTCCTCGTGTCTGGAATAATCATTTCTACCAAAGTTTCCGTAGGGGGATCCAATTTCCTGGTTGTCATAGTTATAAGCTGGGGGTCTGGTGTTTGTCGTCTTGAAGCTTGCCAGTGTAGAACAAATCTCCTTAACCTGATCACACTCAGAGGATATCATTTCTCTGGCCTGTTCACAGAAAAAAATATACATTAACCGAATGTACAGACCTAGATATGTGTCAAAGTCTTTCAAATAAAAGTTGTAATATATAAATCTTTCATCATCTGCCTTGTGATACATATATTGTAGGGAGCACGTGATCAAGCATTGTTAGCTTGCAGCTATGCAGCAGCAGGAGACTACTTTAATTGGATATCTACACTTCAAAACCTTTATATGAATATACAAGATTGTAAGCAACTGATGATACATATGGTAAATTTAGGCATTGTAACAGTAAGGGAGAAAATGCAAAGAACCAGACTGAGACTGGCCTCCTGAACTTTTACAAGATGCTCTTCCAAGCTATCTGACCACAAGCAGTTGAAGCTGACTGACAGTCATACTTTACCTGCTTTATGTTATAGCCCTTGAAGCCCGGTCAGAGATTTTTTTACCCTTCGATTCCAGGGGCCGGGGCCATCAAGATTGGGAAAAATAGCAATATTTGGTTGAAATTGGGAAAAATATCTTCATACAAATAAAAAGGAAAAAACAAGCAAAAGTCAACAATTTAATCTTTTTTATTATCTTTTATTGTATGAAACCGGCTTCAATCAGCTTTATTCATATGAAATATAGTGGCTATTGAAGTTCATAAGCTTAACAATGGCAAAGCCACAGAATATGATAAAATTGTAATGAATATATTTGTACGTTGCCATTTTTTTTTACCTTTATTTAAGAAGTTTGTTAAAAATAAAAGTTGATAGTAGGTTTGTTCCTGATGAGTGATTAATCAGTACTGATCGCCCAGTTTATAAGAATAAAACTCAAGAGCGATTCAACCCAGCCTGAAAATTACCGTCCAGGGCAAACTGGAGAGACTGCCATGTTGCATATTAATTTATTAAATAACGATCCCGACTCTAATTTTTCAACATTGATCCCGCTTTAAAAACATCCGTAGAATTCCGAATGACTTCTCTGAACTTCTTGGATGGCTCGTACATTGCACATAGGGGAACATAACACCTGTTTTTCATTATTTTATTTTAATAATTTATAACTTAATACTCTTTTCTTATTGGGATTTTTTAGATAAAATTTGGGAGAAACATGCACTTTTCAGCATTGGGAATGGGGTCGAATTTCGGCCCCAAAGAGACCCTAAAAAAATCCCTGCCGGTTCATGTCTGGCAGGTTTTAAATATGTTACTTTCATGGAACAGAAAGGGAGAAAATCAGTGCTACACCCTGGACGTGACTGGTGAAAGACCTGTCAAGGAAGAGCCTGGGTTGATGTCTTTGAGGACAAAGACATTTAGGGGGATCTAGGGAGGAATGTGGTTCTCACTCAGATTTGATAGCCGGTCACCAGATAGCTTAGTTGGTAGAGCACCTGACTAGTGATTCATGGGCTGGGGGCGTAAGTATGAATTTTGGTATGCTTCCATTTTTTTCGTCAGTTAGATACTACATGTGTACAGCTTCGGTACCTGCATCCATTTTCTTCGTCTGTCTGGGTCTTTGATGGCAGATAAGTACTTCTGAATATCTTGAATGACCCCCTGGTAGTAGACAAGTGATGTGTCATATTGTCCAAACAGGGCTGTCTCCCTCGCCATCTTGGTGTTCTCGCTTATAGCAGTCAGAGTGTCTGTCATGATTGCGGTCACTGCAAAAACAATAGCATGTTTTATATGGCTATATATCATTAGCCGTACTGTAGGATAAATTGCGAGGAAATTCGTAAGACTTCATTGCCTCCCTGAAACACAAACTATTGTTGAAAGACTTTAAATTTTTGTTCTTTTCTCTACTCTGATAAGAGTAACCTTAAAGGATATTTGAAAGTACCTCGTTAACTAGCCAAATACAACAAAATATAACACAATACCTTTTTCCTAATTATTTTTAAAAATGAAATAATGTCAGAAATATGTCGTCACGCAATCATTGGTATCGTAGAAGTTCATTGGTCAATATTTAATCGTATAAAAAACAAAGCCAATACCCACAGAAATGAAAAATCCGAAAAACTCCAGCTCCAACATTATTCGAACCAAACACCTCAGGGTCCACGCAGTCAACAATCAACATCTTTTCTATTCGTTCTTAGCCACATTCCGACGTGTTTTTATGCCCCTGTAATTGAGGATTCGGGGGTAAATGGTCTTTTGCACTGTCCGTCTGTCTGTTTATAAAAATATAGGTGTTGCCTATGTTTGTCTGCCTTGTCCACTTTTGACTGGGTAGGGCTATGGCATTCATATTTCACATGTGTATTCCTTGGGAAAAAAATATTAGAAAGCATCTGTTTCAATATGAGAGAATGTTTCATTTTAAGATAACATATATTTTATCTGGTTAAAAATGAGCTTATCAGGCTTCCGTACAGACTGTATACAGACTGGTATTTTTAGACATCGAAGTGATGTCTAAAAATTACAAAAAAAAATTAAAAAATCAAGAATCAAAAGCCCTCTCTGGTCATGAAAATTTATATATGCACACATGCATATGTAAAATATGCAAATCATCGTTGTCTCACCGAGCGTGGTGGACAGCTATAGGACTATGGCAACGTACTTCAAATTTGAAAAAAAAAGAATTCAAAGTGCACAAAATCAACGCACTCTGAAAAAAATCTCAAAGTGCGTTCAGGGTGCACATTAACATTTTTACCATGGAGCCATTTTAATGCACTTGAAAAGAAAAATATGTATATTAACAGCCACGTAGCATCGATCGTTTTTGAAAGGGGGTGTGCACAGATCTGTAGCGTTATATGGTTTTATATATATATATATATATATATATATATATTTGTCTTTGACCATAATGTCAAAGACAAATAAATATATAAAACCATAACGCTACTTTAGCTGGGGGGGGGGGGGGGGGGCAGGCAGAGATAACTTTTTTTGACTTACCTGAAAAAGATGACCATAATGTCAAAGACAAATAAATATATAAAACCATAACGCTACAGATCTGCAGCTATAGCTGGGGGGGGGGGGGCAGGCAGAGATAACTTTTTTTGACTTACCTGAAAAAGATGACAAGCAAAAAAAAAGTGAGGGGGCAAACCAGCCTTTCAATGAACATTTCCAATAGTAAAAGTATTGCTGGAAAAAAATTAGGGGGGGGGGGGCAGCCCCCCCCCCCCCCCACCTGCCCCCTCTTGTTGCTACGTACCTGTATAGACACTAGCTCACCCCCTCACGCAGAGTGCCAGAATACTTTAGTGGTTTTACACTGTATGGGAAGAAGAAGAAATATTTTACGTTTTCCTGGCATTTTTTTTACGATTTATTTTATGTGCCAGAATTAAAATACTCCACAAGATGTTTCCATTTAACTAGATGCTTGCTGTTCTTGAGATAAAGATTTTTTAAAACATTTTTCCTATGTTTCTCGTAATTCTATGTTTCACTTTGATTCCCCATTCTGCCGAAAACTATCGCGTAAAATATCAAAAACGTATAAACCCAGGAAAACACCAGAAAAAACAGGAAAACGCCAGAAAAAAAAAATCAGACTATGTAGAAGGTTGTCTGCGTTCAACCCTTTTCCCATTATTATATTGAAGTTGGTAGAACATTAAAAAAAGGGGAGGGGGTGAGACCCAGTTATTCTTGGCAAAAAAGTGCGGGGGGACAATAGCCCCCTCGGTTCCTATATGCCTATGCTAGACCCGCAAATACACATTTCCAACCAGATAATTATTCTCATACCTAAATTTGCAAGAAAATTGACCAACCCATGCACATTTTTTTTTCAAAGGGCATTAATTTAGTCAATATGAACACACTTTGAAAGGAAATTTTAATTTTTCAAATTGTGTTAACTTTGTCCCAAATTTAACACACTTTGAAAACTTTTTTTTACAAAATGTGTAATTTTTCAGTGTTTTGTAATATACGACACTGAATTCTCTATAGCAACTGAAACGTTCATATCAGCAACTATCTTGGTGAACTCGAAATAAAACGAAAGTTTCTACATAATGTTTTTCTCTTTTTTTGAGCAATGGTTTTACGATATTTCTAGTTTGTCTACATGTTTTTCTATTGCTCTCTTGATTTTAACAATGGTTTAATGACAGATGATACAAAAAACTTTTATCAAAAATCCTGAAAATAACTATATAACTATTAACTATTTTGATTATATTAATATGAGTTAAATAAATAACTTTAACCGCCCAGATTTTAATTTTTCATCCAAAGGTTCATAATAATAGGATTTTAAGTGAAGAAAAATTGCATAGATTAAAAGGTTGATTGGAGAAAGGTTGAATTTTGAACATCATAGCAAGTTAACAAATTATTATTCATTTAGAAATTAATTATTCCTATCATTTACAAGCAAGTTCAAGTTCAAGTTCAATTTATTCACTCAGACCATATCAATGGTACATGAGGTTCAACAATATGTACAATATATACAAAGAATAATATACAAGATACACTTGGGGTAAAGGGTGTGCAGGAAATTGATTCATTTTTCTAGGTAAAGTTAAGGTCAAAGATAATTATATGAAAAATCTTTTTCATATATCTTCTCTTTATGTCCAATGTGGCTCATACTTTACTCTCAATAGAGTGCAGTTGTCAATGAATGTGCAGTGACAAAAAGTTTCTAGGTCAATTTAAAAAATTTTCTGTTTAAATTCTTGTACTGGAGCAGATGTTTTTTTGGCCTAATCTGGCTGGAAAACATAGTTGCCTTGGGGTAAAATGTGCAGTGACCTTGAACTCATCAGCTATTGTCCATTATTACACGAAAAATACTTGTCTGGAGCAATTCTCTTGCCTTTGTCCAATGTATCTCATACTTAACTCACAGAATGCCAGTTGTCAATTGATGTGCAGTGACCTTGTACAGTGTTTCTAGGTCAAGGTCAAAAATAGCCTCTCTGTTTAGAATCTTTGTTCGGTGCATAATTTCTTTCCCTTAATCCAAATTCTGCCTTGAACAAATTGACTGGATACGGAGACATTTGTGATTTTCCTTCGCATATTTCTTATGCAACAATTTTCTGATGATACATTTCTTTAAAGTTTTTTAATTGTATTATTTTTATGCCATTTAATATTTTAAAGTCCCCTGTTCATTCCAAACATTTCAAAATAAACCCTTTTCAACTACCTCAAGTTTTCATGTTCATTGCTAAAAGCGGGGCCCTCTAAGATGGCCACCATCTCAATGATATCTGGTTCCTATCATTTACAAGCAAAATATAAGGTCAAAAAATATATATACCAATCCAGGCATCCATATTTTTGTTTGTATCATCTGTCCTTAATGATACCTCTAGTTTATTTACGTAATTCTTTTAGAGCTCTCTTCTTTCGAGAAATGGTTTAACAGTAACTACAATTTACCTATGCAATGCTATTATTGCTCTCATGAGTTTTGAGCAATGGTTTTATGATATCTCTACATTGTCTACATACTGTTTTTTTTTTTGTCTTTCCTGTTACAATCTTTGCATTCGAACTCACTGTAAAATTGTGTTTACGTGTGTGGAAAAAAATATAACACACTAACACAACTACCAATGTAATAATAAAACATTTTATTATTCTGAACAATAACGTAATCAAGTGCCTGGTTTCTTCTTTTTGAAGTACACAGGAGCTGCCTCGTATAACCAATCAGGGTCCACCACACACAGATCTCTGAAATGGGCAGATGGTAATTAAACAGGTCATATCTCTTATAATGCTAGAATCATGTTCTTTGTTTTATATCTTTAATATTTTTTCTGAAAATCTCATATATGAAAGGAAATATTTCTGAACTTTGCTAATTTTTACAAAGTTTTACAAAGTTATAAATCTGTAAAATAATAAAAAAAAAATAACTAAAAATTAAATACTATTTAATTTCATTTTGTATTTCCTTGCTAAACAGAATATGATATTTCCTAGCCTAAATTATACTGTACTTCAATCCACATTCTTACACATAAAAAGCTCTCATTTACATTTTGTAAAAGGAAACAAAATTGAATACAAGTCTCCGAGGGTTTTATTGTTCCAAAACAACTTCCCTTTTTTCCTACAGTCAGATTTACTGTACTGGATTCAAAACTGGCTATATTTTTTTTAATTGACATTTATTTATTATGATCTGTCTGTGATAAGTATGAATGAGTGTACCTCATATAACACTTGGTTGTCTGGACTAGTTCATTATAAATGACATAAGCAGGTTTACATCTGAACAATACTGAGGACGGATGAATGGATACAGTCTTCCTGGAGGATAACTGAAAAATAATCATCATAAATTTAAACAGATGTATTACGTTGCTCAGAAGCAAGAAAAATGTCAAAGCAATCCATGTAATATTATGGACCCTTGGTGGTGAAAATGGCCGATTTTAACCAGAAAAATACCATTACTCACTGATGTATATTCAGATCCATCTTTTTGCAATTCAGCAGCATTCATAAAGAAACCATGAGCCAGACATTTTCTGCAAAAAAAAAAAATATATAAAATTTAGAAACATCCGTGTACCTATAATCAACTATAATTCGACAGACCAAGTTTAACTTGTAAGATACCCACCTGATGATAGTGGTGTCATTTTTACAGGATTTGATGGGGAATTCCATTCTCTCACAGATATCATACAGCTGTTTTCTGACCTCTGTTGCTGTCTTCATGTTTCTCTGGTTGATGAAATTTTCCATACACCAGTCCTACACAGAAATACAATGTTACAGCATATCTCTCTGTATAAAAGTCTTAGAATATCCCACTGCAAATAGCTAGATTTCCTCCTTTCTATGCTATAAAGCACCTGCAATTCTGCATGTGCTCATAAAATCTTCTTTAAAAAGCCCTGCTCTGCATATAATGAATGCTATATGTTGTACATCATACTTATACATTGATTTAAAAAAAATTAAAAAAAATTGTACACAGACACTGTCACAGTCCCACGATGTACAGCACACAGACACTGTCAAACTTCCACATTGTACAACACACACTGTCACACTCCCACATTGTACAACACACAGACACTGTCACACTCCCCATTGTACAGCACACAGACACTGGTACACTCCCACATTGTACAGCACACAGACACTGGTACACTCCCACATTGTACAACACACAAACACTGTCACACTCCCACATTGTACAACACACAGACACTGTCACACTCCCACATTGTACAGTACACAGACACTGGTACACTCCCACATTGTACAGCACACAGACACTGACACACTCCCACATTGTACAGTACACAGACACTGTCACATTCCCACATTGTACAACACACACTGTCACACTCCCACACTGTACAGCACACAGACATTGTCACACTCCCACATTGTACAACACACAGACACTGTCACACTCCCACATTGTACAGCACACAGACACTGTCACACTCCCACATTGTACAGCACACAGACACTGTCACATTCCCACATTGTACAACACACCCTGTCACACTCCCACATTGTACAGCACACAGATGCTGTCATACTCCCACATTGTACAGCAAATAAACACTGTCACACTCCTATATTGAACAGCACACAGACACTGGCACACTCCCACATTGTACAGCACACAGACACTGGCATACTACCACATTGTACAGCACACAGACACTGGCACACTCCAACATTGTACAACACACAGACATTGTCACACTCCCACATTGTATAGCACACAAACACTGTCACACTCCCACATTGTACAGCACACAAACACTGTCACACTCCCACATTTTACAGCACACAAACACTGTCACACTCCAACATTGTACAGCACACAGACACTGGCACACTCCAACATTGTACAGCACACAGACACTGGCACACTCCCACAATATACAAAACACAGACACTGTCACACTCCCACAATGTACAGCACACTCCCAAGATGTACAGCACACAGAAACTGTCACACTCCCACATTGTAAGCACACAGACAGCGTCACACTCCCACATTGTACAGCACACAGACACTGGTACACTCCCACATTGTACAACACACAGACACTGTCACACTCCCACATTGTACAACACACAGACACTGGTACACTCCCACATTGTACAGCACACAGACACTGTCACACTCCCACATTGTACAACACACCCTGTCACACTCCCACATATATAGCACACAACACTGTCACACTCCAACACTGTACAGCACACAGACATTATCACACTCCCACATTGTAAGCACACAGACACTGTCACACTCCCACATTGTACAACACACAGACACTGGTACACTCCCACATTGTACAGCACACAGACACTGTCACACTCCCACATTGTACAACACACCCTGTCACACTCCCACACTGTACAGCACACAGACACTGTCACACTCCAACACTGTACAGCACACAGACATTATCACACTCCCACATTGTAAGCACACAGACACTGTCACACTCCCACATTGTACAGCACACAGACACTGGTACACTCCCACATTGTACAACACACAGACACTGTCACACTCCCACATTGTACAACACACAGACACTGTCACACTCCCACATTGTACAACACACAGACACTGTCACACTCCCACATTGTACAACACACAGACACTGGTACACTCCCACATTGTACAGCACACAGACACTGTCACACTCCCACATTGTACAGCACATACACACTGTCACACTCCCACAACATACAACACACAGACACTGTCACACTCCCACATTGTACAGCAGACAGACACTGTCACACTCCCACATTGAACAGCACACAAACACTGGTACACTCCCACATTGTACAGCACACATACACTGTCACACTCCCACATTGTACAGTACACAGACACTGGTGCACTCCCACATTGTACAGTACAAAGACACTGGTACACTCCCACATTGTACAGTACACAGATACTGTCACACTCCCACATTGTACAACACACCCTGTCACACTCCCACACTGTACAGCACACAGACACTGTCACACTCCCACATTGTACAACACACAGACACTACACTCCCACATTGTACAACACACAGACACTGTAACACTCCCACATTGTACAGTACACAGACACTGTCACACTCCCACATTGTACAACACACAGACACTGTAACACTCCCACATTGTACAGTACACAGACACTGTCACACTCCCACATTGTACAACACACAGACACTGTCACACTCCCACATTGTACAGTACACAGACACTGTCACACTCCCACATTGTACAACACACAGACACTGTCACACTCCCACATTGTACAACACACAAACACTGGTACACTCCCACATTGTACAACACACAGAATCTGTCACACTCCCGCATTGTACAACACACAGACACTGTCACACTCCCACATTGTACAACACACAGACACTGGCACACTCCCACATTGTACAACATACAGACACTGTCACACTCCCACACTGTACAGCACACAGACACTGTCACACTCCCACATTGTACGGCACACAGACACTGGTACACTCCCACATTGTACAACACACAGACACTGGCACACTCCCACATTGTACAGCACACAGACACTAGTACACTCCCACATTGTAAAGCACACAGACACTGGTACACTCCCACATTGTACAGCACACAGACACTGGTACACTCCCACATTGTACAGCACACAGACACTGGTACACTCCCACATTGTACAGCACACAGACACTGTCACACTCCCACATTGTACAGCACACAGACACTGTCACACTCCCACATTGTACAACACACAGACACTGTCACACTCCCACACTGTACAGCACACAGACACTGTCACACTCCCACATTGTACAACACACAGACTCTGTCACACTCCCACACTGTACAACACACAGACACTGTCACACTCCCACATTGTACAGCACACAGACACTGTCACACTCCCACATTGTACAGCACACAAACACTGGTACACTCCCACATTGTACAACACACAGACACTCTCACACTCCCACATTGTACAGCACACACTGGGCACACCTTGCATGCATATGCAGCATACCTTATTGCCTTTGACTGCCTTGTAGGCCTTATATATGTTGAGCAGCATCACATGATCCCCTTCACTTGACACAAACTTCTGTCTGGCTGCCAGGGCCTCCTCCCTCTGTCAAAACAACATCAGCTGTAGTTACTAAACATAAACATTTCAGTTCAATGGTTTTCAGTACCATCTCATTCATTTTGTACAACATCCATATTAAGATAGTCCACTGTAAAAAGTCTAACCTTGCTTTGAGGTGTAACCAGGACAGAGTCCACTGACAGCAGAGACACAATGGTCAGAATCTCCTCTCTGTAAAAGTTATATGCAAAACAATTATATACATACTAATATCCATTGTCTCACATTGTAAGACTGTTTACATCATGCTCATCTTCATAGTAAAGTCAGTATCATTTATATGCAATGCCATATCTAACTGGAATGAATTATTCTGTTCTTTGATGTAAATGTTTATTTATATTTTAAGAACTAACAAACAGCATGTGCTCTCTTTTTTGATAATTTATAATCAGAAGAACCTACAGACAGTTATTCTCCTTAGCGATCAGCAGAGTTTTCCCGAGTCTTGGTTCCAGAGGAAAAGCTGCCATTTGTCTCCCTACTGGGGTTAGCTGTAATAAAAGAAATATATCATACACCAGAAAATTGTCAATACTGACCTCAGTTTCACTTCATTGCGACTTCCAAAAAAACATAAGTCATTATAATAGATATATCAATATCATAAGCTACCATTCCAAATATATACTCTACAATCAAAATGCAGATAAAATATCACTTAAAACAAAATACTACTTTATTAAATTGTTTTTCATATGTAACAAACAATTATTGACTGTGTTTTCGGGCAACACTGATTATGTAAACCTCCTCCGGAAAAAAAAACTATTGCCCTCCCCTCTATTTTGGGCAATATTTCTTCCCTTGGAGGCTTACATAATCAATGTTGTCCTCAATCTCAGTCAATATTTGCATATTGATATTTTTCTGGAGAGAGTCCATAGTTGTATAATATTTATGTTCAGAACTTCAGATACCTTTATTGTGTTTTCTTTGATAACTGCCCCTAGATTGTGTAGTTGATGAACCGCAGCAATGATGGACTAAAAACAGAACAAAGGACAGAAAATCAGACTCTCATGTAACTATCATTTACTGCAAATCATCTTCTTTAAGAACAGACTGTCATAAAATCATGATTTGAATTTATCTTTAATAAATCAATTTCTGTTCCAAATTAAAATATCCATGTATTAGCACTTGATAGTTATAGAAGTCCATCTAAACTGTTGTTATGAATACTACACTACAGTTACCTCTGCTGAGGGTTTGTCCATGAAGTCAAAGTTAACGATGTCTGAGATTCCAAGAGCCAGGAGCTGCAGGACAACACTGGACAGGTTACACCTAAATATATACAGTATATAATATACAGCATTATCAATTATTATTACATAGCTCTAACAAACAAAGGGTGCATTTCTCTGAATATCTGTAAAAATAATTGTCTACCTTTAGTTTTGCCTCTTTCACCCTATTCAAGAATGGGTAGATTTAATAGGGTGATTCAAAAGAACATAGTGCAATGTTTTCTTTAAACAGAACAATGACTTGGTGCATTTAAAACAGGCCAAGAGTGAAAGAGCAAAAATAATACATGGGAGAAATAACCCTGTATCCAGTACCTTTGGATTTCTGGGATTGTGTTGTCACTGAACTGTGTGAACTCCTGCTCTGTGTAGAGTCTATAACAGGACCCAGCTGATTCCCGCCCCGCCCGCCCAGTCCTCTGTAGCGCCTGGGCCTTAGAAACCTTAACGACCTTCAAAAGGTCAAGGCCACTGTTTGGGTTGAATACTCTAGAATAAACAGAAGTGAGCATTTTTAGAATAAACTTTTACAAAGTATATTTTAAAAACACAGAATATATCTATGGAGAAAACCAATAACAAGCTGCCCTATGTGAGAGACTGGGATTAGACATCTTGTAAATACTCTGTATTACTGTTAGCTTATGATACATTGGCGAATCCCCCAAAAAAGATGACACAAATAATAGTTGGTTACAGTATAGTGCATAGTCCAACAATGCAAATTCATTAAAATTTCCACTAAGAAATCATATGTAAATACAACATGCGGTGCAGAGGCACATGTATGTAGTGCTAATTCAGTAACTGCACTAAATTTTTAATACGAAATTTATGTACAGATACAGTAATCTGTTAAGTGTCTTTAATGGAAAGCAGCTTTTACTCAATAAAGTGCATCCCTAAGAGTACATATTTACATTAAAACTGTTTCAAGGTCACAAGGACTTTGAATTTTGTTTCTTTATAACCAACATTCTTTATACTGTTTATAAAGAATATCGGGCAGAGTCTCATTAAAATTCATTAAAATTTTCTTTAAACAGACAATTCCTAAATATAAATAAGTTCTTTGTTACCAGTACTTGCATAAATATGTACTGCATTCAGAAAGCACTAAATCAAGTCTTTTAGAAAAATTAAATTTCCCAGAAATATTCAAATACTTATAGAGCATATTGCTTACTTTGCCTTGACAACCCCAGAATCCACCACAAACTTGATTCCCTGTATGGTGACTGAGGTCTCAGCTATGTTGGTGGCTACTATCACCTTTCTACATCCCTATAATGATATCAGAACAGGCTTACAATGAGTATCAACACAGACAGTACACAGTACACTTCAATTTGCAAATATAAAAGTATCTCATTAATAATAGCATTTAAATTTTTTTGCTTGAAAATGAGTACCTTGGGTGTAGGTTTGAAGACCTTCAGCTGGGCATGAGAAGGCAGAGCTGCATATAAAGGGCAGACAACCAGTGGTGCCATGTTCTCTTCTGCTGTACGAGTTATGTCCCTTATAGTTCTCACAGCAGACTCTATCTCCTCTTGTCCAGTCAGAAACATCAATATATCGTTACTGCAACACAGGGAAAAATCACAGTGATCAGATTCCTCAATTATAATATAATCTGTGATTTGTGGTTTAAATTTGAGTAATGTACTAAATTAATATAAATCTTACTTTGGAGGTTCTGCTCTGTGGATTTGGAACAATGTAACAATGGAAGAAAATGTATATCTCATCAATGATACACATCAAAATAAATGACTGTAGACATCTCTAAGTCTACACGTCTAGAGTTATAAAATGACATCTGGATACAATGATACAAAATGACATAGTACATTTGTGTGCTATAATGATACAACGATTAACATAAATATACCTACAATTCTGATAACAATGACAATAATAAAATGTATACTGAGACACATAGTACACCTACAAAGATAAAGACATAGTACACCTACAATGATATAAAGACACAGTACACCTACAAAGACATAAAGACACAGTACACCTACAAAGACATAAAGACACAGTACACCTACAAAGACATAAAGACATAGTACACCTACAAAGACATAAAGACACAGTACACCTACAAAGACATAAAGACATAGTACACCTACAATGATATAAAGACACAGTACACCTACAAAGACATAAAGACACAGTACACCTACAATGATATAAAGACACAGTACACCTACAAAGACATAAAGACATAGTACACCTACAAAGACATAAAGACACAGTACACCTACAATGATATAAAGACACAGTACATCTACAAAGACATAAAGACACAGTACACCTACAAAGACATAAAGACATAGTACACCTACAAAGACATAAAGACACAGTACACCTACAAAGACATAAAGACATAGTACACCTACAATGATATAAAGACACAGTACATCTACAAAGACATAAAGACATAGTACACCTACAATGATATAAAGACATAGTACACCTACAAAGACATAAAGACACAGTACACCTACAAAGACATAAAGACATAGTACACCTACAAAGACATAAAGACACAGTACACCTACAAAGACATAAAGACATAGTACACCTACAAAGACATAAAGACACAGTACACCTACAAAGACATAAAGACATAGTACACCTACAAAGACATAAAGACACAGTACACCTACAAAGACATAAAGACATAGTACACCTACAATGATATAAAGACACAGTACATCTACAAAGACATAAAGACATAGTACACCTACAATGATATAAAGACACAGTACACCTACAAAGACATAAAGACACAGTACACCTACAAAGACATAAAGACACAGTACACCTACAATGATATAAAGACACAGTACACCTACAAAGACATAAAGACATAGTACACCTACAAAGACATAAAGACACAGTACATCTACAAAGACATAAAGACATAGTACACCTACAAAGACATAAAGACATAGTACACCTACAATGATATAAAGACACAGTACACCTACAAAGACATAAAGACACAGTACACCTACAAAGACATAAAGACATAGTACACCTACAATGATATAAAGACATAGTACACCTACAAAGACATAAAGACACAGTACACCTACAAAGACATAAAGACACAGTACACCTACAAAGACATAAAGACATAGTACACCTACAAAGACATAAAGACATAGTACACCTACAATGATATAAAGACACAGTACACCTACAAAGACATAAAGACATAGTACACCTACAAAGACATAAAGACACAGTACACCTACAAAGACATAAAGACATAGTACACCTACAAAGACATAAAGACACAGTACACCTACAAAGACATAAAGACACAGTACACCTACAAAGACATAAAGACACAGTACACCTACAAAGACATAAAGAGATAGTACTTCTACAATGTTACAACGACATAGTACTACTACAATGATACAACGACATAGTACACCTACAATGATACAACGACATAGTACACCTACAATGATACAATGACATAGTACACCTACAATGATACAATGGCATAGTACACCTAGAATGATACAAAGACATAGTACACCTACAATGATACAAAGACACAGTACACCTGGAATGATATAAAGACATAGTACATCTACAATGATACAAACTTAAGACACAGTACACCTACAATGATATAAAGGAATAGCACTCCTACAATGATACAAAGACATAGCACATCTACAATGATATAAAGGAATAGCACTCCTACAATGATACAAAGACATAGTACACCTACAATGATATAAAGGAATAGCACTCCTACAATGATAAAGAGGCACAGTACACCTACAAATCACCTGTACGGGTACTGCCTTTCATCTAGAAACAAATACCCCCCCCCCCCTCTTTTTTTAACCTATAGGGGTTACTGATGTTAAAAATCAAGTGATTCCCTCTATCATGTCTGTTTACCTGTACTGGGTACTGCCTTCCCTCTAGATACAACACCGGGGCAGCATTGAAGTATGCCGAGAAATGATCCACGTCCATTGTGGCAGACATGACAAGTATCTGTAACATTAAAAGATCAAAAAGGTCAGTTTCATATAAATTGGTGACTTTGTGCTAATTATTGAGAAAAAGAAAAAAAAAGACCTGTAAATAGCTTTAGCTTTTAATGTGAAATATCTTGAAATGATAGAGTTGAACATTATTATAGGGCTAATTTTTGAAACTAAGATTTCTTTTTAATTATACATTTCACTGAATACTTTTTTTTAAAAAAAGTTGTCGGAATTCCCCCAGCCTTCCTCCTGTCCAGGGCTTTTTTTGGATGACTTTCTTACCTTAAGAGGCCTGATTCCCTAGATTTAATCCTGCCCTAGGCTTACCTTGAGTGGCCTGATCCCTCTAACTTTCCTCCTGGCCTGGGCTTGCTTCACCACTCCAAACAAGACATCTGTGTGGATCGTCCTTTCATGAGCCTCATCCAAAATCACAATGGAGTACCTGAAGAAAAACTAGACATTGAGCTAGCAGTATTAAAAATATGTAAATATTACATGCATTTTTGTTTTAATGCAGTTATTTATCCAAATTAACATTTGTTGACTGCTTTCTAATAATTGCTTTAGATTCTTGTTTAGTCATGTTTTATTTCTGGCTATTCTTGAATTACTTTTACTTCTTTTAGATTAAAGATGAGGTAAAAATACACACAGTGTTAAAAGTTTTTAGTAAAATAAAAAAAATTCTTTTAACATAATTTGTATATATTAGAATTTTTAGAAACCTCTTCATAAGTGGATCCAGGATTGCCTCCCTTAGTAACATTCCGTCGGTCATGTATTTGATTTTAGTATTCTCTGATGTGACATCTTCAAACCTCACACAGTACCCAACCTGGTGAAAAATACAAAATCAGTGTAAGTTAGAGATAAAAAAGTGCAGTGTGATTTACACATAAACATGCATATACAATGCAAATTTTTTGGTTTGGTCAATATAACCCTAATTATAGAAAGTGAGTTGCATTGACGGCACACAACTGAAACACACGAGCAATTTTAGAAATAAAGGTCCAGACCAAAATCGACTCAAAAGCAAAGGATCAAACGTCCTTAATGACGTTCGATCCTGATATTTAAAGTCTTAAACTTTTTTTGCCAAGTATATTTCTAGTTTCTACATACATAGCTTAATTAAAATTCAAATCAAAAAATGGGGGTCAATATGCTTCTTTTGGCTCTACAGTACATTTAATATGACCTTTTTGCACTGAAATTTGTGTCTAAATTAAAAAATAAGTCTTCAACAATTTCCCAGCTGAGCAATATTTTTATCCAATTAAACTACGAATCAAAATGAACTCTAAATCTGGTTTAAAAAAGACACTTAAAAATTGTAACTAAGAAAAAGTTTCAAATTGCTTCGCATAATCAATTATTTGACCTTCCTGCACTAATAAAAAGTGATTTTTCTGGCATTGCAAATTAAATAAGCAAGAAAATTATTTTAAAGTCTTAAACTTTTTCTTAATTTAAGCAAATAGGTCAAAGTTATCTTGAATATTTAGATAAGAACATCAAAAGTGGAGGTATATGATGTTAATTTTCAGATATTACTAAAAAATTGTCAATTTTACGTTAAAATTGGCTCAATTTTCCCCCGAATTTTCAGAATATATTTACTATATTTGACCCACTTTGTTGATAAAATTCATAAGAAATAATTTAATAGATACTTCAGAACTATCATAACACATTTCACTGCAAAAAACAGCTTTGTGTGCAACCAGCATGGAAAAACAGGAATCGAAAATAAACAGTACTTTTATATTTCAAAAGGGAAAAACTGATCATTTTCGTCTAAAAAACCTTCTGCCACAAAATATAGTCCCTAGTTTAATTCTACTTGAATGGAATTTAATCGCGGTTTTTTCATTGAATACAGTTCAATTTGCATTGTAGAATTCAGATTTAATGTTAGAACTTAAAGATGATGCAGAATTTTATAAATAAAGGACAAGACCAAAATCCACTCAAAAGTTCAGGATCGAATGTCCTTAAATGAAGCAATTTTTTTGAACTGACAAATTTTGGATTTCCTACAATTGAGTCCTGAGCAGTGAGGTACCTTTTGTCCCAGTTCTGTCCCCTGTTCCTCGGCAACTCTCTGTGATATTGTAATGGCTGCCACTCTTCTAGGCTTTAAATAAGAAAAGCATCCATATATACAGACACAGTGAGTATTAAATACAGATAACTTTTGTTTTTAATTCTATTGTTACTTTCAAAGTTTTTTCAAAACAGTGTCATATACCTGTGTTACAGCAATAATGGCATTTTTGTTGACATTGGCCTCCAAAAGATACTGAAATACAAATAAAAAGTATATATCACTTTGTGATCAAGTTGAAAAATCTCATTATTTGAATACTGATATGCATCTTTTGTTGTAGTGATGAGTAAATGATAATAGTGTATTTCTAAGCAGGTAATTTATTGTTTTGCAGCAATGATTGAAGTCATTCAAAAGTGATTTAACTTTGTCTGACTTTTGTGACTTTTGTATAGAAGCTGTTACTTTGTTTATCATATAAACAAGAGGCCCATGGGCCTTATAGGTCACCTGAGCATTATGCAACAACTTTCCAGTGATTGAATTTGATTCATGTTTTAATCCAGATGCTATGGCATTCACAATTTGGAAATAGGCACCATTGATCATCATAACAATACACTTAGCAGTTGCTTAGTTTGTTTACTTAATACCCATAGGCAGGGTAGGGGAACAAAAAATGCATTTCAAGTAATCAGTAATATTCAGCATGATCAGTAATGCCCCAATCACACATGAACCCCTGACCCTTAGGCCTAGATCCACACATTGCACAATTTTTGAAAAGGCACCCTTGCTTTTCAAAAATATTTGATAAATACCAAGGAGCAGATTTCAAACAATTCATCCAGTTTCAGTATATAAGTACAGCCCCCCCCCCTCCTTTATGGTACCCCTGACCCTGGGGCCTTGAAATTCACAATTCTGGAAGATTAGGACCCTTGCTCATCATAACTATATAGGTAGTTCATCTGCTTAATACCAAGGAGCAGAGAAGAAAACTTTCAAAGATTTAGTGTATTTTCATTGTATAATCGATAAAGCCCCACCCTATCACTAGAATCCCTGACCCTGGGGCCATAAAATTAACAATTTTGGAAGAGGCACTCTTGCTCATCATAACTATGCACTTATTTAGTTTATTTAATACCCAGAAGCAGAGAAGAAGATTTTCAAAGAATTCATGTATTTTCACTATATAATCTAAAGAGCCCCCCCCCTACACCAGAACCCCTGACCCTGGGGCCATAGAATTCACAATTTTGGTAGAGACACTCTTGCTCATCATAACTATGCACTTATTTAGTTTATTTATTACCCAGGAGCAGAGAAGAAGATTTTCAAAGAATTCAAGAATTTTCACTATGTAATCTATAGAGCCCCCCCCTTACACCAGAACCCCTGACCCTGGGGCCATAAAATTCACAATTTTGGTAGAGGCACTCTTGCTCATCATAACTATGCACTTAGTTAGTTTATTTGATACCCAGGAGCAGAGAAGAAGATTTTCAAAGAATTCATGAAATTTCACTATATAATCTATAGAGCCCCACCCTAACACCAGAACCCCTGACCCTGGGGCCATAAAATTCACAATTTTGGTAGAGGCACTCTTGCTCATCATAATTATGCACTTAGTTAGTTTATTTAATACCCAGGAGCAGAGAAGAAGATTTTCAAAGAATTTATGAAATTTCACTATATAATCTATAGAGCCCCACCCTAACACCAGAACTCCTGACCCTGGGGCCATAAAATTCACAATTTTGGTAGAGGCACTCTTGCTCATCATAACTATGCACTTAGTTAGTTTATTTAATACCCAGGAGCAGAGAAGAAGATTTTCAAAGAATTCATGAAATTTCACTATATACTTATTTAGCCCCACCCTAACACCAGAACCCCTGACCCCGGGGCCATGAATTTCACAATTTTGGTAGAGGACTCAATGCTGATTACAATCATGCAAACAGTTTGACTGCTTGATGTCCAGGAGTAAAGAAGAAGATTTTTAAAGATTGCACTAATTTTAGTGGTTTTTGCCCCACCCCCAGGCCCCAGGGGGGCAGGGCCCATGAAATTCACAATTTTTGTTCCCCTTCACCCATAGATGCTATATGGCAAATTTGGTTGAAATTGGTTCAGTGGTTTCAGAGAAGAAGCTGAAAATGTTCAAATGTTAACGCACGACGCACGACGCACGACGAACGACGACGGACGAAAAGTGATAGCAATAGGTCACCTGAGTTTACTCAGGTGACCTAAAAAAAAAAGAAAAAAAAAAAGAAATTGAAAAATATTTATAAAAAAAAATATATATGAGTTTCAGTTAAAAAACTTATTAAATTTTGATAAGTACATGTATTTTACATAACTTCAGTCTGAGAAGATCATGAACATTAACTTTAGATACAGATACATGTAACATCATAGACTTGAAGTTCCATGATTGCTGTTAATTGCTTGATATTAATTTCCCAGGTGCTCAACATCTGCTTATAGAATCTGTCATGTACTCAAATTAACAACTTTATCATTGTTTTATCATTTTTATTGCCTACAAATATAAACTTATGTTCAACAGAAATTAAAAAAAATGTGTTTTACTTTCTGCTTGAAAATACTTAATTTACTTTAAAAAACTTTAAAGAACAAAAAGTTTATTATATGATGTAAAAATATTTGCCTGCAGGTATTCTAAATATTTACCACTTTCGATTTATCCTACTTAAGTAGAATGGTTAAGTATGGTACATGAAGTAACTGTATAATTTCACTAAAAGTGGTATTCCAAGTGGTATTTAAGTGGTTTTTTCACTTCTTGACTCCCCCTTCAGTAGAATTGTATTAATCATGTTAATGGTACATGTGTCTTACAATTATCTGTGTTATCTGTGTGTTTTACCACTTCCTCTTTTCCTTGTCAGTATAACTGTGTCTAAGTCTCTGTATTTGGTTAATTATCTCCCCATATAATTACCTGTGGTATCTGAGTGGTTTTACCACTTCCTGTTTCCCCTATCAGTATAGCTGTGTCTAGTCTCTGTATTTGGTTAATTATCTTCCCCTATAATTACCTGTGGTATTTGTGTGGTTTTACCACTTCCTGTTTCCCCTATCAGTATAGCTGTGTCTAGGGTGTGTTCCCCGAATGGCTACTTGCATAAAACAACAAGTAATTATCACACTCAATTAAGGGGCCCTCTAAGGGGTACAGGTAGACTTACCTGTGTTTACCTGGATAAGCAATATTTTTTAAATCAGATATATTCATTCAATTCTATTTACATTAAGAGTTTTTTTTAATTTTCTGAAATACATGTATACTGAATTTAAAAAAAAATAGATAAATAAATATAAATAGATAAAATTGGATTTAAGAAAAATAAAATTTTTATTGCATCTTTAATTTTATTTTATTCCAGACTATTCAATAGTATTGATTAAGAATTTACATATTATAATCCCATTTTTCAGCTACATTTTCAAAATATTTAAATAAATTAACCCAAATGATTTTTTTTCTTAAAGTAATATAGATATTTATATATGATAAATGAAGTGTATCTATAAACTTAAGTTTTGTCTAATTTAATTCATCTATTTATCATTTTAATACCTTTTGATTTTTAAAACATTCTTTTAAATCGTCATTAAAAAATAGCACTGCATTGATTTAAACTATATTATTATACATATATATGCATACATGAAACACTTAGTATAGGTTAAAGAGTTCAATGAACATACGAGTACAACTTTTTCACCTCATTTAATGTGCACTAAAATAAATATCAGTGGCAGCACCAAACTTATGTCAAAGACACTTGAGATATTCTTATCGAGTGTTAACGTTTATTCCGATTAATAGCGCATTTATTTTACTGCTCTACACAGAACTTTATTTTGCTGTTTTATATCTGCGCAGAGTTAACATTGAGTCAATCACTCGAAATTTAATCTAGGTAGTTGCCTGCATTTACCATTTTCACAGTCGTTTCATTGATAAATCTATAAAACCTCAGAACTTTGATTTCAATTTATTTATTATTTGTATTCCTTTAAATTTTTCATAGATAAACTCTTCAAATATGTTTCTAAAGGTACTTTCTGAAAAATGTCGGAAATGAAAACAAAAAAAATGTCGGAAATGAAAAGTTTATAATTGCTCAAAATTTCGGAAATGAAATGCAGCCAAAAAAAAAAAGTTTATGTTTCAATTTTTATAATAAATATAGGTGATTAGAGATAGAAACAGATCACTTTGATTTTTAAGGAATTCCTAAGTTAATAAGCTAATTGATGAAGATCTGATAATTGATATCAGTTCACTTTGAAATCTTTAAGTTTAATAAGCAAGTCGTAATAAGTGTCAAAGAAAATGATGTGCTGAACTTGCCTAATGACGCAGTCCAAGTATGCAACTATAAAGAGAAGACTGTAGTTACTGAAAGAAAGGTATCAGGATGGCATCATTGATCTTATGACCTAAATGTACACAGACTCTGCATCTGAACTTCTTCACCTTGGATAGTTATCCCTTAGTTGTGATGAAATATATGGAGATGGACTAAATAAATTGCAAACATGTGTGATATGATTTGAAACAGTGGTGTTTAATTTATAATGTGAAAATCAGTGCTGCTAAACAATAGAACTTCAAGATAATTTATAGTTTTTAATATGTTTTGTGCTTGTAATATTATTAATTTAAAAAATATGTATACAAAATATTTATTCATACCTGTTCTTAAATTAAAAAAATGGAATTAAAAATCCTTTTTATTTAATTTAAATTCTGTGGTAAGTCTACCTGTACCCCTTAGAGGGCCCCTTAATTGAGTGTGATAATTACTTGTTGATTTTGTGGAGTAGCCATTCGGGGAATAAACCGTGTCTAGTCTCTGTATTTGGTTAATTACCCCCCCCCCCCCTATAATTACCTGTGGTATTTGTGTGGTTTTACCACTTCCTGTTTCCCCTATCAGTATAGCTGTGTCTAGTCTCTGTATTTGGTTAATTATCCCCCCTATAATTACCTGTGGTATTTGTGTGGTTTTACCACTTCCTGTTTCCCCTATCAGTATAGCTGTGTCTAGTCTCTGAATTTGGTTAATTATCCCCCCTATAATTACCTGTGGTATTTGTGTGGTTTTACCACTTCCTGTTTCCCCTATCAGTATAGCTGTGTCTAGTCTCTGTATTTGGTTAATTATCTTCCCCTATAATTACCTGTGGTATTTGTGTGGTTTTACCACTTCCTGTTTCCCCTATCAATAGAGCTGTGTCTAGTCTCTGTATTTGGTTAATTATCCCCCCTATAATTACCTGTGGTATTTGTGTGGTTTTACCACTTCCTGTTTCCCCTATCAGTATAGCTGTGTCTAGTCTCTGTATTTGGTTAATTATCTTCCCCCGGGCAGGAAATATTGGGAGGTTCCTCTTCTCCTGCAGAATTTTTTCTGGCACATAACCATTGTTACCATTATCTGAAATTATAGATGAATGGTTAACCAAATCAAAGAAATCACATCCTTGTTAAGTTTGTTTTGACATATGGAACTTGGGCTAAGATCATTATACAACCCAAGATATATTATTTATGATCATTATTGCTTTTATTAATTATTTTATCTATAAAGAATCAGAATCCAGTACAAATTGACCACTCCTCATATCAAACCCTCACTTCATTAACAAGTAAAAATAAACCATTCCATCATTAAAGGAAACTCCCCAGACCTCTTGGGAATTTAATTGATGACAACAAATGATAAATAACAATTTAATGACCAGGGTGACAATAAAACTGAAAATAACCTCCCTGTGTCTCATTACGGACAGGTCTCTGGTGTTAGAAGTGGGCGAGGCTGGTCACAAACTTCATTTCACTTTCACACCACAAGTGACCACAATAACTCAGACTGGACAATGTATAATCATTTACACTGTGTCTAGACACAGCATTCATGAAGGAATGTTAACCTGTTTGTCATGTTTAAGAGTAAGAAACATTTGCATATTATTGAACATGTTGAAACCTAGCTCAGTGTAAAACATCTCACATTGTACATTGTTACTTGTAAGCTGCTGTGTTTTCAAGATTAATGAGCATTTTTTTGTAAGACACTGCCTATAACATCAGGTGAAATTTTTTTTCACAAATTTATGGCAATTCTGAAATACACTGATAATAGTTACATGAATCAGTTTGTTTGATTAGGTCCTAAAGACGAACCTTCTAGCATTCTGAGGCAGGTAAATTTTTAATTCTCCCCACAGCATAAAGTTTAAACATTCTCCTATATTTTCTGTGTGACAACAGCTATATAAGAGCCTGGTTACAAATTTTTTTTATGTAAGGAATAGTAGTTTTGTCTCAATTCTTTAAAACTGAGTACCTGTACAGGTATTCAGAGACAATACAAAAACATTTATTACTATATTCTATATTTGATCCTTTCAATTCATTACCATGCAGCTTCATTTTTTCTTATCATTTGAAAAAATTGTACAGAAATGTCAATGTACATACAACATATGTATATGTATGATAAATAATCAATTTTGCAGGAGATTTATGTTTTGATGTAACTGATGCAGACAGAAGTCCTCAAGAGCTATTTATCAACCCTTATTCTTTACATAAGTCTCTATAAGTGTTTCTCTTTCCCAATATTTCATGAGTACTTTTTGTGATTATTTGGATATTTATAGCACTAAGTATTGATTAATGATGATAATTAACAAATTGTTTCTGTATGGTCCCTGTGTGTGGTATTTGTCTGGACAATTGGTCAGACAATCTATAAATAAATACAATAAAAATGACCAGTGTATATGTGATGGTTTTGTGGGGGGCCAAAGGAGCAAAAGGTCACCCACAGATTGGTCATCATTGAGTCAAGGTTATTTATAGACCAAGATGGTCAGGTGTAATAAAACACTAATCACTTTCTGTCTAAATGAATGAAAAGGACCAAGTACATGATACTCCTATAGATATGCACATCTGAACTGTACAAGTATAATCCAACTTTCAATGCAACAATATAACTTCACTCAGATTCAGGAATTACATCAAAAAAAAATATCAAAAAGAATTAATACTTTCTAAGAATTACTCATAAAGTCAAAATTTCCCCTTTTCATAAACTTTTTAAAATCATCTCCTGCATTAAATGAAAACATAATATTTTGTTTGAAAATGCTCATCACTATGCTCTTAAATAAACATTGATGTCTGAGAATTTGAAGCTCCATGAAATTTGTAATTTTATGGTCATTTGATGTGAAGATAATTTGTTTTGGAGGCAGTTAATCAGCCTAGAATGGTTATCAAGTCAACAGTTAAATGACCACATTTTTTCTACTTCACTAAACTCACAGAATTCCTTAATATCATAGATCCCTTTATAAACAAGCTTGGACGTCACTATACAATACGGACATTTCCTTCATTTAACAATCAAGTTCTGCTTGTACATTTTCTAATCATAGGTCAAAGGTTGGTAGGCAGTGGTCAATCCCTGCAGGGCAGGGTCAGTGGAGGGTCAGAAGTTTTTGTCCAGATCAGCAGAGACCTCCTCACAAAGACACCCCCTAAACTGACCACTTCAGGAGGGAATCTGGGGGGGAATCTCCAGTGACTTTCATTGAATTCCTCGGAGAGCAGTGAGAGTCATTATTAAATTTGACAAGGAAATTAGTGTTCAACATGTTTGATCAGACCTAACTGAACATTTCAACCTGCCGACCAGACCTGAACTCTGGTGAATGACCGCCACTGCCCGGGCTCACCCTGTGACTGGTCAATGGTCAAACAGTGGTCAACCTATAGCGACACACTACCTCAATCTCACACAGAAGCCCGTTATTTATGACAATTAGGCTGACTTTATCAAACATTTCACTTGCTTTTAAAAGATTAATTTTAAAAAATAGCAAAAATTATCAAAGTGGAAAGAAATAAATTTTTAGCAATTGTCATAAAACATAATTTTATAATCTTTTAAAAATGACAAAACCATATTTAAATGACCATGTGACCATGGTGACTGTGATTTTTTCTTCTTCTCTAAACTCATAATATTCCTTCTTATCTTAGATCCCTTTCAAATCATGCTAGATTATTACTAATTTGTTTGCACACTCCATTGCAGTTTTATGAGATCAAATCTTTAAAAAATAATGATTCAATGCTTATACTTTGTTTTATAAGTAATTAAAAGTCCACACATTTTAAAAGCAAAATACAAGTAAAATATATATATACAGTAGAAGGACTTTTATCCACCTTGTATTAATTTAATATATATGCTATGTATGTGGTCACACATTTCCACAGACATTTGTTCCATATAAGTACTAAATGTACATGTAAATATAGAGAGGGTCTTAAGAAATTTGTGTTATTTTCTACCTGCAGATTAAACAAAAATAGAGATTCCATGGAAAAAAAAGTATGTCTATAGTATATTACAAAAATGACGAAATAAAATGTTAATTTTGATTTTTTCTTATTGTTGCAAAATGCAAATGTCATGTTTAATCACCTGTTAATGGGTATTTTTAATCTTTTTTTAAAAAATATTTTGCATGCTACTAATTACTTCCTTCCAAGAAGCCTATTTCAACAAGTTTAGCTTTATTGGCTCTGAATATGAAAAAATAGTCTAGGTTTGTTGCAAGGAAAGAAACTAAAATCTGTCTTAAGCAGACTGTGTCCATTTCTATCTGTCATCAGTAATTCTTTTCACATACCTTCAAGCTGGGTACATTCAGAAGTGTCTAGATTCTGAAGTGATAGATTTAAGGTAGGTCAACATTTCAAAAAATACTTTCTGATGTACGCAAACACGATTCTTGGGCATTTTTTGCACATTTGATTATGACGTCAGTTACGTCACAAAGACAACGTTACGTTGTTTCCCGTTTAATTCTCTGCAAATGACTTCAAGTCTGTGCGAATCAAGTAAATAAATACAAAGTGCATGCAATTGTACGTAAACCCCGCACATGTTTTATAATTAAATTTCAGTCTAAATTCTTAATTTAGTGATTATATGTAATGTCTTAGGACTTTTTAAATACAATGCCAAATGAAAGAAATAATTTATATTGTAAGTGTAACTAAACTGCTAAGAGTAAATCAAAATAAATCAGCGTAAAATTATGGAATGCAGAAAGAAAGTTATCTTTAATAAAAACTGCTTAGTGGAAAACTTGATGGGTTGTATGTGTGCACATTATTTAAAACTCAGGGGAAGCATGTGTATTTGCATCATGACTGCCATAAAAGCCAGTGTGTAAAATTGACTACTTTTCAGGATGGAATACATCATTATCAGTAAAAAAGGGTTAAATTTAAGCACATGTTTTTTCCTGTTTTTTTTTAAATTACTATCATCATTATAAATATTGTTTGGTCGTTATGTATTTAAATCTCTTGTAATCGCCTTGTTTTGCTGGCTAATAAATTGTGAAATTCATTTAAAAATAAATTTATACAAACACCTGGACTGTAAGACATATAAGACACTGTAAACAATTTATAAGTATCTTTTTCTATATATTAAAATTTTTTATAACAAAAACTCAAAGTGTAAAAGCTAAATGCAAGTGTTTTACATTTTGCGTATTGAAATTCATGAGAGAATTGAAATTAATAAAGCATGTTTGATATAGGGCAATATACTATAGCTGTGTATTTGACTAATATAGAAAGAACAGTGTGTATTTGACTACCCCTCCCCTCGGCCGCTATTTCCTCTGTGATGAGATGTGTGTATTTGACTACCGTTTTATGCCTGAAATCCTACTGACCATGATGTTCTTAAAAATACAGGTACTAATATTTATTATTTTATTACTCGCGTTGTTGTCGCTGTATTTTAATTCTCAGGTTCGAGGAATCTTTATACCGTTCAATCTGACTTTGTGATCGGAATATGAATTTCACAATACTAGTGAAAATAAGTTGCAGGTCATTCTAATGTGTCCACAATAAATGAAACGATATAATTAAAATTAAATTTTGTATCTATGTCACCTTTTAAATCTTGCATTTCCAAAAACCAAGATATTTATACTCGTACTATAAACGTGACTACGTTCAACAAATGACGTTGTAGATGTAAATTACGCCATAAACGCAACATTTTAGTAGTATAAAAGAAACCTTTGAAATTATTTAGCAAAAAATCTAGCGAGAAGACATATTGATTTTTTTATATTAATAGTTTTAATTTTACTATTCACATTTTGAAACTCCTGTGTATTCGTCTACGTCTTTAAAAAGTTATCCATTCTTTTTCAAAGAAACTATTTTCACAAAATTGGCTTGAAAACGTCATTTTCCCATATAATTCAATAGTAAAACGTAAAAAAGTACCAACAACAATACCGCGCTTACAGTAATATGGCATTAAAACTATCAAGGCAAATTTAATGAAAATTGCAGATAATACGCTGTGAATTCTAAGGATCATTATATCAAATTTTCAGGATATGTTTTCTTACTGTGAAGAAGTGTGTATTTGATGCACTGTAAACCCGTATTTGACTACTACCTGAAGACCTCAACATTTAATACTTTCTGATGATGACGTCAAACAGCTAGTCTTGGAATTCATTTCAAAAGAGCATCTATTATGATGTCATTCCAAAAAAATACGCCAAACAGACACCCACACTTTGCTGTAATTTTTTAACCCAATCTTAAAAGCTGTGTAATGTATAATCTGTTTGAAGTACAATGGTACAATTGCTTTTCATTACTTACTGTGATGAGACAGTGTGTATTTGATTACTTACTGTGATGAGACGGTGTGTATTTGATTACTTACTGTGATGAGACAGTGTGTATTTGACTACTTACTGTGATGAGACAGTGTGTATTTGACTACTTACTGTGATGAGACAGTGTGTATTTGTATTTGACTACTTACTGTGATGAGACAGTGTGTGTGTATTTGACTACTTACTGTGATGAGACAGTGTGTATTTGACTACTTACTGTGATGAGACAGAGTGTATTTGACTACTTACTGTGATGAGACAGTGTGTATTTGACTACTTACTGTGATGAGACAGTGTGTATTTGACTACTTACTGTGATGAGACAGTGTGTATTTGACTACTTACTGTGATGAGCCAGTGTGTATTTGACTACTTACTGTGATGAGACAGTGTGTATTTGACTACTTACTGTGATGAGACAGAGTGTATTTGACTACTTACTAATTACTTCCTTCCAAGAAGCCTATTTCAACAAGTTTAGCTTTATTGGCTCTGAATATGAAAAAATGTATTTGACTAGGTTTGTTGCAAGGAAGTGTGTATTTGACTACTTACTGTGATGAGACAGTGTGTATTTGACTACTTACTGTGATGAGACAGTGTGTATTTGACTACTTACTGTGATGAGACAGTGTGTATTTGACTACTTACTGTGATGAGACAGTGTGTATTTTGAAAAAAATTACTGTGATGAGACAGTGTGTATTTTTTACTACTTACTGTGATGAAAGTGTGTATTTGATAATCTGTTTGAGTACAAGTGTTGTTTTGATTACTTACTGTGATGAGACAGTGTGTATTTGACTACTTACTGTGATGAGACAGTGTGTATTTGACTACTTACTGTGATGAGACAGTGTGTATTTGACTACTTACTGTGATGAGACAGTGTGTATTTGATTACTTACTGTGATGAGACAGTGTGTATTTGACTACTTACTGTGATGAGACAGTGTGTATTTGACTACTTACTGTGATGAGACAGTGTGTATTTGACTACTTACTGTGATGAGCCAGTGTGTATTTGACTACTTACTGTGATGAGACAGTGTGTATTTGATTACTTACTGTGATGAGACAGTGTGTATTTCATTACTTACTGTGATGAGACAGTGTGTATTTGTTTACTTACTGTGATGTGACAGTGTGTACTTAAACTTCTTTGTAGGAGGACCGTCCTCTGGCATTCTCATTTTGTCTCCCGTGTTTTGTATGTTCTTTAAGTTCTTCTTTTCATCTTTGATCCCACATCCTCAAAACAAAATGGTTTATTTTAAAATAAGGCAAAAATTAAATTGGATATGGTATTAATATCTTAATTTTTATAAATTCATATTATTAAAAATTAGAAATATGTACAAAGAACACGAATGCCCCCTTGAGGGGTACTTTAATATTATAAGTAATGCAATATGAAAGTCAAAAGAGAGGTCAAGGTCAAAAATGTTGATGCAGTTAAATAGCTTATTTCAGTATGTATCAGCATATTAACTTTGATCATTTTTCTTGACTGGTTTCTTAAACACGAAGTAAAGTGAGGTCAAAGGAAGATTCAGGGTAAAAAAATGTTGATGCAGTTGAATGGTTTACTTCAGTAAATGTATGTATCAGCATGTGAAGATTTTTTTAACACTTCAGTCTATCTTACATGGTTTCTTTAAAAGGGAGCTTAACACAAGAAAAGTGAGGTCAATGTCAAAGGGAAGGTCAAGGTCGAACAAGTTGATGCAGTTGAATCAAACTTTCCTTAATATGCACCAGTATCTAAAGTTTGATAAAAATATCTTGAACTTTTCTAATGAAAGTGATCGAGTTATAAATTGAGCTAAATGCATTTAGTGCAATCACAGAGGAACTCAGATGGCAGGGCAGAAAGATGGATGGATGAAAGACAGACATGACAAAAAATCTATATGCCCTTGTCTGAGTCATATTTATAGTGGGGCATAATAACATAATTAAATAACTTTTGATTAGGCCAGAGTAGATTTTTTGCAGATTTTAGATCAACCCATATTTATTCACCAATCAAGGACCCTCGGGGGCATGAACAAATTATTACAATATGATTACACTGATTAAAATGGCATATTATAGATGTATAATGTAATATGACAAGTAATTAGGTTTGACATGGAGAAGTGCAATACCACAAGTTAATGTAGGATTTGTAACATATTCAAAGTACAGTCGCAGTCACTGGATCAAAAGTATAGAAAACCACAGGATGATAAACAAGAGGCCCATGGGCCACATCGCTCACCTGAGCACTAAGGGTAGGAAAAAGTAGAAAATGGCTTTTTATTGTAAAGTTTAAATCCAAAAGTAGTCCCATGACCAATCATGGATTTGCTATTTTTTAGAAAATGATTTTTAAAGAATTTTCCTATAGATATCTTTAAAAAATTTGGTCGGCCATTTTGGCCACGCCCTACCCCTGGGGGTCATGATTTGAACAAACTTGAATCTACACTACTTGAGCATGCTTCCATACAAATATGATGAATTATGCACCCAAACGGAAAAGATTTTTAACAAACTACTATTAAACCATCAACAAACTACCAACAAACTATATTTTTGTGGTTTGTTAAAGTAGTTTGATAGTATAGCATTTAATGAAACACAAACAAACCACTGTTTCTAAAAAAATAAGTAAAGTAGTTTGTTAGTCTTTCATTTCTGCTGATTGTGATTTCTTTATAGATTGTTAGACTTGGTATCTTGCAACAGTGTTTTATTAGTATAGCATTTGCATCTAACCACATGGGAAATTACTTTACAGACATGTTTAGGGTTGAATTATCTAGAATTGTTGAAGTTTCCAAGAACAGTGTGTAATCTTTACATCCGGTGTTAGCTATTGTGTAATTTTCAAACCACCAAGCAGGTCAGAAACAAAGGAACTGGTGAAGGGACATTCAAATTGTTAGTATCATTCTGTAAGATCCCTGACTGGAAAAAGCAGCATTAACGTACATTATTAAAAGATGGATCTGGATAGAGAAGAGGTATTTAATGCATGTCATGAAGTTCCTTTTTTACCTAAAATAAGGATGGACTACAGTAATTAACCATCTGTGAATGTGGATATGTATACATGTATATTGCTTTTTACTCATGAGCTTTGGGTTTTCATTTATTTTCAGATTGACCTATAATTCCTATACTAGTTTAGATCATGTTATACATTGGATTATGGGAAGTATTCTTGAAAATAAGACAAAAAAGATGTCTATCATAGTTGCAATAAGGCCAGAAAAAAGGAAATATTGCAGCATTTTCCATGCCAGATGAAGCAGGGAATAATTAAATGTGAGCTTGAAGAACATTTTTTTGGTGAAAAATACTGTGAAGATGTGCACAACATGAAGCTCGAGAATATGTGATAAGTACATGGACATTGACTTGGAATTGCATCTCCTAAACAAAGGGAACATGTTGGAATGTTGCACTTGTATTGGCTAAACTTGTGAATCCTGGAATTTAAAATACTCTGAAACAAGACTTGTTGAATATTTCAAAATGTGACTGTTTTAGGTGTCTTCAAAGACTTGTGTATTTGTAAAGGAAAATTCAAATTTAGTGTTTTGCTGATGGATTAATTACCAGTGATTTGTTAGTAGTTTGTTAGAGTGGTTTGATAGTAGTTTGTTAGAGTGGTTTGATAGTAGTTTGTTAGAGTGGTTTGATAGTAGTTTGTTAGAGTGGTTTGATAGTAGTTTGTTAAGAGTGGTTTGATAGTAGTTTGTTATAGTAGTTTGTTAGCTCATTTGCATGTGATTTGCTATACTATTAAACTACTTTCAAACCATAGTGGTTTGTTAGTAATTTGTTATAGTAGTTTGTTTGCCCTTTTTTTCCGTATGGGTGGCTTTGTCATTCTTGAGAAGAAGATGTTTAAAGAATTTTCCTATATATTTCTATGTAAAACTTTGGGTGGCCATTTTGGCCCCGCCCTACCCCCGGGGGGTCATGATTTGAACAAACTTGAATCTACAATACCTGAGCATGCTTCCATATAAATATGATGAATTATGGCTTTGTCATTCTTGGGAAGAAGATTTTTAAAGAATTTTCCTATATATTTCTATGTAAAACTTTGGTGTGCCATTTAGGCCCCGCCCTACCCCGGGGGGTCATATTTAACAAACTTGAATCTACACTACCTGAGACATGCTTCCACATAAATATGATGAATTATGGCTTTGTCATTCTTCAGGGAAGAAGATTTTTAAAGAATTTTCCTATATATTTCTATGTAAAACTTTGGTCGGCCATTTTTAATTAAGCCCTACCCCGGGGAGTCATGATTTGAAGAAACTTGAATCTACACTACCTGAGCATGCTTCCATATAAATATGATGATTATGGCTTTGTCATTCTTGGGAAGAAGATTTTTAAAGAATTTTCCTATATATTTCTATGTAAAACTTTGGTCAAGCCATTTTGGCCCCGTCAAACCCCCGGGGGTCATGATTTGAACAAACTTGAATCTACACTTTCCTGAGGATGTTTCCCCATAAGTTTCATCTTTCCTGGCACAGTGGTTCTTGAGAAGAAGATTTTTAAAATATGCCACTAAATTTTCATTAATTCCCAATTATCTCCCCTTGAATGAGGGCGTGGCCCTTCATTTGAACAAACTTGAATCCCCTTCACCCAAGGATACTTTGTGATAAGTTTGGTTGAAATTGGCCCAGCGGTTCTTGAGAAGAAGTCAAAAATGTGAAAAGTTTACAGACAGACAGACGGACAGCTAGACGGACAGACGGACAGACAGACAGACGGACGCCGGACAAAATGTGATCAGAAAAGCTCACTTGAGCCTTCGGCTCAGGTGAGCTAAAAAACAAAACAAAAATCAACCCATAATGTTACTTAACATCCAATTCATACTTTTTATGTACAATGTACATCTCATTGCATAGCAAAGAAAACTCCAAAGAGAAAGAAAACTGTGAACAGAAACGATTAAACTATTTACAATTCATTCGTTAAAAAAATATACATGTATGAAAGATTCTACACACCTCTAAAAATTGTAAAAAGCAAAACATTTACACATGGGTGCTGCCATTTTTACCTTTGACCTAATGGTAGACAACATCCGGGTTCCCTATCACTTTCAAAACCGTTCGTCCAGCTCGAAGTCACGGAGACAGCCGAGCGAAGAAGACTGTCAGTTATTCTGTGTACGTAAGGGATGGTCTTACTAGGATTATGGTCATTGACCGTCAAATCAAAAACTGTGAAAAATAAATAACTGATCGTCGTCGTACGATGAGTTTATTACCTAACCTGTCTCATGATAAAGTGTAAACAGAATCGTGTGTGTAAAAATAACAATTTGACAGGATTTTTCAACATGTTCACTGTAAACAGTAATTAGAAGGTGAGTGTTTATTTAGAAAATGCCAAACATAACCAAACTGTTACATTTGCTAAATAATCTTCTTTGTTTTGTGTTATCATACAAACTCGAATTTCCTCGATTTACATTCTTGAACATTATACAATCACACAAAACTCTTTGTTTTGCATTGTTGCGTCAAGCTAAGAGTCTTGTGAATTTTTTAATTTTGAAAAATGTTTAGCTTGCATGGCATACATTGATTATATTAAAGCATCTAGACACCTTACGCCTTCTATATGTTTTCAATTTCTTTATTGATTCACCAAAAATGTTGGCATACAACCATGTTTCATACAAAAGACAAATAATAAAATACATACATGCAAGTGTGGGAATGCCAATTGAATTTTTACAGGTAATTGCCCCTTTCAGCTTTAACGATCGAAGACCTACAAAAAAGGGGTGATATATAAGTTTATTGTAAAACTGATATAAAGGTTTGATTAAGCATGCCCACTAATATATAAAATACACAAAAAAGTTTTATAATCTCTTTTAAAGTGTATTTTTTAACCGGAAGTTGGGTCAAGGAAATTCGTCTCTAAATCTACAGCAAGAACGATAACTCGTTAAATAACAAATTTAGCTGTTCACCAAAACATATGTAGAAAATGTAATTATCAGAAAAATGTATATTTTGCTGTAAAAAATCATTGAAGATACTTTATATATACATACATCAAAGAAAAAAAAAAATCATAATAAAATGCATTATTCAGTCAGAAACAATTCTATTTTGTTAAAAAAAAATATACATTATTAAAATCAGTAAAATTGTAAACATTACATAATTTATAATACTTTATATATTATGTCAATCATAAAATCATTATAAATACATACACTTGTATATACAATATTTAGTATTTTATATGTGTTTATAAATAATTCTATAATATTTAGTTTATGTGTGTTATGTTAATGTATTTATAAAAATTCATAAATGATTTGTGTTCTTGAATTATTAATAATGCTTTAAAAGATGTCATTTATAACATCTGGAAATTTTATATATATATTTTTTTGTAGAGAATTCAAATTTTAAAATTGCAGTTAAAAGAATTTGAAGTAATTTTTGAAAACACAGACATAATCACTTCCAAAATCTTATTTCCCCCTGAGTCAAAGCATCATAATTTTTTTTTTTAAAAAATGCATGCATTTCATGTGTGATAACATGCGTGTTTATTTTATTCAATTTTAAAAAGTGTGTATTTTCTTTTAATTTAATTATTGAATAAACAGTTTTTAACTTGATATAAAGCTTATATTTTTCAAATTTTGATAGAAATAAAACCTTATGTTTCATATTATAGTGGTGTTTTTGGTTACACACATTTTTTTCTGGAAATATACATTTAATTAAGTTATTAAATATTCTGTGAACATTTAAATGTGTTATAAAAAAATTTTATTACCATTTTGAATTAAAAAAAAAAAAATCATAAATCAATTCATACACTTATATGTAATTAAAACAACTCATTTTACTTATTTATGTCATGCTCATATGCCATAAAATAAAATGTATTTTTAAGATTTCATGGATGTAAATTAACATTCTATACATTGATGTGTTGAAATATAACACAAAACTATATTAATACTGTGAAATACAACAAATTTTTAAATATGATTTTAAGCTTAAATTTGGTTTCTTTTTGTTTTACACTTTATTGAAATGGACAAATCCACAGGTATACATATCAATAATTGATAATTAATTTTTATTTTTTGTCTTAATCATTAGTAGAATATATATCTATTAAATATTAAGTCATAAAATGTAGAAATTTGATTTTTTTAATAGTAACTGATAATTATTTATATTTTTTTGTAATTTATCTGTTTTTCACATTTCATAGGGGTGAAAAACTCAACAAAATCATGTCATTTTGTTTTAAAATTGTTGTATACATATATAATTTTTTCTGGTTTGACTTTTAAATAGGCTGTAAAAAGCACGCACAACAAAAAAATTTTAAAATTTTCATTTTAAAATTTTTGTCTGGCATTGCTACATTATACAATCACACAAACCTCTTTGTTGTGCATAAAACTTTTTTGTGTATTTTACATATTTAGGAAATGTTTATATAGAATATCATATCAGTTTTGCTGTATATATCTCCCATTTTTGTGGTTGTGCATGATGAGTTTTATATAATCTGCATTGTTGCTATCAGTCTTGGGAATTTTATGATTTTGTAGAGTGTATAGCCTGCATGGCATACATTGATTTTAAAAAGTGACTAGAGACTAACATTAAGTATTTTATAGTATGTTCATTTATGTACTAAGACTATGGTACTAAGCTTTGAGTTACAGCGGACTAGACTGGGATTTGAACCCAGGCCCCCTGAATCTCTGGTCAGGCGCTATAGTTGCTAAGGTATCTGGCCGTCGGCGATTGAATCCTGTTGACTACCACATTCCTCCCTCCTTAAAGGTCTTTGACTTCCATAAGACCCCAACCCAGGCTCATCCCTGGCAGGCCTCTCACCTGTCAGTACCAGGGCATGGCACAGCACCAAATGTAATGGGAGAGGAGAAAAATGCAGCGGACCAGACCTGGATTTGAACCCAGGCCCCCTGAATTTCTGGTCAGGTGCTCTACCGACTGAGCTATCTGGCCACCGGGGATGGAATCCGACTGACCGCCACACTGCAATAAGCCTCTATTTATTCTTCAATGTTGCAAGTTTATATTTGATTTGCACTGGAGATTGACAGATTCTTGATAAAGGTGGTCATGGGCCAGTACAGTTGTTAGACTAGTACACTGTAGTTCCAAATACTAGGCCACCAAGGGGGTGGGTGGGGATTGGGGACCCCCCTGAATTTTTGCAGGTTATTCTATGCACATATTTAAATTACTAAAGAATGAACTTGGACCCCAAAGCAAACCTGGATCCTGGTTTAAGATAAAGTTGATTGGAAAACACATAAATATGAAGGATATATAGTTAAAGAAGAGCAGATGTCATCCCCCTTTCTCACACATAAAGGATTTTTTAGGAAAGGAGTTAATTTAAAAAAAAAAGAAATGTCATTCTTGTCAAGATTTTTTTTGGAGGGGGGTGGGGGGTGGGGGTGGGAGTGGGGATTGGGGGGTAGAAGTAAACCTTTTGGTAATTCCTTGATCTGGGTCTGTGTATCAAAGAAGTCTGAAGACCTATGAATTTAAATGCTTCTGACATCAAAAAAATCTTTCAAATGAAGTTTAATTTAAATATCAAGTAAATGTGGGTAGTGATTTTACCAGCTGTGAATTTGTAAGCAGATGAGTTCCATGTACCCCAACAGGACCCATGCAAATCAGCCTTCCATTAATTAAAAATGTCTCTGCTATAGTGACCTATAGATCATTGAATGACATGCAGAGGAAAAGTTCAAATAAATGGCACCCAGTAAGAAAGTCATATTTTCAGAGGATGACGACATTAATCAATCAAGCCTACAACATGTATCATATAAGGAAACATTATAGCATGTATTCCAATCTGGTAAAATCTTATTGTTTGGCAGTCTGCGGTACATGTATAAAGTTAAGTATTGTATCATACCATGATCATTGAAAGTTTTATAGCAGGAGTGATATTATTTTATATAAAATGTTTTCTTTGTAATGGGAACTAATTAAGGATGCAGCTGTTTCCAAAAAAAAACAAAAAAAAACAAAAAAACATATCCTACAAAAGCAGTTTTTTCTTCTTCTGTATGGCACAGATCATTAATTTCCATACTGACATTTTATTTTTTACATTTATGCTGGTTTAATTAATCACACAAAGGATTTTCCAGGGTTTGTAGTTGGATATGATATTCTATTCAACAAATTTTCTATTTTATAATTATCCTTTACTGTTAACATTATTTCAAAGGACACTTTTAAAGATATGTGCAATTGCAGAGTACATACTACATGCACTGAGGCCTTTCAATACATAAACACGTAGTTTTGAAAATGTTTACAAATACTATAAAAGAAAAATATGCTGATTATCGTAATTTTAACATTTTGTGAAGATTTTCAGTCCTAGCATTACTTGGGTAATACTATATGAGTCCCTGGGTTATGTTGGTTATTGGCTGTCTATTGATGAGCCAGGGTGACCAAATTAACTGTTGACCCTGCTGCACTGTTGACCGGACACTGCACTGTGCAGAAGAGAGCCGGGGCATTTCAGGACTTGACTGATTCACCTGTACCGTCTTACAACCACAGAACGGACTCATCTTATTGTTCACAGACACCCAGCACAGGGACCGGCTATTGTTACCCTGGCCACAGCTAATGACTGTTAGAGAGGGAGGGGGAATAGAAGGGAATTCCTCCTGCTAAATGACATACTGACTTGACAGGGATGCCAACAGGAGGGGTCAGATGCATTAAGGGGCATAAAGTTGCATGTCAACAGCAATGCATGTCTACTGAAGGGCCAAACAATGGTGCTCTTTCATATCTCAGCAGGGCGACCAAGATTAATGCTGTATTAGTTTTATTGGCTCTTGTCCTGGAAATGCAAACAATTTTCCCAGTCTGCACAAATACAATGCAGCTTCCGTCTTGTCATAAGACAGAAGGAATCAGTAAAGCAGATAAATTTTCTGCCTTAGTTTGCCAAACTGATCAAATGCACATGGTGTGTTTTTCTTAAGGAGCAACATGCAAAGGTGTATATTTAAAAAATTTCTGGGTAAATTTCTTTACATAAATCTCTATTTTAAAATTTATAACTTTGTTTTGATGTATTGTAAGAATGTCTGTTATTAGACAAGTTTTTGAAAAGACATTGGTATTTGGTCTTCTGAGTTATGTTTTGTCAAAATCTGTTGAGTGTTCAAATTATGGAGTTGGTTTTCTAACTTTTTTTTCAATTTCCATATTTAAGCTTGACAAATCAGCCGTTCTAAAATATTCCCATTTGAAAACCATGTATGTACATGTATATATGATTTTTACATGTATTATGCATTAGCATGTTTGATAATGATAAGTGTTCTGTTTGATAATTGTGATATTTTGCATCATTTTTCTGTAAATTTTATGTCATTCTAATTTACCGCAGCATTTCAAGTACAATTTAATGACAGTGTAAAATATTCTGATTTGAAAACCATGTATGTATATGATTTTTACATGTATTATGCATTAGCATGTTTCATAAGTGTTCTATTTGTAAATTGTGATATATATTGCATAATTTTTCTGTAAATTTTAATATGTCATCCTACTTTACCGACAGTGTAAATTAGGGGAATGATAAGTCTTGATCTTGTCAAAAGAATTCCTGAGTTATGTAATAATTTTAATGTTTATTTAACATTTGGATGAAGTTATAATAATATGAAAGGTCAAACAATGGATATAAATATAAATTCATAGTTTTTTGTTTACTTTGTAGTTAATGCCACTTTAGTAAAATATTTCAGTCTGTTGAATTACCTCATATAGAACAACTATTTTGAATAAATTTTCTTATTTGCAAGAGAAATAATTTGTTTATTTCAATGTAAAAAAAGATTTTATAGCGCAATAAAACTGTGAATTTAATTCGCTATATCCGTAATTCGTTATATCCGTATACATATTCGATTATAACGAAAAAGTTCGCAATATGCATGTTTTCCTTTAACATTATTAAAATATGTTAGGAAAGCAAATATTAAAAAACACATCTTCGATAACTAAGGTTATAATATGAATTGGATTTTATATACAAATGCCAAACAGAAATAGAGTCAGTTTAAATTATCAATTTTTTTATAATCTTTGAGAGTTCGTTATAAAGGATGTAAATTTCATTATATTTAACCTCAATGTGACTCAAAATCAGTTCGCTATATCCAGTAAATTCGTTAGATCAGAGGGGTTCGTTATAACTGTAGAATTTTATCAAAGATTTGGGTTATTTTGCAAGAGAAAAACTTCGCTATATCCGTGAATTTGCCATATCCGTGTTCGTACTAAACAAGTTTTACTGTAAATCTTTTTTGTAAGTTGATAGATTTTTTTTCTGATCAGAGACCTGAACAATCTGTGCTATGATCATGATGATAAACCTTTGAATTTTATTTTTGTTAGCTTTTTCAATTAAAATAATAAATTAATTTTGTTTAGTAACAGATTGTTTTGTAGGGTCAAAAGGTATAAATAATAATATATGATTGTGCTTTCTATCAAATTATTGCATTATAAATGTATAGTACTATAATTTTCGAATTATTTTATTTTCAGCCTTGTAAACTCTCTGGACAATGCAGGGCCACATTTTTAATGGATTTTAGTCCTGATGGGTAAGCAGAATTTTCTCAAATGTATATAACTATCTGTTTTATTTTTAGGACAATGGTGGGACACCTTTGATTTAAAAGGGGTTTTCAAAATTAATGAAACTGATGTAGACTAAATCTGTTTTACAGTACATGTACCCCATTGTCAACCTGAGGCTCTAATTTTAGCTCAAGTGCCAGAGGCATTTTCATTAACAGGCTTTATTTTTTTATTCTCATCGTTTTATTGAAAGGCAATACATTCAGTGATAAGAAGTAAAAAAAAAAATAAATAATGAAAATAAATTGAAAAAAATATTATTTTGAATGCTATAGAAGTTTTTTCAATGATTTTAAGTACCAGTGAATATTATTATCAAAATGAAAAGTTCTGAGGTATTCCAAATGAAAAGTACAGAGATGTTCTGGAGAGATGTAATAATTATAGGGTGAAATAAGGGGTGCTTATATATAAATTGTGAAATACAAGTCTGGGTCCATTATCAGGGATGCAAAAGTCCTGTATTATATAACAGATATTTATAAGATTAATCATGCAAATGCCATCTTCTTGAGTTAGGAAGGCACAAATGTGTGATGTACGTGCTATGGATACTTTTATATGTAATAATATGATTTGATTCTCAGTTTGATCAGAAAGACTGTCTAATTGGTTTTTGATGAGGTTTTATATCTCTTTGCTTCTAAGGCCAACAATAAATGATTAAATGTTAAAGCTGTGAAAAAAATTAAGCAATTCCTAATGAAAGTATCCTCATCAGTGTACATAATGTTGTTGACAGGCATTATAACAGTATATAGTTACATTTTAGTGGGAATATTATAAATGGTAGTTTTTTAGCTGATTATAGTCAGTGGAAATTTTTAAACAGGATTGATACACTGCTCTTGATACTGAAGTGTAAATGATGTTTATAATTCTCTCCCCTCTGATTCCCATTCTCTGATGGTTCCTATGTTTGATTCCTGCGATCTCTGTAAACTGTCAGTAAAGCCAGAGTAAGCATAGCCTTGGTCAACCAGGGGTCAGATTTTCTGCACATCAAACACAATGGTCCAATAATTGGTACGATCAAATGATTTCTGGTGGTCTGGCTGGGCTGGTTCAGTGACCGGTCAACAGGTACGGGGGATAGATATAAACATCAACACAGCAGAAATGTTTGTTTTAGTTAAGAGCTTACCCACTCCACTGCATTCCATTGGAGAACAAGATTCTACAAGTCTGGAGATTTTGTATTTCTGGTTATATAGTCTATGGGAAGTTAACATAGCCATAATGGCTTTCTTTGTGTTTTCATTGGAATATTTTTTTGATTTTTCATATGGTATTTAGAAATCTCCAGGCCAGTTGACATCTCCCTTTAAAAGTACATAATACTTGTATTTATAGATGTACTAAAGTTGTGTATGTCATACTTTGGGAAATGCGCCTAACGCCAAAATGTCATTATTTTCCCCCCGTAAATGCAAATAAAAAATTCAATATTCCTAGGGGTCCCTCCTCAGCCTTTTTTTTTTTTTTTTTTTTACGTTAACAGAGAATAACTAGTGCTAATTGCGCATGTCTTAACTCCCTTTTAGTGCCATATGTAAGTTTCATTAAAATAGCTATATTTAAGACTTAAACAACATTGCATGAGCGTAATGACTATATCATCTTGGTGCATTTTTACCGTTTTTAAGTGACCGATTGTATTCATGACGTATCTGAGCATACTGTTACTTCGTTCAATCAGACTCTTTGTAGTCGCGATTTATGTTTTTTACACCAATCAGAGCAGCGCACGTACATGGTTGTTTTCAAGACAATTATTATATATCATAGTTGTACATGGAATATTTCCTTTAAATTTCAAAGCATTTTGTCAGATTACGAAAAGATAGAAATTTTTACCGAATACTGAGTCAATTATATTTATTAAAATTATATGTAATGATTTAAATAATAAACATATGAAAGTAATACTCCAGTAAGTAATATGTCCTAATAATATTTTTAAAACTTTGATTATATATATTTCGAAACAAAACAAGTAGAAGTTACTCAATTGTGTATCCAAACACATGCCCGAAATGCCTCCAAAGCGAAGATCGGTATTGGGCTAACTTGACCATGTAAACAACGAAAGCTTATATATTGTATAATTACATTTCATCAAAAAATATAAACATCCATATTAAATATATCAGTCAAACTTTTTAATTACCAGACTCGGCTGATGTCTCTGATTAAGAAGAACAGTCCAAGACGTTGACTTTTGATGTCAACGTCAACGATGGTCGTCATTTCCTGTCCAAGTGGCTAACTTTGCATCCGTGGTTGGAATTAGATCAGATGGGACTAAAATGTTTTGCAAACGAATAAAAATTTTTTCATTTAAGTTTTTTGCGTATTTTGCTCCAATTTGTTCTTTGCAAAAAAAACCAGTCCAGCTGTGTGTGTGTAACCAAATTTAATCTGCAACTGCCCAAGGTAAATTCATGTGTGGCAGAGAAATGTGCATGTAAGTTTGCATCCTTTATATATAGCTCTTCAACAACCTCCGAGAAATATATTAGTATAAAATCCAAAAGGTTTTCGTTTTCAGGAATTAACTCTCCAATATGATATTTTTCAGTACTGAAATGAAATTAAAAAAAAAATATTTTATATTTATAATATTATTGATTTTATTTGTAAAAAAAATTAAATTGGTTGTGTCAGAAATGGCATTTAAAAACCCTCAGGTACAGACCCATGTGTATTTACTTGAAATTCATCACAAAATAGCATTGGAAAATCAATTTTTCAGTTCCATAATTAGACAGGGGGCTATGCCCACTGTTAAACATATTAAATCTAACAGTCCCAATGGGGGATATGGGGTAACCCATATCTATTCTTGTTTAATTTTAATGTTGATGGGCCATTGGCCCATCAACATTAAAATCCAGAGTGATCCCTGGTACTTCTAGAATAAGAAAACATGTACTTTGGCTTCTTTGCTTCATAATTACAATGTATATATATATTTAGATCAGTGTTTTTACTTTTACGTGCCAGCCAAGATTCACAACTTAATACTATAATTATAAACTAGATATAAATTATATTGGCCACTAAGAACAGTATCTCCTGGTTACTACCACATCTTACATAACAGTGGCTGTACTAGACATTCCCCTGTGTACAGTACACAGTACTGGTCTGTAGTCTCCATGCCTGAGGCCCTGTCAGGCTGTGTCACTGTAACCTGCCCATTCCTTACATCACCACTGAAGCCAATTATCGGACTCTGCTATATATGTCAGTGTACACCTTACAGGGGTCAATAGTTCACAGCATTCTATCTGACTTATAGTGTCTTCTCTGTTTATTTATTGGGTTCATCTGTGTTCTCTGTCTCAATCCATCCTGTAGTTTACATTGAAATAAAGATTTTTTGTCAGTTGAACTGAGAGATATAATTCGTTTGTAATATCAGTACATGTGCATGTTCTGAAAAGAGAAGAAAAAATGTTGACTCAGACTTGTTTTTCCCCTTGTACTCGTAGTTAAATGTCAGATCATGAAATGTATTTCTCCTCCTAAAATTGCAGTTTACTTACTGTTCAAAACTTGTCGTTTCTTTCTATATATTAAAGAAAATAAGGATCAATCTTGATTTTTTTCCTGCATATCAGGTTTTAGTATCTACCAACAGGTACCACTTTTTGTTGGGGATATTGATTTTCTGTGTCTGTGTCGTATATTTTGATCAATCTGTCTTCTTGGAGGACACTCATTTGAGGGATAGGGTGGCAGGGGTCAGAGAGAAGCATGACCTTCTGACCTCTGGTTGAAGCTTGCTGCCTTGTCTGTAAAGCAAAAAAAGTAAAATAAGAATGTAAAAAAAAAAAAAAACATTTCAATAAGCATTGATAAAAAGAATAAAGTGATTTGTTATTTCAGTTGGTTGGGTATGTCAGAAAAAAGGTATTAGAAAAGAATCAGGATTCTGTAAGAAAAAAAAAAGTTTTAAAAAAGTGAAAACATTGATTGAAAGTCATGATTTTGATCATTAATCTAGCTAGTAAATTGTTAAATCGCCAAAGAGAAAATCATCGCTTAATGCACCATTAGCTAGCAATGCTATTAACTTTCTGTTCTACTGCCTGTCAACTTTTATTGAATCCCCCCTGAAAGCCCTGTCCCCCTGATTGGCTGGTCACCTGAGGACATGGACTCTACCTGAACTCTGCCTCACAGACCCCCTTATCATTGATCAAACAAAGTCACTACAACCTCCAGAACAGCTAGGAGGAGGCTTATCATTAATAAATGATCAGGAACATATGGTTTGTTAGATGGGTCATTGTTATGATGTGGAGAGTTATTAACATGATTATAATTTTTTTTGTTTATGTCTCAAACATAGGACAGCTCCGTGTCTCCATTGGGTTTTGTGAACATCTCTCTATCTTGAATAATGTGCTGCCTGTACTAAAAGGCAGTTGTTAATGGTATTCAGACCAATATCATCAAAAACTTTATCTTCCTGTATGTATCACACATTCAGGTTTTTGAGATGATGAAATGAAATATACAAATTTGAAAAAAAAAATATATTATGAAACACTGATATGTTTTGCTGTTGATACATTTACTTACATAACAACAAAGGCTTTTACTTTTAAACAAATATTTAACTACATATAATTCTTAATCTTTTCCACTGTATCCCTGCTTTTTCTGAGACTTTCATATTCTAAATAATGTTAGGCATTTCCTATTCAAAAGTTGCACTTCTGACATATTTTGATCCAATCAAAAACAAGGTCATTTTTAACATTTAAAAATTAATAAAATATAAACTTAAAAGATTTAATTATTTGTTAAGCTTTATAAAAAAAATTCTGCCTCCATGATGTTGATGTATTTAGCTGATTCTATATCTTTTTGATCATCCATTTTGGAATTATTACCCCTGGACTGTGTTTTTTGAATACTGATTCATAGTCCAGACAAATGTAAAGGGATTTTTAAAAAATTTATTACAGCAAGTTAAGCAAGTATGACTCCTGGGAGCCTCTTATTTTTGAGTGGTTAATTATTTTGTGATTCTTTCAGAACCAAGGTGGCATCCACACATGGGGACCACACAGTGAGGGTATCAGAGGTAGCCACCGGTAAATGTCTCCACATCTTGAGGGGCCATCCTCGCACACCTTGGTGTCTGGCCTTCCACCCCTCATCCAATCAGATCCTAGCCTCAGGTTGTCTGGGAGGAGAGGTTCGAATATGGGACCTACATGTAAGTTCTAACTATACATTCTTTAGGCCATAATAAATAAATTGCTAGATTCTCATCCGAATTTTTTCAAAAATCGAGGCGCCCGGCTTTTATATATATTTTTCATTTTTTCAGTTTTGCAGATTTTTTATTGGGTCAACAGAATTTTTTAATGTTATTTTGACTTAAAGTTAAACTGGTAATTCACATCATCACCAATCTTTTTCAACCAATGACCGTTGTTTAAAATATATACGCATATATTACAGCAATTACCATCTTTTCAACTGTCAAAATCATGTCGACTCCACTGTACATTCTTTACCATGAGAATTGAAAAACCAATATATATGACTGTAAATCAAGTTTTATTATCAAGAACTTTATTTCCAATGGCATGCTATAATAGAGAAACTTCTACTCATGATCTTTTTCTTTGTTTTTAATTATTTTTTTTTGACATTGATTGAATTCTTGAGAAGTATCAAGAATATAACTTGCAATTTGAATTTTACCCTATGAATAATATTATTCATCAATTTTTAGGGTTGTGGAACAGAGGTCTGGAGGTCAAAGGACAGCCAAGTCATAACCTCTTTGACCTTTCACCCCACAGACCATGTGTTGGTGTTTTCAGTGACCAATCATATTTACTTCTGGGACTGGAGTCAACCAGACCCATTTGTTGTCTGTAAAACTAAATATGAATTCGAAAAAATCAGGTTTGTGTCTACTTGTTAATGCCTTGAATTCTTTAGACATAGGACTTTTTACTGCATAGTTTACCACATAATGTGTGCAATAAAAATATATCAGTTTATACTATTTTAGTTTTTCATTTAACTTGACAAATTTTAACAGTTGTTTTATTATTTCTATCATAGATGGGTGAAGTTTGACCCCCTGGGTTCATACCTATACACAGGGATAGCCAACAACATCACAGTAAGACCTACATCCAGAGTGTCCTTTATAAGGTTAGTGGGTAAATAGCCTCTCTATCATAAATGTATGCATGTTAGATTTTTATGATATCTCTGGATATAATTTAAATTAAATTTTGGTAAACAAAAGGTAAATTATTAAACCCCCTGATTTTTCCAGCAGTAACAGTAACACCGCCCCACCTAACCCCCGGACCCAGCAGCTGGGTAATGTGTACGATGGTCTGGTGGAGTGTTTCCAGGCATCGAGACGAGACAGAGTCCTGAACCAGACCGAGGGAGGACAGGGTAAATAATAATATATAGAGGATATTCAATTTTTAGCTCTACTGGTCAGAGACCAGAAGAGCTTATGCGATAGTAATTATCCGGCGTGTTTCCCACTATCGTTGATGTCTGTCTGTCTGTCTGTAAACAATTTTTCAAAATGCTACTACTCCTACAGTTTTGATCTGATTTTAATATAACTTGGCTTATAAGTAGACTACACTAAGATACATAATTCTGTGTATCGGTTTTTGATTTCGACGAACGGTGTTGGCGATGTTACTAAAAATAGAAATTTCTATGAAATTCTTTCAAAATGCTACTCCTCCTACAGTTTTGGTCTGATTTCAATATAACTTGGCATATAAGTAGACTACACTAATATACATAATTCTGTATATCTTTTTGATTTCAAAGAACGGTGTAGGCGTTGAAAAAAATAGAAAATTCTGTGAAATTCTTTCAAAATGCTACTCCTCCTACAGTTTTGATCTGATTTTAATATAACTTGGCACACAAGTAGACTACACTAAGATACATAATTCTGTGTATCGGTTTTTGATTTCGACGAACGGTGTTGGTGTTGTTACTAAAAATAGAAAATTCTGTGAAATTCTTTCAAAATGCTACTCCTCCTACAGTTTTGGTCTGATTTCAATATAACTTGGCATATAAGTAGACTACACTAATATACATAATTCTGTGTATCGGTTTTTGATTTTGACGAACAGTGTTTGCGTTGTTACTAAAAATAGAAATTTCTGTGAAATTCTTTCAAAATGCTACTCCTCCTACAGTTTTGGTCTGATTTCAATATAACTTGGCATATAAGTAGACTACACTAATATACATAATTCTGTATATTGATTTTTGATTTCGACGAACGGTGTTGGTGTTGTTACTAAAAATAGAAAATTCTGTGAAATTCTTTCAAAATGCTACTCCTCCTACAGTTTTGGTCTGATTTCAATATAACTTGGCATATAAGCAGACTACTTTAATATACATAATTCTGTGTATCGGTTTTTGATTTTGACGAACAGTGTTTGCGTTGTTACTAAAAATAGAAATTTCTGTGAAATTCTTTCAAAATGCTACTCCTCCTACAGTTTTGGTCTGATTTCAATATAACTTGGCATATAAGTAGACTACACTAATATACATAATTCTGTATATTGATTTTTGATTTCGACGAATGGTGTAGGCATTGTTACTAAAAATAGAAATTTCTGTGAAATTCTTTCAAAATGCTACTCCTCCTACAGTTTTGGTCTGATTTCAATATAACTTGGCATATAAGTAGACTACACTAATATACATAATTCTGTGTATTGATTTTTGATTTCGACAAATGGTGTTGGCGTTGTTACTAAAAATAGAAATTTCAAAATGCTACTTCTCCCACAGTTTTGGTCTGATTTCATTATAACTTGGCATATAAGTAGACTACACTAATATACATAATTCTGTGTTACTATCGGTTTTTGATTTCAACGAATGGTGTAGGCGTTGTTTTCTAAAAATAGAAATTTCTGTGAAATTCTTTCAAAATGCTACTCCTCCTACAGTTTTTTTTTCTGATTTCAATATAACTTGGCATATAAGTAGACTACACTAATATACATAATTCTGTGTATTGATTTTTGATTTCGACAAATGGTGTTGGCGTTGTTACTAAAAATAGAAATTTCAAAATGCTACTTCTCCCACAGTTTTGGTCTGATTTCATTATAACTTGGCATATAAGTAGACTACACTAATATACATAATTCTGTGTTACTATCGGTTTTTGATTTCAACGAATGGTGTAGGCGTTGTTACTAAAAATAGAAATTTCTGTGAAATTCTTTCAAAATGCTACTCCTCCTACAGTTTTGGTATGATTTCAATATAACTTGGCACACAAGTACACTACACTAAGGTACATAATTCTTTAAATCCGTTTTTGACTTCAATGAACATTGGTTTTTTCCTTGGTTTATAAAGAGAGCAATTTCTGTTACTCTCAAAATGTAAATTAAATACATTTTGATTTGATTATAATATAATGTGGCATGCAAGTAGTACACTAAGAACATAAAGAGACTTATTCAAGGATCATTATTCTCTTTATTTGCTGGTGTAAAGTTATAAACAAAATTGTATTAAGTACTTTCCTCTTCCTTTGCTATATGTACGAACCAGTAGAGCTTCAGTCTCGACAGAGACTTCTGGTTTGTTGTTGAATATGGAATTTATTTCAAGAGTGGGACAGAAATTTTTTTTTTTTTATGAGTGCAAAGCGCGAATTTTTTCTTAAAAAATTCCCGTTAAACAGAAAATTAAAAAATTTTATATTAAGTGACAGAATAAATTTTTATTCAATGAATAAATTTGTATTTCATAAAATTAAATGCAATACATCAAACATTAAAGACTTTGTAAGATCTGATGACGTTGTTAGATGCAAATACAAGCATATTTTGAAATGTTGAATACTGATATGTCAGGTATTTTTAAAGTTTTTGACAGTCTTACCATGTTTTATTTATGTACAATTGACAGTTCTTTGTATTTAAATGAGAATTTTTTTTTGATCCTCAGATCCTCCATCCTCATCTAGTGTTCAGCATGGTGCTTCTAATCACCCACACTCACCAGTTCATGAGGAGGGACTCAACCTGGCACGGCAGTATGCCTCTCACATCACAGAGTCCTCCCAGAGATCAACCTATGGGGGGCCTCAGAGGACAGATATCCCCTCTGGTGCCTCTAACGACTCCTCTTCTCCTGACACTGACATGGATGTGATTTCTAGTCCCGCAGAACCTCGAATGTTGAGGAACCCTCCTAGAGCGGCCTCAGCCGAGAACGATGTTAGCGGGGAGACGACCCCAGATGTATTGAGTACAGACATTGAACCTAGTCAAACTAGGGCCGGGTCTAACAGTGACAGAACCTCAGGGACATTGGTTGTCACAGAGAGGTCCCCAGAACAAGCCAGTCCCCCCTTTCAATCCTTGGACCCTCCTCCAGGAGTTAGAATTGTCTCTGAGTCACAAGCAATGAATGAAAATGTCCACAGTAGGCTGGGTAATCAAGTTCATGCCTCAACTGTGGCATTTAATGTGGCACCCGAAGAGGAAAGGGCAGAGGAGATTGTTAATCTCAGTGATATAGCCTCAAGAGGACTGTCTGATAGTGACCTAGCCACACGTGGTCTCTTTAGTAGTGACGTATCCCAGCATTCCAACTCCACGGACTGTGAACGAGATAACTGTCCAGTCTGTGGGAACTTTAACACAAGACATCTCAGGCGAGTGTGCGAGTCAGAGATGTTTACACAGCTCCGAGCTAGACGCAGGAGTTTACAAAACTCAATAAACAATGCTTCAGCAAGGAGTGCATTCTCTCGTCCGTACTTTTATAACAGACATGGTTCACTGATCAGACCAGAAGTTCACTCCATACATGATCCTAGTCAGTTAGGTGAGATGCATGAAATAAGACGTGTGGAGAATCCTAATGCAGGTGCTTCTAATGTGGATAATGCGACATCTAATAATAATAATAATGTACCTAGTAACACTGAGGGGGATGCTCGTCTCACACAGGTTGGGGATAATATTGACATTTGTGCCAGCATCCATGAGAACTTTGCCTCCATTACGGCCCGTATAGAGAGGGAGATGAATGAACTAGACAGAAGAATAAACAATCTGAGAAATACATTTAACGAGAGTCTAAGAAGATTACAGCATCATCGAGTGTCTTTCTTGTCGGCCAGGGAGGGGGATGTAAATGGACGTCGACCAACATCATTTCTCGTGGCCAGACACGTCCCGCAAGCAGAAGGAGCCTCAGCTAGCCGATCAGAAGACAGTGAGATACATTGTTATTTCATCTTATTCATTATACCAATAACATAATAACTGGTATCTAAAATATGAATTTTTTCAGGGTTGAGTTTAAAATGTTTTACTCATGACTATATTTTTCATTTGAACTACTCAGGATTGTTTTGAAAACATCTATAATTAAGTATTGTATACTTTAGGTACGCATTCCATGGAGAGGGGACAACACTTGCTGGAGACAGCACTAAGGTCATCTCAGCAGGACATTACTAGTACTCACACACACAGGTGGGTGACAGAACCATCACCTTTGAATTAAAAAAGTGTTCCTGAGCGGGACATAACCTGTACTCATACAAACAAATACATGAATCGTCGACTATAAATTAGGTATACCTGAGTAGTCATTACCTGTTAACCTGTCTTGTAGTGCTCCTCGAGATCCAGACTCATCCCAGAACTGGCAGTCCCTGGAGCGCCACCATCTCCACCCCCACTACTCCGTCAGTATCCTAGACAACACGATTAATCGACCAAATGACCCGATTCAATCCGCCATCAACAGAGCCATAGCAGGTCAGTATCCCATACAACACGATAAACCGACCTAACGACCCAATTCAGACAGAGCTATAGCAGGTCAGTATCCTAGACAACACAATAAACTGACCCAATGACCCAATTCAGACAGCCGTCAACAGAGCTGTATATCAGGTTTGTAAACTAACAAGCCAGGGAAAACTTATATTGATGTTAGCTGTACCACAAATTTTTCTGATGCAAAAACTGTAAAGTTCCTTCAATCAGTAAATGTTTACCTTTCATAAATCACAGGTGCTTTACATGTCATGTCCCACTATATGAGATAACTGACTTTTTCAGATGCTTTTATGGGGCGTGGAGAGCCTGCGGTGGCAGCCAACATTATTAATCACACGTATCGTATCCAGGCCTGGGACTTCACCAAATGTTGTATACCGGATCTCACAGACAGTAGGGAGAAATTTACTTACATTTATCTATTATAACTATATAAACAGGTTCAAGAAAGGCTTATATTTAGCATGCAGAAGGTACAACAAATCTTAAACTTAAGAATTTTTTTCACAGTCTTGGGATTGTGTGTTAAGTTCATACAAATTAAAAGTTGCTTGCATTTTTGGTGAATGTATCTGTAAAACTGTTGTTATTGTAAAATGTGACTTTCATTTGAGCACTCATTTTGGAATGATGCATTGTCTAACTTAGATACATCTTCTGAGATATGTGTAGTTGAGGATATTTGTAATATTCAATATTTACTTGATTTTCAGCCAAGTCCAACATTATTGTACAGCACTGTAAACTTCACAATGAGGCCAGCTGTAATTTGTCCCAGGACGGCACCATGCTGGCGACCTTTGTACCGAGCCACAGAGGTTTCCCTGATGACAACATCCTGGCCGTGTACTCCCTGGAGACCAGGACAAGGGGGCAGTGTCTCTACACCAAAAGCTTTGGTAATGGGAGCTTCATTTCCTTGTTAAACTAAAACTGCTTTTATTATTTTTTCATATTTAGAGTTATACAGAGATTGTTTTGACAAAATTTGTTCTTTAGATGCATTGGTTTGTATTTGTTTGTCATTTTAAAAAATGTTTTGTCTGTAAGGATGTCTTTCCTTTCTCACTCCTTACTTTGAGCTGTTAAGGAAAACCTTCTTATCCTTGAAGATAGAAACTGTAAAATGAAGGATCGATGATTTTGTTTTGTAACAGGACCAAATGCCATCTCTGTGAGCTTGTCACCAGGGTGTGACTATGTCATGGTTGGATTGGCTGCCAAACAGCTCTCTTGGGTATTCACACCCAATCAGGTAAGAGCAATATAATCACATGATGGTAGTATCAACTAATCAGATAACAGCAATATAATCACATGACATCATAGCACATCATCATGGCCATGGGACTCAGAATATTCTGATACTGGAGTTAAGAATTCTCTGTTTATTAACAAACATGTTTATTTTACAGTTGGTGGCCCAGATCTTGAAGTTGGAAAACAAACATGCTGGTGAAAAGTCAATGCAGGTATGTATCAGTATGACCATAGGAAATAAATAAAATCATGTCAGATGGTTTCCTATTTATATCAAGGCAGTTGAGATGCTTTATTATAATGGTGTACCTTTTTCTCAGCATGTAACTGATGTGATGCATCCTTGTGACATGGACATTCGGACCCATGTAAGTGTGAACTCGACACGGTGGCTGCCTGAGTCAGGGGAGGGGATTGTGTATGGAACCAATAGAGGGGACCTACACATCTGTAGACCAGGGTAAGTGGTGCAGATCATTGTGTGAATGATAGTTTAACTGTGCAGCATTGATTGGTTATTGTATCCCAGTCTGTACTAAGTCTGAAGACCTTTATCATTATTATAATTATATATGTACAAGCATGTGTTCTTTTACAGAATTAAAAAATAACAATTGTCATAAATTAGAAGTAAATCATTGCTCATGTATGTCTTTTTTCCAGAACTAAAATGTCCACAAAGGGGGATAACTCTGATGACCGATCCATCAGGAGAAATTTAATGCACATGCTCAGAATGTCTGGAGAACAGGAAGTATCTCGGATTAACTCGTCCACACAGACACCAGGAGTTAGACGGAGCGCGGCCACCCAGACAGACACAGAAGATAGCACGTAATGGGAGAGTACTACTACTCTGGAGTGAACGGGAAAATATAATTATTGTCTTGAATAAAATTCAAGGTCATTAAGCTTAGGACATATTTAAGTTTGATGTAGTATAACATAAAATTTTGTTGTGATGTTCATGTAATGATTTTGTATTTGTCATTTGTCTTGTTCTGGACAATATGTATCAGGGGAACATTATTTCTGAGGAATAGAATAATTCAGTTTTATCCCTTGTTTGTTACTGGAGACATCTTGTTAGCAGTTTGCTTTTCCTCTTAGGTTTATTCTTAAAATTGTGCCATTAGCAACGACTTGTTTAAAGGCAGCCAAGTGAAAAGGAAAGGGGGGTAAAACTGGTTCCCATTTTCATTAGGAAGAAGCTTGACCTGGATTTAATCACAAGATAACAACTTTCCTGTTGATCCAAGAAGCGTTGGGGGGGGGGGGGGGCAGGGCCTCATGTAACAAAGAATTAATTGTAGATCAAAAACTTTAGTCATTGCAAAATCTTCCAAAACTTTATTCTTATCTCAAAAATTTCTTTTAAAAAAAATCAGCTAGAATTATTTGTAAAATAAAGGGAACACCCCTGGTGGAAAATCATTTTAAAATTAATTTAGAACAGAGAATTGTTTGCAAAATTACATTTCGTTTTTATTCATAAGTGATTTTGTAAAATAGGCACCTTTTTATTGCCAATTTTTTAAAAATTGTTTTTCTCCAAGTTTATGTTGTTAGTTAATGTAGAATTATGTGAATGATAAGGCCATGCAAAGTTAATTCCTTGGTTCTCAGGCCTTATTTCAAGAAATATGATGAGGGATGGAGTTTTTTTTTCTTACTTTTTACTGCCCCCTAAACATGCTGAGACAGCTTTTTACATTGTACAAAACCTCAAAAAATGATGAGGGAGGTGATTTGTTTTTTTTTTTATTTTATTGATTTAGCAATAAAAAGGGTCAATGAGACACCCTAGGAAGAGATGAGGGAGGGCCTGAGAACCAAGAAATTAATTTTTTTGGCCTAAATATATTTATTTATATTACTGGATGTTTATGAAACATAAATTTTGCCTTCATTAGCTTAAACATTAGCATAAAAAGGTTACTTAATGTGGGTGATAAACCTATGTCTATAGTTGATAAATTTGGACAGAAAGCTTACAGATCCAAGCATTGAAAAAAATTGCTTGGATCTGTTACTCTGAATTTTCTCAACTACAGTTCTGCAGTTGTGATGAGTGCTGAAGAAATGATGCTGTTGTTTAGAAGCAAGTTTATAATACGTTATCATGATTATTTTATCAAAGACAGACATGTAAACTTTGTGTTCTGCTGTTCTAAAGATGAAAGAAGGAGGCAAATGCCAAAATGACAGAAATCTGTCTTTAAAGATAAGTTACTCTAAAAAAAAAAAAACTAGTAAATGTGGACCTAGATATATTGTCATTGTAAATGATTTGTTTTATTGTCTTGTTTTGTTATGGATCATTTTATGAAATTTTAATAAATCATGGGAGCAGAACACAGTGATTTTGATTATTTACAGATCTCTGGACTGAGATAGGTATAAATCAGGGCAGGGTTTCACAAAACTAACGTAAGATTTCTCCTAAGATAGACTTACGATCATCTTAAGATCCAACTTATGACAATCATAAGATTTGTCACTAGCTGTTTCACAATACTATCTTAAGGTATACCTTGACTCAGAAGACAAAAAATTCCACTGATAAGAATGAAAAACCACCTAATGCACATTGTACACCTATGATTCTTGTGTTAAATTTCAATTTCAAATAAGTAGGTCAATGACCTACTTTTCATGCTAGTGGCCCCTGAGTATTTCTCGGAAAGTACCTCAAATTTTCCCACTATGACCAGTTTTTCCTTTACTCACAAAATAATACAAGCAACAAAACTCTTTAACTAATGATATATTATAGGAACGGAACTGCTTTGCTTCATGTAAATAAATGATTAGAGTTTGGGCCACAAACTGATTAATTATTACAGTCCGAATTTCCTCTGTCATATTTCTATTTCCCCCCATTTTAAATCGAATATTATAAAAATCTGAATGATAAGAACTCTAAATTATTTATGGTCTCAAGTTACTTTAGTTGCCCTCATTCTAATGGTATTAATATTATATGGGGTCAATGATCAAAGTATTGAGATAAGTTGTCTGGAATGGTTTTTGTTCATATTTTTGAATTTCTTCATTTCATAGCATTCAATTATTTGAAATAATTCTTGAGCTTTAATACACATTATATTTTGCAAAATGATGTTTAAAAATACATGTAACCTCTACACTTTAATTGATATTGCAAGAATTTTTTTTTTTGACAAAAATGAAAAATTTAGTCCGAATTTCCTCTGCATCACCATATATTGACTTTTGTTCCTGTATATTTTCTGAAACTGCGCAAATAATGAATGATTTTAGGAAGGAAATGCTTTTGAATCACCGACTCGTGTTCAAAGTTCATTAATAAAATTCGATGAAAGTGTCTTTAAAACGCTTCAACTACAGCAACAAAATATCAATGCTAACAGATGAAGAAGGGAAACGAAAGAATATTCCAATCAAAATTTTACAGTTTTAATAATATTAATAAAGCATGAAGAAAGCATGTACATACAGCATCAAATGTTACAGCATATTGAATCTTCATACAGATTCCAGTGGATTAATGAGGGATACCTAAAAAATTAAAACTATTTGAATTTCATCTAATGTTGCACGAATGAATGAAATGTTCACTTTCAAATAAAAAAAAACAAAGAAAAAAACCACCACAATGTTACAAAATAAATTAAAGTAAAACGTCTTAAAAATGCAGGGTAGCTACACAGAAGTTTTTCTTACTTTCATGGACCTATCCAATCCATAAAAATGCATATATTTCTTATTTTTATTATTTATTCAAAATACATTTACTTAACCTATCAATAATAAACTACATGTACCTCGAGTTACGTTCTAACCATTCTTAAAATAAGTTAGCAATGATTGGTCATAGATATTTTGATATTCTTGTGGGGTATTAAATTCAAATTTGAATAATATTATATGTGATTTCCGGATCTGACATACATGTACATATATACATGTATATATGACTTCAAGTCCTGAGCATTTTGGGAGAAGGGGTGTGCAATTTCAGTTGGGAGGCGGTACAACCAAAGAAAAATGCCTTGCAATGAATAAACTGGAAAAACATAAAGTAGGCACATTTAAGGTTTTATATCGTATATTTATTGGCAAGTTATTGGTGGGGGGGGGGGGGGTTGCACTGGCCTGATATAGTCCAAATGATCGTTCCATCTCTTAAAACGTTTTTCTTTAAATATCCTTGGGTTTTTAGCCAAAAGATATACTGTCGCCAGTTTCACTTTAGACTTAATTAAGACATGTATCTAGTTGTCTTAAGATTATGATAGATCTTAAAATTATAATAAGATATGACAGTTTTGTGAAACAGCTATGGTGCAATCTTAAGATAATTTTCGGTCTTAAGACAGATCTTAGTCGTAAGATAGAAACTGGCCCCTGTTTAATTGAAATTATAAAACCGTCATATCTTTGCGAATTTAAAGCATTGCATTGCATTGCTAGGGTTGCCCTATTTAGAGTCTTACTTCATTCCAAGCCTTACTTATAATGCTTGTACTGTTTCTTCTGATTTTTGTTACTCCCAAATTTTATAAAGCATTTCTTGAGGACTGGTGGATGGATTTACGTGAAATTTTCAGGAAATATGTGTTGTAACATAAACTTGGGCTACCTGAGTTGAAATTAGATAAAAAAAATAGTTTCTTTTATGGACCATTTTCTATACATGTATTCAAAATGCAATTTTTTTTAATGATTTTAAGAACAGCAGGGGATATTGATGCTCTTAGGGATTAAAGATTTTGATAGATCATAACGCTTTTTTGCTATTTTTTGTTTCCCGTTACTCGGAGAACCTAAAAAATAACCCCACTTTTTCTTTGAAATGAATAATGTTTATAAGAAATCTTATTCAAATGCCAGATATAAAATCTATTTTTAATCTCTACAAACTTTTTTTTCCAAGATGTAAATTATTTTTCACTTTATAAGCTGTCAGTTCCATTGGCATCATGGATTCCTGGATTTCCATGTGGATGACCCGGATTAAACTACCCGAGTGTGCAGATTTTTTCTGTCTTGAAATATTTGCACATTTTTGTCTTTAAAATAATATGTGGTAAGACCCCAGAACATTAACTAGCAATATTGTAAAATACTGCCATGTCAGTTATAGTGTTAACATCAAAACACTTGAGGATAGACATTGAAAAGGCCAGGTACAATTTGCTGTAGACATCTGGAAAAAAAAAGATTTGATTGAAATTTTAGTTAGAAGCAGAATTTCAATTCATTGTTTTCTTTGTCGTTCGTGATGAATTTATCGCGGACGTCTGAGAAAACATGACATTGAAATTCTGGGTCTTACTAGAGTTTTCAAAGACGTCCGCACTGGATTGTTCCCATCTATTTCATATCCATCATCAAATGTTTTGACTGAAGCAGATAAAACTTAATTGTGCAGCATATTTCCAGATTTGCAAATTTCAAGTCGAAGAGATTTTTCTTTTACTCTTAATTTTATAATAACCTTATAATTTGTATTAAAGGTGTATAGACACAGATTTGAAGTTAATATTTTCTCAAATTTTCTGTATAATATTACGATTTATATATTGCAAGAGCATTTCACAAGAAAATGAAATAAAAATCTTATTTCATCTCGAAGTTATTGAAATTTCCAATATCTGGTCGGGTTTGATTGACACGTTCTTGCACTTTCACAAATCAAACTTTATTCTTAATACTTGGAAAAGTGGCAATTTGTTGTACATTAATGAAAAATATAAAACTATAATCTAGAAAATTCAGAGTAAAATGTTCGAAATGAAAACGCTCTCACAGTGCTGTGTCTATGCACCTTTAAAGGTAAAAAATATATATATACATGTATTGTGTGTCCTCATTACTGGAACACACTTGCATCTCTCCATGCATACAATGTCATATATAAAGATGGAGATCTCTTTGTTGCTTTGCATGGAGTTCGTCTAGTTGTCATTATTCTTACTGCATTTCTTTTAACCACTTTTTAGTCCTCTAATGATGCACTTCCATAGCTATACATCATTGTGGCTCTCTTGCATTTCTGAGATTTATAAAGAGTGTAGATCAAAGAATGCAACAAGAATCACTTCGACGTATTTCAGTATGGCAACTCCCACGATTAATAACTTAAATAAACATCTTTGAAACACATTTTTAAAAACAAGAAAAAATCACAACAATGATGTATATATGTCGCAGAAAAATAAAATGGAGATAGAATATTTACAAGTCAATTAGTAATATTATGCTTAGACAGTTGACAGTTTTGAAAATCGAGTGTTAGTTATATAGAGATCTGTTCTGTGCTTTGATTCTGCCACTTTTCTTAACCGACAGCTTTTTGGTTATCTGTTAAAAATAAAGAATAAATAACAAATAAATAAGTAAATAGAAGAAAATAAATACTCAGATGCTGAGAAAATTAAGAATATTATATAATTATACCGGGTATCAACCAATTTTAGAACGTAACTGTCATATTAAAGTGACTTTACAAAGTGTTCAGTACCTCATTTAAAATTTCATCTCCAACTTCACTGTTTGCCACAAAGGACATCTGAAAAGATAACTTAAGTTTTTAGCTATTTAATTATAATACAGAAGCTATATACTTAAGTTTGTCGGAGTGATAAACATGTAATGTACAACAGAACAAACCTTGTCCTGTGAGCTGTGTGTTATTGTAGATTGTTTGGGAGATTTTCTTGTTATTATTTCGATGACCTGTTAAAACAAAGCATCCAATCACATGGGAAATGATGTAACAGAAATCTATGGCACGCCAAATTCACAAAAATGAGATAATCATAGTTTCACAATTGATAAACTAGGTTTTTCGACTGTAAACTATAGTTTACAAACCGTAAACTATAGTTAACGATTCGTTAAGTATAGTTTTCATCTGTATATATTTAACGGTTGTTAACTATAGTTTCCGAATGTGAATTTAAGTTTATCTGTCGGTAATAAAGCGTTAACAATAGATTTTGTTGATAAACATAGATTCACGTTTGTAAACTATAACAGTTAAGAGTTGTTAATCATAGTTTCACAATTTGGGAAACTATATTTATCAGATCGTTTACTATACCTAAGAGTTGTAAACCATATCAGATAATCTATATTTTGCAATCGCAAATGATTGTTTTCGGTGTTAAGTAAAACATAGATTATCGCGTTAACTCTGGTTTACAGATGTGAAATATAGATTAACGTTGTTAACTATAGTTTATGGTTTGTAAACTATAGTTTACAACCGATAAACCTAGTTTATCGATTGTGAAACTACGATTATCTCATTTTTGTGAATTTGGCGTGCCATAGAAATCATATTTTAATTCAAGCAATTTTGATAAGAAAAACATACAACAATTTTTTTTTTTTTTAACAGTTTATAAATGTTTTTTTTTTCTTCTAATTTTAAAAACATTCGAATGGGACGTTCAACATGGCGCCCGTGTAGGATTAAAACCCCATTGGAACGCAAAAGACTGTTTCTCTGGATTTCGAAAAAGAGTAGGCTCTCTTGGGGCTGTGAGGGAAACTGATCTTTCAAAAATCAGTTAATAAGGTTAACCCTAGATGGTACAAACTAGAAGAAGTCGAACAAACGTTAAATAAACTAAATTTTCCGCCGATATATGGCTGAATTATTACCGATTCAGCGTTAAACAATAGTTAATCAATCATATCAGAGCACCAGGATTGATATGCATAATTCTTTTTTCTTACCTTTTTATTGAAAATGCAGTTTGATAAAAATATGAAAAATCCCTGAAAAAAGAAGAATGAGGTTTAATTACTTAAAAACTAAAAACTGAATCATACAGTTCATAGACGTACCAGGTATTAGATGGATTAAAAAAAAAAATCAATGCAATTTTTTTTTTAATTCAATGAAATATAATCCATATTTTACAAACCTGTAGAGAATTAAGGATTGCAAATATGTACTGAAATATGATAACATTTTCACTGATGGAGAGGAAGCCGAATAACCACGTGATTCCCATAACCGGAAGTAATGTCGATATACTGCGGATACCCATTCTACAATTAATAGGGGAGAGAATAATATGACATGACGCATATTGTTCAATGCACTGCATGCCCTATTATTTGTTAGAATTATTGAGAAAAATACCCACACTGCTTTCCTTCTGATGGTGACTGTGGAAGCCAGCTGCGTTGAATACATTGTAACAACCAACGTAATTACGATGATAAAATTAATCTGTAAAAAGGAAATGTAAGTTACAGTTAAAATTTAACATTGAAAAAAAAACCTCTTCAACAACTCGTTTAAGTAAATTCATCTATGACACCACAGGCACTTGTTTTGGAAATTAATATTTAACCCATAGTACAATAATAACAAACTATGAAACAAGCCATTGATAAACAAGTTGATGAAACAAGAATATTAACAGCCCTATTTAAAATCACCATTTCATAAATTCTATTGTCAATGCAATGACATTGTCTGTAAATATAATTTTTCAATAGGTCGAAGGCTGGCTGACATTTTTTATAAAAATTGTATTCTAATTGTCAATGCAATGACATTTCTTTTGTTTCAATTGACTAAATATAATCTTTCAATTATAAAAGATTTTAAAGCAACTCTTACCATTTTGTTATGCAAATTATTTCCCTCAAATGAAACAATTTACTTTTCATGAGGAGATTCTTCTCGTTTTAATGAAATACTATATAGATATAACAAACTCGCAAAAGTGAGATATCTATCTCGTACAAATGAGTTTACTAAAACTCGTAATAATAAGATTATAATCGGTATAACAAGAAAAATACTTCATTATAACGGACTCCTTAGTCATTATAATACCCTGGTTTCAATGAGATGAAGTGGTTAAAACGAAACAACTTAGAAGTTAAACTGATTAAAGTGATAAAACAAATTCGTAATACAACTAACTAGTTATAGCCAATATATTTCCATTTCTAATTTTTTTCTCTGTGATAATTCTTTAAAAGTTAACCTGTTTAAATGAGATAACTGACTTGTTGAAATTGAATACACGGTACTGGAAGTCCTCATGTGATTTAAATCTATTAATCTACATTTTTAAAGTCTAAATCTATAATTTTATTTCACAATGAAATGGAAATATAAGGAATCACTGTCTAGAATATATAAATCAACGATAGTGGGAAACATAGGATAATTTTTGCATAACAGCCAACAGGCTTTATGCAAATTATCGTTTCTCACTTTTTCATCCAAACCTGTTTAAATGAGATAACTGACTTGTTGAAATTGAATACACGGTACTCAATACTAGTATTTAGAATACTATAAATGCTATTAATAAACTCTTTAATAACGTTAATACTTTTTCATCCCTAGGCATACGTATTGAATATATTGCTTCTTAACCATGGGGCTATGGCCTTGCGATTCCCTGACAATTTCTTTGCCAAACTCTTTTTTCTAATTCATCCTTCAGTTTATTAGACCTTTTCATGTCTGATGGGACACAATTCATGAATCAATTTATTTTAATCTTCAGTGACTTTACACAGTATAATAATTTGGTCCTCTGTGTACCATTGCTAAAAAATATACAGTACTTTCGCACAAAAATACACAAAGTTGAAAAAAAGTGGACATTAATATTTTTTGCTTTGGAAATAGAAGAATATAAGCCAATTAACTTATTTTTAATATGTTTGTTAACTAATTGGCTTCAATGATTTAATGTCTAGAGTAATGAAAAAAGATCGTTAGTTAAAAGAAAATTACAGAGCCTCGGTCATTAGGACACGTAAATATTGACATAACATCCTAAGATGCTCTGTTTTGTTTTTAACAATTTTATGGATGATCATTAGGTCGAATAATTTGCTTCATTGTCATTGATAAAATGACGATTTCTTAAGATACAGGATGACGCAAGATAAAAAAAAAAGACCGCTACAGTTCTTTTGTGACATTAACAAGGGAAAAAATCTCAAATCTATTGGATAATTCCGATATAACAAATTCAAATGAGAGGCTAGATCACATACACGTTCGTAGGTTTATGATGTTAATGGCTTGCAAGTGCCCACTCCCGATTTCAATATTTCATTGCCATATTTAACTCTTTTCATAGCTTATGATGAACTTCATTATCTCGTGTCCATTCACTAAAAGGAACTAACAAAGTAATGGTTTCCTGGAGAACAGCGATGATGATCCTCTTATTGGTTCGGACATCGTTCTGTGCTGATGCTAGACTTCTGGAACAGAGACTTTTGTCTAACTACAGCAGTATCATCAAACCACGACGTGACCAGACTCAGTCGGTGCTGGTCAATCTCACCTTTACCATGAACTCACTAAGGACAGTCGAAGAACGCTATCAATATATCACCTTCATGGGATGGTTCATTGTCACGTGGTACGACGACTTCCTGTCCTGGGATGAAAAAGAGTTTGTAGGACTGAGATCGGTTAATATTCCATACACCAAAGTCTGGGTCCCCGACATCAGCCTGTACTTCTCAGAGACGAACACACATGACCTGGGCGTGAATCCGTTTGTCTCCGTTTACTCTAGCGGCTTGGTTGTATGGTATCCCGGTGACCAGTACACGATTGAGTGTCTGCTAGATATCCAGAAGTTTCCTTTTGATAAGCAGTCATGTGAATTACGTATCGCTGCCTGGCAGACAACCGACTGGATGCAAAAACTTGTTCCCAAAAGGAGACTAAATGAAATGAAACAGATATCAGAAAATGGCGAATGGGAGTTTATCAAGACCGATTTGAAGTCTGTTTTTGTTCGAGAATTCAACGTGACGGAAGTAAGGTACACCATATTTCTCAGAAGACGCCCTCTATATGCTATGATGAGTACAGTTTTCCCGGTAGTGCTACTGGCCATACTCAGTTCTTTATCTTACGGTCTTCCAGTAACTTCCGGTGAAAGAATGACATATTGTTTGACAGTCCTGCTAGCTTTTACTGTATTTCTGACCCTATTTGAAGAAAACATGCCAAGGAAATCTACAAACATTCCTTACTTGTCATTGTATCTCTGCGTTCATTTGATCTCCAGTGTTATTTCTATATTTTTATCAGTCATCGTCATCAGAAGTCATCACGTGATGATCAAGACACTAGAGATGTTCACAGTTCAAAAAGAGATCACCATTCCAAATGATTATGAAAATAAAGCATTCGAAAACACGTCACCAAACAGGAATAAATCTTCTACAGTTCATCCTCATGATAAGAATTTGAACGTGGAGACAAAGAACATCGGGACAAATGGAAATATAAACAAACAAGAAGTTAAGGAAGATGTTGATGACAAAAAACCAACGTACGAAAAAGAAATCTTTGACGATGACTTCATAGGAGACGGAAGTCGTACATTTCCTTCCTGTTGTGATCAGATTTTGGGACAAAAATTTATGTATAGCAGGTTGGACAAAATTATGCTCAAAATAAGTGTTGCCTTCACACTTTTAAGTACAGTGGGACTAGGGTTGTTGTTTTGCCTCTGATTTGAAAAAAGAACACTGACGAAAACATCGCTTCTTTTCTTCCTTTTTTATCAAATATTATGAAGTATTCGAGATTTTTTTTTACTTTGAAGTTTAATCATAATTATAACCTTGCATGATTTGAAAAAAAGTCCGAATGCCTATGAAATAATGGAGGGATATATTTGACAAAGAAATTATAAATGTAGTAGAACTGTGCTTTTCGCCATCAGTTTGGATTTGATTGTGAGTATTTTTCTGTTTTGCAAATGCAATTCATGAATTGAAAGTATTGAAAACCATTGGTATTGAACGCTTGGTATTGAAAACTTGTACGTAAGTACTGACTTTTTTGCCTTGTTCTGGAAAAATACATTTGTGCTATAACTTTAAAATTTTGTGACAGTTTATTTATATACGTATTAATTATTATTTAATTTATTTATATATGTATTAATTATTATTTAATCATTCGTGTTCAAAAGAAATAAGGAATATTTTACTCACCAATACAATAAATGCAACAGGAGCAAGAAATCCATACAGAGCACCACTGTCAAACGACAGCCAGCATCTGGTTCAGAGAAAATTCAGAATTAGATTATTTTGCATAATTTTGAAAGCTTCGAATATGAAAGTAACAAGTAAACAACTTAGACCTGAACTTTTGACAGAGGATGTTTACTCCTCCATAGGGACCTGATCCCATCTCTGAAAATTCCAAAGTCCGTGTTAATGTCCCGATCACAGAATTGTATTAAATTGTTTATATGTTTATAGATTTTTTTTAGATCGATCACTGTTCATTATCTATTTCATTATAGAATCATAGAAGACATTTAGCCGATGGTAAGGAACAACAAGGCTCTTACTATCAGCAAGCTATAATCGAGGCATGCTAAAGAAGTTTAAAATCTGATGAACAAAGGTAACCTGAATTGCTAATTAAAACCTTTTCCAGCATACTTTCTAACAAGTCTATAAATGAAATTCGTAATTCACAAGTAATTTTCATATTAAAGTTTAAGAGAATAAAGGAAAGCGGCTGAATGAAAGGTAAAAAAATTAAGAACGTTTGCAAACTTTACATCGCATCTTAGATTCTCGTATTTTGAGTCACAGTATCCTTTCTTATTCTCTGCAATCGTACCAGCTGGACAAGTTTTCATATTAAAGTTTAAGAGAATAAAAGAAAAAAAGTGGAATGAAAGGTAAAAATTTAAAATGTTTGAAAACTGAACACCACATCTTCGATTCCTACATTGGGAGAACACAATGTCCTTTTATATTCTCTGCAATTGTACAAGCTGTGACACGTTCTAAGACATCACGTTTTCAGTATTAGTTCTGCTTGATGCATAAACCAAGAATATATACATTTCCAAATTAAACAGATGTTTCAGTATTCATTATGAAGTATATAAATAATGTTTCTGATAGAATTCAAGAAGCAGTTTTAACTTACTCTTCAGGTACGAAAAATCTGAGATGAGAAGAACATGGTTTTAACAATTCTTTAAAAATTCACTGCTTTGCATATTTACATAGAGAGTTTGTCTGCCATACATTCAGGAATAGTGAGAAAGATTTACAGAGATTTTATGTATTTTGAAGTAGAACCATGCTTTTGAGATAGTATCAGTGATAGAGTACATGGATTTAATAATGCATTATTATAGAGAATATGAAAAGAATTTGATTTATAAGATGAAATGGTTTGGTACAGAAAAGTGTACTTTTAATTTTATGCCTAATTTCGGCATGGACTTTATCTATAAAAAAAACTTGGAAACAACCGGTTTAGTAAAGGTATCATTGCTCATTTCTAGCAATTCTAAGATTTTTTGTCATCCAAATGTTCCAGATTTAAATTTTTTAATGAATGTATGATCAAATTAATAACACTAAGGCGTCCGTGGATCGCCCTAAATTCAGAAGACATATAGAGTATAGCAGAGGCCTCTAGTTTTCAATTTCTCTGCTATATATCTATGGATTAAATCGGATTTTTTGAAGCTCTGATCCATTTGATAGGGATAATCGCCATCCATCCCGATCAGGACACAAAGGATTCAAATTTTATAAATGTAGGTTAAGTGCTCATTATGATAATAAACAGAGTTTGCATATGAAAAATGACCAATATATTCTTAATTCTCTAAACTTTTTTTATTTCAAGTAGTCATACTTGGTCATAAAATCAAATTTGAGACATTATGGCTATAGCCTAACGAATATTATACATTTATTGCATGATAGTGAGGGAAATATGAAGACTTATTCAGCCAAGAAAATCATATTCCCCGAGGGCTTCGCCCGAGGGGAATATGATATTTCTTGGCTGAATAAGTCTTCATATTTCCCTCACTATCATGCAATGAATTGTATTATACCGAAACAAGCAAAACCTTTGAAATAAACATAAACTTTCAAATTCGGTCTCATTCATTTTCAAATCAAATTTGAGACATTATGGCTAATATGCCTATGACGAATATTAGAATCTGTGTGTAATATAGAGGTATAATAATAGAATCTGTTAATATAGTGGTTGGATTCTCCTATTATTAATCATTATAATTCATTTCTAGATTAAAGAATTTTCTCCCAATAAATTTTTATGTACCATATCTGTTTTTAAATACTCACATATTTTTAGGATGGTAGTTAGATGGGTACGTCAGACCTAATGTTATGCCAGTTATAACAGCGGGAAGACCTGCAAAAAAACCCAGGCACCTGTTATTCAAACTCTCATTTTACAACCTGCTTTTTTCTCTAGAATATGTGTTTTGAACTATGAATGCTTTTAATAACAAAGGAGAGAAAGCAGTTTCAAAACAAGCATGAAAAATCAGGATGAAATTCAATGAATTCGTATTTCTGGAGTTTTGATGTTCTTTCAACCATGCGTATCGGTGGTACGTATGGTTATAGATGAAAGCAATGGGGGTGAATCACTTACATATAATGCTTCTCATAATTTCGGAAAATCCATTGACATTCTATGTCAACACGTGAGCAAAGCATTTTTTGTTACTTATGTCAGATTTACTATTAATAAAAGGTATTTAGCACAGCAGTAGTATGAGATATATGCCTAGTACTGTTACCATCAAAGAAGTGGAAGCCTCTTTCTGTTCTTAGAGGCAAGACTGTGATATTTGTTTTGAATATTATTACCCTGCAATGTTCGAATATATTTGCTTAAAAGAATATATGCCTTTGAAAAATAATCTTTATGGATCATAATTAACAGAGTTTATGTCAAACTCCTACAAAATCAATTAGCAAACCAAACATCAAGTGTATTTCTTGGGAGAGTAAAGGTATATCCAGAAAGCTCTAAAGTATTATCAGGAATTGAAGGCTTAAACTGTATTATGGCGTTTACTATACCCCCAAATACTGAATTGGTAGCTTTTTCAATTTTCAAAATTGTTCCAGGTAAATTACTATAGGTAATTAAATGGAATCATTTCTACTAGAAATCTAAAAATAAGAAAGTTATAATTTCAAAAGTACATATTTATACAAAATGTTTTGTTCCCAGAAGTATCATATATATTTTAAGAAAGTTTTTTATTCCATCTAACTAATTTCAGAATGCTCACAATATCTTGTGCATATTATTGCAATTTTTTTTTGTTTTTTTGTTTTTTAATCGGTTAAATTAAAAAAAAGCCATTAAAAATCTTAATGCTTTTTGATCTCAAACAAATCATTTTTTTAAAAAAAACTAAAATCCCACCATTTTAAAAACCATGGTCCTCCTATTTGTATATGCTTGATCTTTTCTTCTATTTTTAATAATTGAGTAAATCAAACTGCTAACTTGCTAAAGCATGAAACAAGAAAATGTCTATTAGCTTATATAGTTTCCAGTATTTTAACATTTATATATTCATGTTCAAGAAATGTGTCCTGCATACAAACAGCAAAGATATTACTACAGCTGACAAAAATTCGTTAATTGTGGCAAGCTAGTAGATAAGTGTCTGCATGTGAAAATTGTATTTTAAGAGGAAATGAAATATTTTTTTTATACTACATTTATAATTAGAGATATTCTTTGGTCTTTTAAGATAATGCCAGAAATAATTTTCGTATTAGTGCAAGTGGAAAAAGTTAAAACATTCTTGCAATGCATTAACTCAGCCATATACAAGTTTTATTTACCGCTTCATAGATGGTAAAAAGTACATTTAGGTCAGTAGTTCAGATCGTGAATACGATACTACAATTCTCAGATAGCATCAACATTCTCAAAAATTGATGAGCACTCACCGTAAGCAATAAGAAGGAATAGCGTCTTCCTGGATTTTGATGTAAATCTGTTGGCACTGAGAAAGGATATCTTAACAAGGGTCACGTGGACAAAATAGTATATCCCGATGTCCAACATGAGGCAGAAGACAACTAGGAATAAGTACTGCAGAAACACTGTGATGATTAAACACGTGACCTGAAAAAGGTGATTACAAACAGGTATTGTACCAAGTTCTTTGATGAACAAACTAGTTTTGTGAAAAAGAATTAGTGAAAAGTATTACGAGAAACAACTTTTAAAATATTTAGAGATGTCGAGGAAGAGAGAAATTGCTTTTCCAGACGTACAAGTCAAAGAAAAATATATATGTATCCTGCAAAAAAATTGAATAAATAAAATGAAAAAGGGAATAGATGCGTTTTTTACAAAAAGATAGGTGGAGTGCCCTTTTGGGTCTAAAAGAAGGCTCTAGCAAGAAGCGACGAATTTTTCTATAGGCTAGTTAACATGTTTACAATATACAGGTGACAATTCGACATGGGGTGCTCGCTCCTCCAAGGCGCCTGATTCCACCTTTGATATTCAAGAAGTCCGAGTATGCTCTACTTCTGATTTTATTGTTTGATTGGTTTTTTGAACTAGAATACTGTTCATTATCTCCATATATGTAATAGTATAAATAATTTTATTTAAAACTATAGATTTTATTTAAAAAACCTACAAATAAAAAAAAAATAGGGAGTTTAGAATCGTACATGTCACCTAGGGTATAGGTCCATAAACCTCTTTATAAATTATTAAGATTACAAACTGTATTCAAGCTCAAAAGTACATTTAAACAGAAGAATACAGTAGAGAAGGGATTAGGAGGAGTGGATATATTCCCTGCAGGTCTGTCACACCCTCTGTGTCCTCCTTGATATGGAAATAACGAAACACTCCTTAGACAATTCATTGTGTAAATACTGGTATAACATTTGTATAAATAATGTCAATATCTCATTTGACTTAAGAATGTATACAGGGAACTTTTCGCCCCTGTTTTGTCGCCCCTTTCATCCTACCCTCTTTGGGAGAATATAAAAGGGGGCGAATTCAAAGAATATACAGCATAACCTTTTCAACAAAATTATGACTGTTTTGAAAGTGTGAAAGGGCGAAAATAACCCTGTATACAGTCTTGAGTCAAAAATGTGAATTTCGTAAAATTTCATGATTTCAGATTATAAAGATTCCCTATTTGATTAACATCTCTTCTCAAATATGTTGTTTTACAGTATCATGTGGCTTTCTCCTTCACTGCTGTTCACATTTTCGTGAGGAGTAAAGCAAGAACACTGGGCGACAGACAGCATTATAAATGTGTCATTTAAATAGAAAGCCTGAGAAGCGTATTTTTTTCGTTTTTGCTTGGATGGAATCTTGTTTATAAATACACAATGTATTTATCAACTACGTAACGCGTGCATTTTGCATGAAGGTATGTTGAGTGAGAAATGCGGGAAGAGTATTATATAATTATTTCTGTAACTAACAAAACAATGAGTAACAGCGGTTACATTTGTTTACAATTAAACAGAAGTAAACAAGGATTGCTATTGTCTTTAATTGTCATGAAATCATAGATTACTAAGAGCAGTGGACTGTATTTGACAGGGCAGTATTTCATTTGGTGTGGCAAAGAACATTCACAACATTCCAGGATGAGGTATCTCTTTGCATTAATACTGTACAGTTTATTCAAAGTGGAGTAATAAAAACGGACTAAAAGCATTCTTGTACAGGTAGATTGCCACAAAACGGTTTGATTACACAAGTTATCAATGACTGAGAACACATGCTAGACGTGTACCAAAATACCTTATTTTCTGTCCTTTCCACCCCGGCAACAAACAGGGTGTAGGCCAGGGCGATACTCAAACATAGATGAATAACCAATAAGTTCATGTCAGATCGGATAAATCTGTATGTAAAAAGACAATATTGGCATGATTTATATGTTAAAATGAAAATGTATACGTTTTCGTCTGAGTGAAATTGGTGCTTAAACTTTTCCCAGATGGTTAGAGTGATATGCTGTAATTACAAGAACATATGCTCAAAACGCTTCGACTAATCTGTCGGAGTGGATTTCAGGAGAATGTCATTTTTTATGTAATTAACAGAAAGTCGCACAAACCTCCAAAGCACTAGAAAAATCACAATGGTGATGATACAGAAAAAGACAGAGACACAACAACCAATCAGTGATATCCACTTCAGGGCCTCTGGTTCCTCTATTTCCTAAACAATGCAGACAAACAATTAGGCTTTAAGAACAGCGGTATACAAACTCCCTCGACATTCGACATCTTGATCATTATCAAAAAACACAGATTTATTTCATTGTTTGTAAATATCAGACTTTCTTCTAGGCGGAAACAAAAAGTTATTTCAGTGAAAAAGTATTTTTTGGCTGTTACAATTTATTATTGTTGATTGTGTCTAGCATTCGTTTGGTGTAATACAGAAAACCAGATGGCATCGATTTAATTGAGGTTTTGTATTCTTTATAAATACATATCACAGATTCTTATTTATGCTGTCTGTGTTAAAGAAAGTAAATTAACAACGACAATTAAAATGTTTGTCAGAAGTACACCAGACAAATTTTGGATGCAACAAATCTATTTATAAATCAATTATGATGCAATGCAGATTGAAAAAGAATCACATATAGATAAGCTGATGTATTTCACTGTAATCATAAAACAGAGTTGTTCTATGTCTTTATATTTTAATATACTAACCGATTGGTATGGTCTCACGAGTACTGCAAAATTAGTCAGATGGTCACACAAGCAATGTGTTACGTTCTCTCCAGATCTGGTTGTTAAGCAACCTTCTTTGGACCAATGGCTTCCTCTCCTGTATAATGAAGATATAACTTAACATAATATTTTCTTACAATCTTAACTATCTAATTGAAACAATAAAAGCTAATTTAAAAATTTAATCATTTTTACATAAATTTCATTTTTTAATTTCTTAAAACCAAACTCATCCTTTGCAACGATTGGCATATTTTATCAAGCTAGAGAATCCTAAACTACCTACGTTTTATTTGTATTCCAGTACACACATTCAGTATTAGCTTTTTTCATATCCTGTCAAATAATTAAACAAAAACGGTATCAATTTCATAAATACTAACTTTATAAAACACATTTAGAGTTTGTTCAGATTGTGGTCTCACGAGTAAGCTACAAATTTTACAAAACGTAAGAGGTTTTATTTTGTATGATGAATATTTTATATAATATTATTGTATATAATAATATATATTATAATTATTTTATATGATATTATTATTATATATTATTATTATTATTATATATAATATTATTATATCATCTCCCAAACTGTTTTGTTTACGTGTTTAGGATGGGTAAAACTCAGAAGCAGTCCTGGTTTGAGGTTAAAGTGTTGTTTCTCTCCATTTAGAGACAATGCTAGGACGTCAGAAACAACAGAATCATCCACCTCAGGTTTACTGTAGAAAAGAAAAAAGTAACTTAGAAACGATATTTGTTTTATATTTTTATGAAATCGGTTAAAAATTATGAAACCCTTTTAAGAATCAAAATTTCTACTTCAAATAATATAAACTTATATTTTAGTTTTAATATACTCAGACAATATTGTGTTTTTAGTTATAATTATTGTTGATTTATCTATAATTATATTTATAATATATATTTAATTTAAAAATCATAAGTAAATTAATTCATAAACCTTTTCATGTTAGATAGACCTACATTGAAGTCACACCTCCAGAGAGAATTTCTGATATTGACTTGAATTTAGTAGCCACGTAACTGAAATCTACAATGAAACCAATCTCATGAAGTAAGTTGTTACTTAATATACAAATGTCAACATTGATTGAATTGAGATTTTATAAAATACAATTGCAGATGAGATTATTGCCTTGCTTTTACCTGATTGGTTGATTTGTGGTTGTGGCGGGAGAACTAAATGTGTCCTGGCGGTCTCCTCTTCTTCCGGAAAATGAATGCTTTTGTCCCTAGCCTCCCTGGCCACTGTCATAACTAGAACATTGATTAATTAGTTAATTACGAGTTTTCATTAAGGTAAAAACCTACACCGAATGTTCACTTCAGTAATAATATGGAACACTTCAATATATCTGGATTTATTTTTGCCAAAACCAGTTCGTTATTGAATATATTGACAGAGTTTTATCCTGGATAAAATTAATTATTATAACTTTAATTAGCATCCTGATTTTAAAAATCTCCTTTCCCAAATTAGGGGAAAAAATGTAGACATGTTGCTTTCTTGCAACGAAGACCGAAAAAATTAAACTATTTCTTCATGGAATGCTTTAAATTGAATATAAAAAATGTCTCGGTTTTCGTCTATTATTGCACACATGATCTGTACTTAAATATTATTAACCCTGTGGTTCAGAATGTACACTACAAATTTCTCACCAAAATTCTCTGTAGTGAACGTTACGTTTTCGTGTAGCGTGACCGTCTTTGCCACCACATTGCCGAACGTCGATACAGCCTGTAGAATCTTATTAACGCTGGATTCAACCTCAAAACAGAAGATGACTGTTTACTCTTTTTCTCTTGTTAACAACTGTTTTGTAAAATTAATGCATCGAATATAAATATTTTGCAAGAAATCAATTTATTGTCAAAAAGTTCTGATATAAGAATAGCCAAAAATGGTTTTAAAGGGAAAACTTTTTAAGAAATCAACGCTAATTTGTTTAAACATATTAAACTGACTTATTAAACAGACCAATGGTACATCTAACAGAAAAAAAGGCTAGCTGAGTTCATATCAAATGGAATGATTCATGAAATGTCAAAGATACGTTAGTTTGGCATGAGAAAGCTACACCTAGAAAACATCAAGTTGAATAAGCCCAAAGACAACCATTCGATAATGAGATTAGGATGGGAGGATCAACATGAAAGAAGAGGTGTTTACGCCTTGAAATTGCATTTGATAAAAGCATTACGAAGATTTAGCTGAAACCAAAATAAAAGATAAAAAAAAAGAGAAGAAAAAGAGAAGAAACAAAAACAAAGACCCCCGAAAGTCAAAATTATTTAAATGGCAATATGATGAAGAAAGTCTGAGAAATAGTTGATTTAGTTTTAATTCGCTCAGTTTCAGGAGGATTGTTTTTCGTGAACCTGATCGCTTCTAAATCTGTTAAATGTGCATTAGTTTCAGATGGTAATATCTTGCATAATTTTCCTCCCTCTTCATTTCTCATGCACGGGCTTACCGTCTCACTTCACAATATCTTAAAGAAACTATTCTGACAAAAAACCTTAACTTTTATCAAATCTAATTCTCAGGGAAAATTTTTCTCAGCCTAAAGTTCATAATTTATAGCATATTATAGTTTTAAATTTACGAGGAAAATCCTACTGAAGATTTATTGGTGATAAATATTGTTGAAGTTTTTACAGTAAATAAATCTTTTGTAAGTGCAGCTTCATAAACTGAAATACATTTGGTAATTTGGTATTAACTTAAGAAGAATGAAGAGCGATTACGGAAACACATACAAAGTGCGCATTCAAATTAAATAAATTTTGAAGGCAGATTGAAAACGTAAAGTATTTTAACCGTATTAAATGTTTCTTTAAGTTTCCCTTTTATTAAACCTGAGTAAAAGAACGCTAGAATTTTCCTTAGGAGTAAATTAACAATGGATATGATAAGTTATAATGACTTTTAACTTATATAAGTTAAATTAGAAAACCTTATTGCTCTACATCTTTCACATTTCTTATTGCTACACATCAAACTGACTGAAGCTGCACCTTACCGGCGTGGATTTGTTCTGCCAGGCAGTGGTCCGATTGGTAGACAATAAGTGATCCACCATTGTCACAAACGTCTAGTGAGAAAAATACCCAAAAGTTATCATACTATCGAATGCAGTAAACATAAAAAGTAAAAGAAAGTTATATTGGTGTCTACCTGGTGTTTATTTATTAACAAAAAGGGGTACCATAGGTACAATAATACAAGCCTCGGTTTAGTAATGTTGATTTATTAAAAAATTTAATAGTAAGGTGGTACCTCGGGATGTAAGGTCACATTTGAGGCGTCTGCCAGGTTGGCCATTTTATGTATAATGTCCACTGTTCTGTCCAAACTTTCGGCGTTTGATATACCGTCCCTGACGACAGCGGCTATTTTTGGTAACGCCGTCTTAATCACGTGATGAATGTCACTAGGTTCTGTTCCTTCAGCAAGAAGGTTAATCTGTAATAACAATTTTAATCATAAATCAACATTTTCTAATAAAAATGACATTTATTTCTGTATATATTACATACACACGTTTAAATAGAATTATATATAAGAAGCAGTATACTCACCTCAGCTCCCACTTCGTTGATTTTGTCCATTTCACAGTTTGGTTTCTGGATCTGGACCAGTTTGCATTCATTCTCTGGAATCTCTAATTATTTTTAAATAAAATGTGTTAATCTGAAGTGTGTTGTTTAGTTAAAAACCTACAAATATCTAAAATAATGAATGAAAAGCTAGCTTACCTGTGACTTGTACGGTTGCCAATGACCTTTGACATTGTTCGAATCCACAGGTATAAGTAGCTGTATGTATCGATAAGGCCTGGCCAACACTGTAAGTCCATTTACTTGTGGCATTGTGTGATTCTAAGTCAAAAAATAATATTTCAATTTTTAGTGCATTGAATGATAATTTTTAAAATTATTTTTATATGACATTTTTCCTACAAGAAAACGTAACATGTTTGAGTTAAAAAGTAAAGTTACCAATGGTTTTGTTGAAGAATATAACATCATTTTTGCACCATACTATATGACCACTCGACGGGATATCATCTGATGGTGTGAAACAAATCAACTGGAAAGAGTTATTCCATGGAACTATATTTTCCTGCGGAGCAACATAAAATTTCGGAATTGCTGTCACAGGAGATGGATTGATGGTTGTTTCTAAATAAATAATGAACATAATTCAATGAATGATCGAAGAAAAATTATGTTTTTCCTTAGAACTGTTGAAAATTAAGATTCATAATAAATAATATTATTTCATATTGTGTCTGTCTATTGTAAGTTACCAGTGTTGGGTTCACAGATGACGCCGACATCCTCCGCATGCGTACAGTCGTTGATACCCCACATGGTATGAGAACAGTCTACAATTGACGTTTCATTCCCGATGCAAGAGACTTCATCGAGCCAAATGCTTCCAATGCCATTCCCAAACTTAGAAAATTTTCTAACTGAAGCATTTTCTCTGAAATTAGTTGTATATTTTAGATTATTTCAACTTTACAAGATTGCGAAAATGTTTATTTGGATGAATACAAATATTGTAAGAAATTAAATAATTCATAGACTCAGTTAGTATGTCTTTGGCGGTAAAAGAAAATGGGGAAAAACGAAACTAAGATTTTTGATTTGTCGATATGTTTTATACAAACAAGACAATCAAATTATATGAATTTTAAATTAGTCACAAGGAATATTTTTGGTATTAATGCTTCGCCCATATCTTTACAGCACCAGAAAGAAAAAATGACATGGAAACTGTACCTCGTTGCTCCGATCATGTGACATATAACCCCGGCTTCTCTGTCCGTCCATTTATCATCACAAATAGTGCCCCAGACGCCGGAATGGTAGATTTCAACCCGCCCTTCATAGGGACTTTTACCGTCCATTAACCGGACTGTTTCGTCCAGTACATTGCCTAAATTGGTTTGATCAAATGATATGTTACAATCAAACTAGCATTTACAACGGACAAAACATTTAACTTCCATATGACCTTATGATAAGGCAAATTATTGAATTAATACAACTACAATATCAGTAACACAAATCAAGAAATAAAGAAGTTCTTAACATCGAAGTAATAGAGAATTCCCTGATTGAATAAGGTGATTTAAAGACAGACTTTGAGGGACAAGAGCACACACATAACCATTTATAATATTCTGCTATCTATGAAATAAAATGAATCCAATCAAATTGTTTACAAATCAAAGAGGAATTCTTACTTTCTTGGGAGACAGATGTAGAGGGAAAAACAGCGGATATCAACAGGAAGCAAATGATCATACTGGAGCCGATGTATTTAACATAAACCTGAAAAGACAAGTTATTTGTTAATAATAAAAAAGATTTCTGTCTCTCAGCAATATCTGCTTGTTTGTACAAAAACATAATATCAAAGGTTTCGTTTTTGAAATATTTACGAAGCAAGCAATTATCAACTTATTAGAAGTACGTAAGTGTATGTTTGTAACTTTTTATAAATATGCATCTTTGTTCCTTAGGTAAATGCACTAATGGTGTATGAAATTTCAAATATTCACCATAAAATGATTTTTTTATAATTCAGGAATGCAAAATAACACAATTTTAACGAGAAAATATATTAGGTTGTTGTTAGTTGAAAAAGTAATCCTTACATCTCTCTCTTTATTTTTCATGAGAACACATTGGAATACAATTTATCTCCTTCAAATGCACTGATTGTAATCAAAAACACACACATTTTAACTTCATGTCGAGGAGGTAGGCGATGTGAACAGATTTTAAAAAGAAAGTCAACACGGTTCCTTGTCCCTATAAAAGTCACTAGATGTTATTATATATTAACGGAGGACTATGGATAGGGATCAAAATTTCTGAAAGAGAAGTGCGAAACTGAACTTAAGTCAATTAAACACGCCATACCAAGATCATAATAACCAATTTTTTTGAGATTAGTTTACTTTTATATAGTGGTACCATTCTGTCTTTATACACGTCAGCAAAATTCTTTTCAACTCTACCCCAAATGTCCATGCTTGATTAAAAACGAATTAACAGGTTTGCCCTGGTATACAAAATAAGAAGCCATTCCTTTCAGGAACTAAGTATTTAATGGAAAATCTGAATTACTGTGTCAGATGAATTCTTACCTCCTGGTTCTTGCAGTATGATACTAATTAAACACATTCAAATTATGAAAGGTATCCGGGATAAAACAAATACAACATGCAGAGCTAGGAACACCTTGATGTTCAGATAAGTGAGATAACAGCTAGCTTTGATTAATAATGGAAGATAACCTGAGCAAGGTGTTTGTAAATGATAAAGAAGTTATCTGGGATTAGATATATAGTTTCCTGAAACACAAACAATATATTTTATAATCGATCTAATTAAAAAACATTTTTTTTAAATAAAAAAAAAGGTTTAAAGTACTGGTGCATTTACAAACTTTTTCAGAAATACCAAATATAAAGTATAAAATGCTTTTAAAAATATGGTATTAACAAGAAAAAACACCCTTCGTTTATGTATCTTTTTACTTAGATTATTTACGAAACTTAAGCCAAAAAATTAGCTACTGTTTAAAAGTTTGATATATTTCCATCTCTACAGAAAAATATTTTAAAGCCTAAAACGATTACTCTAAATAGTTGAATCTTTTTAGAAATACTTCAGTCAGGAAGTTTGTGGCCAAAACCGTTAACTTTGAACAAACTGTAGTTATATTAGTAAATAAAAATTACTCTGGAACATTTTTATTAACTAAACTAATTTTAATCACGAGATTATTATTTTTTAAATAATATTTTTGAAGACACACGAAAAGTATAAATTAAAGTATTTAAAATCACACTCCTAGTTTATGGTCTTAAATTAAGCCATGCATGAATATTGTAAAGATATACTGAAATCATCATAGTGTACTTACCCAAACTGAAACACTTTATATAACTATGAAGTAAAAGTTAAGAAAAGGGAAAATCACAAAAATTTACAGAATATCGTTAATCTGAATTCTACAGATCCAAAAGAAATATCCAATCAAAAAGAAGCTCCCCAAAAATAACTATGAGTTAGATCAATCCTCGAAAATATAAGTAATCACATTGTCATACAAATATCTACTACACAGTTCCGTAAACGCCACTCGACGTAAGCTGACATTGCTATATACCGTTCTCTGAAGTGGTTCTTTATAAACCTGCACTTGCCGATCCCCCCAGTTTTGTTCCAACAGCACATGGTGGAATTTTTTGGCGAGGAATACTGGTGTTTCTTGATCAATACATGATGTAAATGCTTTGGATTTTTCATTATATTAATCAATTAATTAATTAAATAAATTTACTACCAACTTGTTTTTTTTTTCAGAAAGAGAACATATGCATGTAATGTCATATAAATTCGACCTTTCTGTGATTTTTAATCATGAATTTTGATCTCAATACAAACTAATTTGTATGACTGTCGATGCATCATGAGAGTTACTAGAAAGTTCGAAAAGTTCGTGGACTTGTGTTATATCTTTTTTATTTGACGTCATATGTTACCAAAATTTGGTAGAAATATTTTAACAATAAGCCCAAATGCTTTGTATATTGTTTTTTTTTTTTAAATATCCCGATTAATTTAAAACTTATCCAGGCTTTAAAAATGCAAAAATCGGATAGCGGAGCAGGTCAAAATTAAGTAAGTAACAGACACTACACTAAACTGTAAAATGGAGAAAAATGAAAAACAACCCAAAAATTCAAATTAAGAATTGTTACATCGATTTGTATTCAAAATTATGGCTTAATATTTTGCTTCGTTGAAAAGAAATCAACTTGAGAAGATAGTTAGTCCTCATTGAAAACGACAAAAACGATGACGTTTTAGAACATCACGGAGCAGCAGATAACGATGCAGTTTTGTGTTTTACTCAGAAAAAATCCTGATCAAACTCTGAAAATGTTGGAGGAATCAAGAACATATGTAACAGGCGAGTCGTGCATCTGTGTACAAAAAGTACAGGCAGTATTTGAGTGACAGACACTCTGTATCGAATGAGGACAATATGTGAAGAAACGGTTATAACTGTTAAAATCTGAACAAAAACTTTAAAAAAGTAGGAACGTCAAGGAAAGACATAGACGAGTTGATTATCCTGTGAAAGCAGAGTTAAGTAATAAAAGAAATTAAAACCTTAACAAAGGAAATTATACAACCAGAGCAATTCTTAAAAAAAATTTCAAGTATTAGAAAAAGGATTTAATGAGTGGGCATTGTATTATACTGTGTGAAAGGTATCGGGATAGTATATTAATAGGGCCATTTCACCAAAAATTCTTCCCGGAAGACTGAGTTGCGATCTAAGAGCGTGGCTTGATCGCTGAAGATCGCACGAAGTCGAAGGTTGACCGCGAAGTGGTCACGCCTCGGTCTCCTGTGGTCGCTCAAAGTCGAAGAATGGTCTTCCTGAAAAATAGATCGCAGCTCAGTTTTTTGACATGTCAAAAAACTGAGCCTCGACTTAAAAGTCGCAAAGAGAGCGTCGAAACAGCGAATACAGTCGAGGAAAAGACGTATTGATCGAGGGGCAATTGAGGCTAGAGCGGGGATGAGCGAGGCTAAGTCTTCTTGAGCGAAAACTGATCGAGCACACGGTCGTGCTGCTCGATCAATTCTCAACACTCGCTCGATCCATGCGATGTAGCCTAGATCCGCTGCGATCAAGAACCGCTTCGTGCGACCTGCTCCCGATTTTCCTTAGACCAGTGCGCTCACTGTTTGCGAAATGGACTCGATTTGATTATGATCAGAGGATTGAGGTGCGATCTATGTGCGTTTAAGGTTCAACCACTAAAGATCATTTCTCGCTTAAGTTGCGACTTACCTTCGCCTAATCCGATTAAGCCACGCCTACTGAAAACCGTGCAGATAGGGCGCAAGCTCATGCGATGATCATTACACGATTAGCTTTTGAACACATCTGAGTTAATTATGCCGAGGGCGGGAAAACCAAGGCTGCAGCTGGCCCCAGGAAAAGAAAAGTTGCCCCACCAAGGGACCCATCCCCTCAGGATTCTCCCACCGCTATTGAGGCTGAAGTCGAGGGGATCCCAGGTGAAATAACGGAGGATAAGTTGAAATAACGGAGTTTCTCCATTCTCCAGGAATCATACTGTGTTCTAAATCTTCCATGTCCATATCTGCATTCTGGAGTGCTGGGTACCTCATTCTCATTATGTTATGCAGGCAAACACAAGCTTCCACAATTAATCTGCAGTTGTCTGGATTCTGTTGTAGAGTTGTCATCAAACACCTGAAACGTGAGGACAGGATTCCAAACGCATTCTCAACCACGCGCCTTCCTCTGGAAATTCTGTAGTTACAGATGGTTTCTTCCTTGGTTAAACCTCTCCTAGTGTATGGCTTCTTAAGGTAGGGTTTTAAGGCAAAAGCATCATCACCCAGGATAAAGAATGGTACATCAACGTCATCATTGGTCATAGGTTCAGCTGCTGGCAGATGAACTGAACAATCAACAATGCATTCTTGCAGCTCACTGGCGTTGAATATCTGAGCATCAGATTGGTGTCCCAAACCACCAACATCGATCCACAGGAATTTGGCATTCGCATCCACCAGAGCCCAGAAGGACGATGGAGCAAAACTTCTTGTAATTATAGTACAGAGATCCAGAACTTGCTGGTTTTCTGATGGCCACGTGCTTACCATCTAGAGCCCCAATTGCATGTGGTACATTCCATCTTCTCTCGAATTCATCAGCAATGGCCTTCCATTCAGCAGCTGAGGTTGGACAGGGTATAACTTCATTCTTGTACTCATCCACAATAGCTTGACACACAAGTGGAATGAATGTAGCTATCGTATGGCGCGATACTCTGAAGTCATAAGAAAGGCTTGGATAATCTATGCCAGTTGCAAGGTGTCTTAAGGTGACGGTCAACTTCACCCCTGCTTCTAGAGCAATGGCTCTTCTATAGTTAGTGTCCATCTTTTCAATCCTGGGGCCAACCCTGGTCAACAGTTCGTCGAACATCTCCGGTGGCATACGCAGATAGTTCCGATAGGAAGCTTCATCTCCAAGCCTCAGTTCTTTCATGAGGGAGGTATACTGGCCATAATGATCTCTTTGACGTTCTCGTAACCACGGAACAACCCAATATTTCTTTTTAGTATATTTTTTTCCTCTCATCTTCAAGATCGTCAGCATGATCATAGAGTCTTGCTGTAGTTTCAGGGCATGATGTTGCAATAGCATTGCATGATGTAAAGCGATAGGATCCATGCTTCTTTCAGGGTGGTCAAAACTGATGATCGCCCACTGATCGCTGGGTCTTTTTATACGATAGCAATAGGTCGCATGTAAATCTGAACGACCAGGGCAAATTTGGCGTAACTCGGACGAGAAGTAGTTGAGAAAAGAACTAGAATTGAGCGTATAGATCGAGGCTAGAACGTTTGTATCGTATCTAAATCGTATTGATCGAGTGTTTATTGCAACTCGTACGCGCCGAAATCGGCCAAAGTCGAGTACTGGTCGGCAGAGGTCGCACACTTTCGAAGATAGGTCGTCGAGAGGTCGATGCTACATGGTAGACTGATCGAACACAACGATCCTTGATCGTGTTAAGATCGGATGGAAAGGCGCAGGTAGAGCGTGCAAAGAGCGTCCATAGAGCGTGTAGGACGCACCAAGAACGTTTACAACGAAAGTTATACGAGATGACATCGAACGTAGAGCGCAGAGAGAAAATAAATGTCTAGGTCGCACGGATTTTTCACGCGACTACGTAAAAACAGAGGTGCGACCATGGTCGCGCGTGGTTGCATGCGATTTTTCCAGATCGTACTTGGTGAAATGGACACATTAAGAAATTCTTGACGCTTTGTTTTGACGTTACATTGCCGTTAAGTGTGCATCGCGGGTACAAAACATGTAAATTTTAAAATGAAGTAAATTGATTTCTGTTAAATCGAATGGAATGAAATTTCACATATCAACAAAATAGATATTCTTACATATTATATTGGGCTTATTTTAAAATTCTAGTAATGCCTAGGTCACATTTCCCGGCCGGTAGCCGTAGACCGGTGGTAATCGGTGGTAATCCGTGGTGTTA